TAACACTTGTAATGCAAAAATACCTAATGAGATTTCATTTTTCGTAATTAACTTAACAATCACCAGGCAACCAAACAACACGCTTGTTTGGCTGCAAAAATCATCATAACAGGACTCCAAAATAATTCACGAAATGATAAAAAAAATTGTAGAGACAGTTTCATAGTGCCACGCTGAATGTCGAAACAACAGGCGCCCAGACAAAACTCAAACCATAATGTCAAACGAAACCGAAGTTAAAGTTTCTATAATACATGTCAATGGTTACACTTTTATTCATTATTATATCCATCCGTTTACATTACATCTTTACAATACAGTTCTATCCACATTTTTTTTTCTCTATAATCAATTCACATATATAAAAAAAAATCAATCTAAACTAAAGGTTTACATATCGGACAGGTTAAGTAATTAAAGTAAAAACCTTGGTGAGTATTCCATTACTTTGCAAACTGCCCAGAATTAAAAAAAAAGGAAAATTAAAAAACCCACTGTCATTTACTTATTCCATAACCTGCTGGAGTATAGAGAAAATTCAACAGGGATTGATAAGATGGAATTTGGTTGTCTTGTCAATAGAAATTGTAAGTAGCGGCCATTATAGAGGGCTTTTTAAAATTCAGTTACAATAAATGAAGGGGAAAAGTTGTTAAACCCCCCCCCCCCCAATCATAGCGTACAACACGCGCACAAAGTGGGATATGATATGATGGGGTCCGCTCATAAGCTCGACGCCTCATTGGTCCGACGCCTCATAAGCCCGACAAAATCGCATCCCCTAACCAAATAAAGGTCCATAAGTCCGACGCCTCATAGGTCCGACGCCTCATAAGTCCGACGCCTCATAGCTCCGACGTCTCATAGCTCCGACGCCTCATATTAAATCCGACAAATTAATGCCCCGTTTTTCCGACGTCGGACTTATGAGGTGTCGGACCTATGAGGCGTCGGACTTATGATACGGCCCCGATATGATATGATATATGATATGAGTTGTTGTTTTTTTCTTCCAAGAAGATCAGTCTGCTGAGCATACTGATCGGAACATCAAGTTTCACAATCAATCCGTTCTTTTCAGAACAATCCATCTTCTCAAAAGAGATTCTTCAGAATAATGGCGTAACTAGGGAAATGTTTGGGGAAATTGTGCCTTTGATGATACAACATAGTCACAGTATGTCTTAACCCTCTTATGTAAACATACATTCTGTGTCAAGTTGTAAAAATCAGTCAAGAGACTGTTTTCAACCCTAAAGCCACATAAAGCAGGATTGACTGCCTTGGACTGCTTAACTTGATACAGCTATGTTTTGACTCCGGGTGAGTGATAAAACAGCTGTGACTATAACATGCCTGCTTTGTCTGTTGACCCAGTTTGACTAGTCACAGTGCTTGCTTGATTATGATCTGACTGCTGGTGACTAGCTTTTGTTTAAAGTATAGCTGGTATACTTTTAACACACCGATGGGTCACTTGACCAATTTTGACCCAAGTAACAGCATGGCTCACAATGCATGTTTGCATAGGAGGTTTAATGGCAAAAACAAAAACGCAGAGTTGTAATGACTCGAGTCAATGACTCGACTCGAGTCCGACTCGAGTCACAATTTTTGGTGACTCGACAAGACTCGAGTCCCAAAGGGCAAATGCCTCGACTCGACTCGAGTCACTGCGAGCAAATGACTCGACTCGACTCGAGTCCCTCATCAGAATGACTCGACTCGACTCGAGGAAGGCTAATGAGACTCGAGTCCCAAAAAATAAAAGCAAAGCTTTGCGAAAAATATTTTCAACGACTTACGCCGGTGCCGGTTTTTGTTCACGTCACGTTAGAATGTTCGCGAATAATGTATACATATACATTCGTGGTTTGATCAATGACGATCAGCTCGCACCCCCTTTTTATTTTCATAAAGAGGCAAATGTGGTGTCGCCACATGTAGTAGCCCGAATGTAAAATTTAAAAAGCCAAAAAATGACTTTCTCTCTTGTGTTTATTTATTGCATAGTGCTAAAATATTTGTGACTGGAATTGACTCAAGCTAAATACTTGACTCGACTCGACTCGACTACACACTGTGACTCGACTCGACTCGACCGTCTTGACCTAATGACTCGACTCGACTCGAGTCATTTCTTTGAAATGACTCGACTCGACTCGAGTCACAAATATCAGTGACTCGTTACAACTCTGCAAAATGCACCTCCAAAATGACCACTGAATCCATGCCTTCATGATAACTACTGATCTATGATCTATATGTAGAAGGAGGATAATAAGAGTGTCTGTCATTACTTCTCTACCAAACAAGCAGGCTCATTAGTTCAGTTTTCTGAATGCCGGGCCTTGCTATTGTGGGCTTTCATTTCACAAAATGAGGCAAGGAACCCATAAAAGGGTACATAATGATGTTATCAACCATGATCAAACTTTCCATGACGTAGGAGATTGTTAACATCAAATTACACGTAGGTTTTGCCCTTTAACGACCTTTAAACACTGTAAACTCAGTGTGTTACCTCCCGAGTGAAAGTTGGGAAAAAAATCACGGGGGTGGGACTCGAACCCACACGCTCCTGCTTTCTAGAGCAGATGTCTTACCACTCGACCACCGAGCTACGGTAACGGGATCGGTTGGCTGGTTCGAATCTGATGTACATAGCGGGTACCGCATAACCTAATTTGATTTATATCACCCCAACGCAAAATTCCATCTTATAAAAGATTGTTAACATGCTATTTTTTTTTTTACACCTGCTGAACAAAAGCAAACTGGTCCAAAAACAATATTCTCATTACACAGTTCCAGCTTAAAATGTGCCTAAATTTATTGGAGCATTCTCCTAAATCATGATTGTTGTTGAGATATGCATGTATCCCCATGGAACAATTTCTCAAGCACAATTTGTAGTTCTTGTTTCGCAATTAGAAAAAAACCCGAACATTCTTTTAAAAAATGTTCTTGCATAAAGGCGGCAAGAGAAAGCTTGTTTCTATCACAAAACAACCACGTTTCGTTTGGTCCAACAAATTGTGATACACCCTCCAGAGTATTATGTGTCTAAGCTGATAATATAAAGATTGCAGACCAGTTAATAAACTGCCATTATAGACCCCCAGTGATAAATACCACCACTTCCAAAACCACTCAAAACTCTCCACAGTGTTTGAGAAACGCATCAAAGTTTCAGCTTATTTTTATCATCTTTTATTTTTCTGTTCATTTTTTTGGGGGGGGGGGGGGGGGCTAACTAATGACATTTGGGCGAAATTTTTACGCACAGATGATTACACCTACAAGTAGTCTTGAAGCCAAATCACCATTTTGAAAAATGATGCCTACTTGTGCACTCCATTGTAAAATATAGCAATTTTAAGGCCAAATTTCATCAAAAGTGTCCAGAAATAAGAGCCAACAGTCCTGTGCATGGCATCTGCCCTTCCTTTTTTACAAACCCTCAAATTCATGGCCCGCAAAATGCTCTAACAGCAGAGAATTTGAGGGCCTGCAAATGGTGGTTTGGCCGGCGTACATGTACACAAATCGTGATTTGGCAGATAGCTAACGTCGACAATCTCGGGCCTATTTACTGGCCTGCAAGCTTTAAGAAGGCAAAATCCACAGTGTATTGTTACCACTGACAAAAAGCAATCTGATATGTATTGAGCATTCGGGAAATCACATTAACGGACGAACAATTTTGTCGTGTCGGGCGATATTGCCGTCCAACATGATTCAATTTACGGGATAAATTGCCGCCTGGGATTTTACTCGACTGAATCGAAGCGAAAGGAAAACATTTTAACGACTTCAATTCCAACATCATCCTCCTGATTTTTTTTTTAAGATTGAGAGGGGTGATTCGATCTTTAAAAACAAGTTCTTGGAGTTGTATTTTTACACCGAATTATAAGGTTACATGAGAATCCACTGCAGTCAAAGGCATGCTTCAAAAATGGGAATATTTTTAACAAATTTTAAAGACTTTTTTTTTTTTTAAACCACACTGCGAGTAGGGTGAAGATAATATGCCAGTCCAATTTAATCTTTGAGACCAGAATCACTTGCCTTGAATTAAACAGAAATATAGTCACCGGTTAGGACGTTCGTTGCACGAATTCATCAGTTCACCAGCTCAAGAGGGCACACTTCAAGCCAATATGATTTAAAAATTCAGTTATTATTACAAAAAAATGGTACAGGTCTCAGAATGACGTTCCTATAGGGTTGGGCACACACATTTTGAAAACTTTCATGACCCCTAACCCCCATTTTACCTTGTCCTACCCCTGCAAATTTTGATACATCTATGTTTTAGACCACGAGCGATAGATTTAGCCTATTTGTGACGGTAACATTTTGCCTCTAAATAGGAGTTGTGACATTAGGGAGACATTGAAATGTCTCCTTAAATCTACCTTGTCTCCCTATGGTACAACTCACGATGAAAACAATGTCTCGTTAAGGGTACATTTACAGGAATTTAAAGATCGACAAACGGAGAATTGTCATCAACTTGCAAAATTACACAAACAATGCCTCCACACACTGAATTTTGTTTTGAGAAAAAAAAGTATAATTCTGCGCTATTACTCAAATATTTTTGTTGAGTTTTTGTACATATTTTAATACTTGAATGAGGTGTGCATTTTGACCAAAAGAAAACCTCCCCAAAACACAGGGCGGTCCACTACAAAGTTACATGTACCTCTTTTCCAGACGCTGATTTCTCAAAATTGGGGAGACATCTCAAAATTGTTTTAAGACATTCCTAAGCTACAAGATCTTGGTGGTATATGGTAAAAATGGGGTTGAAAATAGAGCCTAAATTAAGAAATGGCGGTCATTTGCAGAGAAATGGTCAAAAATCAGTTTGTCTACACGCAAGTCTATGAAACTTGGTTAAAACAATAGCCTTGGGTGCACAAAGAACTGCCATGACCATATGTGTATCTCACACACACGTGTGGACAAACTGGTTTTTGAAAATTTCTCTGTAAATGGCCGCCATTTCATAATTAAAGTTTTATTTTCAACGCCGTTTTCATCATATGCCACCAAGATCTCATAGTTAAGGAATATCTTAAAACTATTTCAATATTTCTCCCAAAATTTTGAGAAAAATGCGTCTGAAAAAGTGAAAACTTCCTTTTGAACCACCCTGTACATAACAAAAAATACACCTTGATAAAAATGCATGTACAATGAAATGGTGCGGGTAAAAACACAAGTAATACCAAAAAATACCTGTGGGTTATCTTGCAGCCCTGGTAGTGTCCCTTCAAATGTTGTCCCATTTCAGGTAAAACTATTTCTTCCACGAGGGATTTGCAACTGTAGAAGAAGAAACCGAGGGGAAAAAATGTCAGGAATTTCACGTCTTAAAGAAACATATAAACAGTTAATGTTGGGAGAAAAAAGGTGATGAACACACATAGACCTTTTGAACTGTAGCCATCTTAGTGGCATATATTTGTGTGTGTGTCCTGAGTGTTATTTTAAGTTTTAAGGTACCGTATTTAACCTGTTTAAATCATGAAAACAGAACTTTCCATTGGTTCCTCATGCCCGAATTACCCCCAAAAATGTGTTTGTCTTCCTATGATGCCCAGTTCAAAAGTTATGTCAAATAACCGATTTCGAAGAAATCCAAGATGGCCGCCAAATGAACCGCTGGAACAAAATTTGATTTTGGGAACATCAAGATACGAGATACCTTAAGGATCACAAAAAAAGTAGGTTAAAAAATATATCCAGGGGCTGCATGGAAACCCTATTTTCCTCAACTATAGATCTCGTGAACTGTGCATTCATTGTTGTAATTTAAAATGACCTAAAAAAAAAGCCCACTTCAAGATAACTACGGTACTGAATAAAAATGGTCTATTCTTATACTATGTGTACCTCTCCCTATCCCCCACCCAGCACTGCCCAGAACCCCCATCCCCACCTCTGAAAATAAACCGACTCTATCATTTTTCAATTGATCTTTTTCCTACATTTTTTAATCTTTTGTTTTTGTTTTTACATTGTGAATTTTTGACGTGTTTTGACTTTTTGACTAAATGATATTTACGAATTTGGCTCGGGGCCATTCTCTGATTTGTTTAAAACTGGCCACTCACATTTTTATTTCCTTACTTAAAGTTGGTTGTTATTTTTCACCCTTGAAATTGTTTTTGTTTTTAGGTTTATCTTTCATTCATAAATACCTAAGAGAGTTTACCTGATCCTAATGGCTCATCACGGTTGATAGAACAGGTTTTAATTTAAACATTTTATTCCTGCACCAACTCTGTGCTCCATGATTTTTTTAATACAGTGCGCGCGGGAGGCACATACCATAGACAAGACAAGAGGAGTGCTTCACAAAACATGAGGCAAAATTGTTGACTAGGGGTGTGCATTTACGGGTAGTACATGAACCGGGTACCCGACTGAAAAAAATATGGGTACCCGGGTACTCGCTACAGAAACCCAACCCCAAAAATGTCAGTCTCGGAAGTTGCTGTTAAGATTGTTCAAAAAGGTCTGCATGCTAATACTACACCATATCGGTGCGCCAGCACGCAAGTTACAAATGTATACAGTGAGCTCTTTAGCTTTGTGGTAAAAACTGCAACTATCAAGAGCATTGTAAACGTGCATTGTTTTTGTTTTCCACTTAGTCTGTTTTTCATTTGGAATTGTCTCTATCAATCACATTCGAAGCTGTTCTTTTTCATTGTCTGAGAAGTTACTGAGTAATTTCTTAAGTTGGTTACGGGTACTCGATTCCATAATCTGGAACCGGTTTCCGACATTGACCGTCGGGTACTCGGGTACCCGTTTCCGACGCACAGCCCTATTGTTGAACAAAACTGTTGCGAAACAGTGAATTTTTGACGTGTTTTGACTTTTTTACTAAATGGTATTGACGAATTTGGCTCTGGGCCATTCTCTGATTTGTTTAAAACTGGCCACTCACATTTTTATTTCCTTAATTAAAGTTGGTCGTTATTTTTCACCCTTGAAATTGTTCCATCAATCAGCATGATCAGGAGTATTTATTGGTTTAATTTATGTCTGACCAAATTTTAAAGGGAAGAAAACAAATATACACGTATCAGGTTATGGATATGGATAAGAAAATCTCGACTGTGGTGCCAGAAAGCAAGACTGCCAAGCAAAAGTGAAGCCTATAGACTTGGGGGCCTTTTCCAACGGCCGGGTCAATTTGTGATTGCAGTTCCAAGGAAAACGCATCTACAAAAAACACCCGAAAGCTTTTACGTTTCCTGCTTTAAACCTCTCACTATATAACGCCTAGAAAAATGGGAGCACAATTTGCTGTGATTTTTTTCAGGGGACTTTGATGATGAGAATGTGACAAGTTTGCCGTTGGCTTGGGATTTGAATTCAAATCTAGTTTTAGAAAGCCTTGGGTAGGCTTTTTTCCCCAGGGAAATGTATTTTTTGTTTACTTTTGTGGAAAGGTTGTTTGTTCAAAAGGCTGAACTTCATGTTTTTAGGCATGCAACAAAAAAGGGCACACAATTTGCTGTGAATTTTTTCAGGGGACTTTGATGATGAGAATGTGACAAGTTTGCCGTTGGCTTGGGATTTGAATTCAAATCTTATTTTAGAAAGCCTTGGGTAGGTTATTTTTCCGGGGAAATGTATTTTTTGTTTACTTTTGTGGAAAGGTTGTTTGTTCAAAAGGCTGAGCTTTATGTTATTAGGCATGCAAATTTGAAGTAACAAAAAAGAGGAAACTCCAATCTTCACAAGACTTTGTACAGTGTTTTTTTATGGCATACATGCAAGTGAATAAAAACCAGGAAATCAGCTGATCCGAGGAAAAGTTGCATGCCTGATAAAGGCTAATTATCACTCAACTTATCATTTTGAGGGGTGAAACAAATTATTGATTTTTTTCCCCCTCAAAATGATCAGTAGATTTTGAATTGTAAAATATTGTGGTTAATATTTTTTTTTACAGTTTTACTTAAAGCTATAGTCCATCATTTGTAATTAGTGCATTTTGTTCGTTTGAAGCAACAAAAGTGTTCAAAATCTAATGAAGGATACTGAACAACTTACTTGATGAAGTTTCAGCTCAGCTTTATATTCCGAGAAAAACAGCATTCTAGGATCTCAATTTCAAATCAAAAGTTGCTAAATCATGTTTCGAATTGTTTTGAATTGCAGCTTTACGCGATGTCGCGCACTGATCCGACGAATTATAGCAACCACGCACGCCTGTGCGTCGTTCCAATGCTTGTGCGCGCTGCGCCAAATAACAAAACGAACTACTTATTTAAATTTTTCTACGGTGCTTCTTAAAGGGAATATACATCATTTGCTTTTGCTGTAATTTTCAGAAATGGATGGAATTGGGGGGTTTGAAATATAAAGCAAATATAGTTACACTAACTTTTTGGAGGTTTTGGGTTCGAAAATGCTATAAAAACCAAGAAAAACGATCATTTTCCTGTAGTCTGGTTCCCTGACTCCATATAAGAAGAAACAGAGCAGTTTACATACATTTGGGAATTGTAAGGTCAGGGAACCAGTCTAGCTGGCTCGTACCCGTTCATAGGTTTGTAATCGATTGCAAACAAGTGCAATGGTCAATTGGGGCCAGTATTTGAAAAAAAAGCCAGTTGTTTCCAACGCTGATCGGCCGATCAGCGTTGGAAATTGATACAAAAATACCACTTTTCTTGAAAATGACAGTATACCAGGTGCCATAATTTTACAGGATGCTTTAGACTGTCATTTACCAACATCCTATTAAGGTATTTCGCAAAAACTTGGTAGTTTTATTTTTCGATGTTTGCAAATGTTGTATATTCCCTTTAAGACGCACCGTTGGAAATGCCTTCTTTCGTTGATTTCTTCAAAATGAGAGCTTGACAGAAAGGATAATTTCACAGGGAGTTTAGTCCCCTTACTATCTTTCAACCAGTATGTTTTTCAACAATAATTACGCCAGTTACTTTTTGGGATAGCTCCAAATGATGGACTCGGGCTTTAAACAGTAGGCCTACTGTTTTACTTAAACAGAGTGATGTCTCTCCACCCAGGAGTATGAATGGGTACCTGTGAAGGTCGAGGACCGATTGAGCGCTGATATCGGCTGCCGCGTGGTCCCACGGCCTGATGAACGGGGTAATAATTGTAAAGCGCTTTGAGATTGTTGATACGATGGAAAGCCCTTTATAAGCACAATTATTATTTTTTTATTATTAATACCGACCGAGCACATATTTATTCCCATTCATAAATACCTTTTCCGTCAAAAAATCAAAACTTTTCGGAGTGTTCAGCTCGCAAGTAAGATGTAAACAACTCCTTTTATGGAGATTGGCGCGCGCGTCGCGCGTACTGCCCGATGTTGCGCAGAATGCACCTCGGGCGTTGCGTTGTGAATTTAAGACCAAAAAATACTGACTCACTGGTAGTAATGCGCATGCCTACTCGGTACGTGAGGATTGTGAACGTTCAACCAATAAAACGGTACTCGAGGCACTGGATTTTTAGGAGTCCAAATTTCATGTGACACTGCAAAAGTGTTTAAGACCAGCTAGCCATGTCTTTATCATCCGTTTAAGACTGGCCACCTGATGGGCTCTCGACCAATTGGAATGGGTAAACTGTCTTAGGTATTTATGAGTGGAAGATAAATGTTGCAAAAAAAAAATCATCTTACTCCAATTTTTTTTCCCCAGTAGTTTCTGGATCACAACCCACACAATTTTCAACAAGGCTGATCAGAGTATACATCTGTAGAAGAATATCCCAAAATATATAATCATTTTATGGAAAACTTTTTTTTTTTAGGATTCAAAAACCAGCCAAAAATGAAGTAACTGAATATAATGTTTGGCAGAACTTTACTGATGGCAATGCAAAAGAAATACCTTGCGAAAATGCCAAAAACAAGTCAAAAATTTCCAATGCCAGAAAAGAACGCGACCACAATATCCCTCCCCCCCCCCCACCCCCACCTTACTCAAGAAAATCCCTTGCCAAATAGCCCGTCGGAAATGACCCATTTATTGGCACGAAACCCAATTCCAAAGGCGTCGGACGACTTCTGAATTACAGATTGTGTTCTGTTTCCAAAAGAACACGTTCTTTTCACAGTTGCATGTAAACAGGACAAAGGGTTCAGTAATTCTACACAATTCGGAAACTCTGTTGCCCACGGCTTACAGGTAAAGCCATGGATCTTCTCTGTCCAGATCGTGTGGAGTTTCTTTTCTTCGCACGTGACTGCGAATCTTGGTAAGGTTGGAATTGACAGAAGACGTCAGCGGACGTCAACATGGACTAGATTGCCTGTGTACATGTACTCAGAGGGCAGTGTTTTTTTTTTTTTTAATTTAAATACTACGAAAAATCTTGTTAGGTCTTGAAATTTGAGGGTTAAACAGATACCAAGGTACTTAAAATCGCAGCATGTTTGCCAAGATTAATTCTAAGCCCTACATGTACCCGATAGTACAATGTCTCAGGTGCAAATTTTTATTTATTTTTTGTTACATAATTTTGATATTCCTGTTAAGGTAAAGTAACATTAAGATTAATTTTGTGGTATAGCCACGATTTTTATTTCTGGAATTTTGTCGATGAACTTGAATCACAAGGACATAAAGTCGGGTGGTTTACATTTGCACATGTCACATGATCAGTGAAGTAGGTTCCCGTGATCACATGATCAGTAACGACCGTTGCAATTTGGGGTCCCATGATCACATTTTCGCATGTCACATGATCAGTGAAGTAGGTTCCCATGATCACATGATCAGTAACGACGGTTGCAATTTGGGGTCCCATGATCACATTTTCGCATGTCACATGATCAGTGAAGTAGGTTCCCATGATCACATGATCAGTAACGACGGTTGCAATTTGGGGTCCCATGATCACATTTTCGCATGTCACATGATCAGTGAAGTAGGTTCCCATGATCACATGATCAGTAACGACGGTTGCAATTTGGGGTCCCATGATCACATTTTCGCATGTCACATGATCAGTGAAGAAGGATCAAATGATAGCAGTGATCAAAGGATCGCACAAGTCCATCACATGTCCTCCAGACTCAAGTGCAGTCAAAAGCGACTCAATAAAGTGTAACAAAACATTCATTTGTTATTATACAAATACAGCATGGTTTGTCGGGAAATAGTGAAAACTAATTACCCCGAGGCGTAGATGATTTCGCCTCGGGAGATAGTCCTAATCATGCAACACCGAGGGGTCATTTGTTTTCACTATTTCCCCGCAAAAATATGTTGTATTTGTTTTACTATACCTCATAAATATTCATCGGACAGCTGCGGTAATCTATTTGTCCATTCCACCATGTTTTTGATCATGCAGTTTTTTGATAAAGTGAAACATTATTATAATTTAAGGAGACAGACAGAATAGAGAGTTAATTTTGTGTATTTTAATAACTTTAACATTCAGGCAAAACACTGCATTTATTTTTATTGTGTGAAATTTCACCCACTTCCTCCTCGGTTAAAATCGCAAAGCGAGCACCACCGGTCGCTATCTTGATGTATGCCGTAATAGACTGGCACATGCAACTGTCCTCACTGGTGTTCTGCACGGTACGCACGAAAAGCACATGCGTCGTTGGTAAAGAGATAACACACTTCTGAATCAAATCTAAGCCTGCGACCCAGGTGTGTAATAGTACCTCCCTGGTTTTTGCGCGTCAAACGCGCGTGAGAAGACACAGGGTGATAGTAAAAACTTTCACACGGTTGAAATGCTGGAATGGACCAATGAAATGTCGCGGTTGCCTGATGAATATTTATGAGGTATAGTAATAAATGTTGGTGTTCTACTCCTTTTACATGTACTGTGAATAGTCTTCTAGATGGACTTGTGATTTACTTTTGACAGGACTTGTGATAGACAAGATAACAACATTGGATGACTCCTTACCTCCCTCACGCTGAAAAGAGACTAGATCAGCAAACGGGTCTTTAGGGTCTGTCGCGCTGGGTTGTTGGAACGGGTTTTGAGAGGCTGCCGTGGGCTGCAAGGGAGTTTGCTGAAGTTGAAAGGGGTGTGCCGGTGGGCTTTTCACAGCCGACGCGGTTGCCGTGGAAACCGAGCTCCCGCTCTGCCGGGTAACAGTGTTTGTCGGGTTGAGCAGATCCGGCAGCGTGCTGGCCGGGGGCTGCTGGACTAAGACCTGCTGGACCAGGATCTGCGGCGGACCGCTGGTACTCCGGTTGAAACTCTGCAAGTTCGGACTGCTGTTGGTGGCCCGCAGACCGGGCATGCTCAGATGGTGCGTTGGCGACGATGTGGCGTCGGTCGGCGCAGCAGCCGACGCGCCGAAGTTGAGTCCGTAATCGGCCAGTAGGGTCTGAGCCGAACTGTTGCTCGGGACGCCCTCCGGGACGTAACCCGCGAGGGCGTTGTTGTTCAGGTGCACCGATTGGAACACCAGGGTGTGATCCTCGCAATCTACGCCTAAAGCGTTCTGAACGGCCGTCCCTTGCACCTGGGATAGAGCAACTTCCCTCGCGGCTTCCTCCCCGTTGGATATATCGACGAGTCTTTCCTGGGACCCGTGACGGCGTTCTCGGCGCGGGGGGATGGGCGGGGGAGGGATGAGGGGACGCTGGATGGCCTGCCCGACGATTTTGGACGCCGAGCTGTCGCGTTGGACTCGCCGCCGGCGCGGCATTGGAATCGGCGCGTCGTCTGCCGCAGACGTCTGGATCGACAAAAGCAAAGAAAAATTGTCAGGATAGCAAATCCGAAAACGAACATCTTTAAAGGTTTTCCAAACACAGATGTAAAAAAAAACACCCAAATCTTCCCGTGCTATTTAAGAGTTCCCTCCAATTTTTTTTAAATTTTTTTAATTTTGCTATTTCTCTAGAAACACAAAACTTTTAAGGAGGCATCGAGCAAAACAACAAAATCCACCCACTTTTAGTTATGTAAATTTGGAATAAATTCATTTGGATATTTGTTGTACGACATAGGTGCATACGCAACCCACATTAGCCTTTTTTTCCCTCAGAAGTTGCCAATGGCCAAAATTTCTGTTTGGTTAAAATACATCAGGAAAAAAATCTAATTTCCCAAAAAACCCTGATAATCTACGCCTAACTATCTTTTTTTTTCTTTTTATAATTGGCTGTTTTGGCACATTTGCTGAGACAGTCTCTTTTTTTTGGATATCTTAAGCTTTCGTTTTATGTATCCCTTGTATCTTTGGTCATCTGTGCATGTAATTGTTGATGTTTCCTGAGAAATAAAATAGTGAAGTATACAAGTATAAAAGTATAAAAAAACGATGAAGAAACGTCAGAAAATGTTTCACACGAACTAATCAACTAACAAACATATTTTGCTGTTTGTTTTTATCATAGAGCTATATTAAATTACTAGAGCGCTAACTCGACGTACAAAGTAATGCCTGATGGGCGCATCCATGTTTGTGCACAAACCTATGGAAAGCTCAAACTTTTGTACGGCTTTTGTACGGTATTTGCATATCTGCGTTTGTATTCCAAACCGGTGCGTCATCAAAGCCGATACGCCCAAAACCGAAACGCACCATCAGCAAATGAGCGTGCAATTTTGCTCTACGCAAACAGCACAACATCTGAGCGTCCCACCGCTGCAGATGCTTTTGGCCGTGACGTTTTTTTAAACGTCATGACGCACTCAAGTTGTTTGCGTGTCTTCCACTTGCGCGCTGCATTTAGAATACACTTTTAAAATCCAATCCATCTATTTTGATTGTGTTCTACAAACACGCACATCAATTCAAAATGTCTGCGCCCAGAGCGGCTTCAAAGCGTCTCCGCGCGCAAGAATGAAGAGTTAGCGCTCTAGTAATTTAGTATAGCTCTATGATTTTTATCCACACAGCTCATGACATTTCAAAGCAAGACAACATATGGGAACTCCATTCTCTGTATATGATGGTCAATTAAAATGTGGGCGTCCGTTTCCCGGATACGTACCGGTACATGATGTATCTCACATACCAGTATGTTCAATCTCAGTAAGACCAGACTTATTAACAAAAGCACTAAAATATCAGGTTTATAATCCAGACAACTCATCACAAGTCTAAGTGAAATAGCATACATGTACTGATGTATAGGTCATACTATACATTTAGGGTAAAAAATGTGACCTTTTTTTCCTGTCCCTGTTACCTTGGTACTATGTAATTTGACGTTCAAGTTCAAAGATGACGTCAAACGATTTTGTTTGTTTGTTGGCCAGGTATGTATGTAGTTTGCTATCGGTTTCTCTCTTGGAGGACGACTGCATTAAAGGTATAGTCCATAATTTGTTATTTGTGCATTTTGTTCATTTGAAGCAACAAAAGTGCTCAAAATCTCAAAAAGGGTTCTGAACAACTAACCTGATGAAGTTTCAGCTCAGCTTTAGCTGTATATTTTTCAAGAAAAACAACATTCTAGGATCTCGATTTCAAATCAAAAGTTGCTGAATCATTTTTTGAATTGGGCCTGAATTCAGCGTCCGAGACACGTTCTCACTAGCAGATTGCAGCTACGCCATGTCGTGCACCGGTCCGACGATTATAGCAACCACGGGCGCGTGTGCGTCGTGCCAATGCTTGCGCTTCACCGAATAAACAAACGAATCACTAACGGAAATTTCCATGGTGCTTCCTAAGACGCACTGTTGGAAAGGCCTTCTTTCGTTGATTTCTTCAAAATGACAGCTTGCCAGAAAGAATAATTTCACAGGGAGTTTAGTCCCCTTACTATCTTTCAACCAAGTATTTTTTTCAACAATAATTACGTCAGTTACTTTTTGGATAGCTGCAAATGATGGACTCTGGCTTTAAGGAAAGCATCCAGATTTTATAAAAATCATACTGGTACATGTCAGATGTAGTCGGGACAGGACCAAAAAAAGTGGACACCAAATTTATAGAAAGATACACATGGAACTCCATTCTAGGTTTTCCACACAAAAGGGGTACAAAAGTGTGACATGGGATTGGGAAATGAAGCAGGATAATAATATCAAGTTGTTTGTCCTCTTTTCCCCTTGTACATTCCCACCCCATTGTTGAGGATTGTGCTCACCAAGAATTTAAGACTTTCCAGGCTGATTTTACATGATATGTGTGCTCAGAATGTTACGTATGCACATGTAACATGGACAGAAAGTTTGTTAATATTGATTGAAAGTTTTAATTACAAAAAAAATGTATTTATCAAATATTGTGCCTTTTCATTTTCTTATCCCTACTGCATTGTTTTTCTTCATCCTTGCAAGTGCAGCCTTCAAATGGTTGAAGATACATGTAAATGCACTGCTAGAAACATCAGGGCAAACCCCTTCTCTTAGCAATAAGTGTTACTGGGTTCTTTAACGTGCATTACACAACACACGGGACCTACGGATCATCCGAAGGACGAAGCAATAATGGTTAACTCTTTCAGTGCCAAAGTCGTACATGTACGAGGTATATTTGTTAATTCGAAATTGCCAACCTGTACGAGGTAATGTTCGAACTTAAAATCGCCAAACGTATTAAGCACTTTATCACAAGGGGGCGCTCTCGCTCTTTCTAATAATATCATTTTCATTCAGGTACGACCTGTATTTATCTGTTTCATTCGAGTTCTTGCGAGAGGGCGCAGCACTGACACTCGTATTTTCTGCAAAAAGTGCGGAATTCCCCTGTGTGCAGGACAGTGTTTCAGGGTGCAGCACTATGTACGTGACTACTATTGACTTTCCAATGTATCAAGGATATACCAGAGAGCATCAACAACAAATCTAGTGAGTAAAACTTACAACATTTTGAACAATTACAAAAATTGCTCGAAGTTGGGCACATTAGGGTTAAACTTTTCAAATTTCGCGGGCACTGAAAGAGTTAATATTGATTGAAAGTTATAATTACATTAAATGTATTTATCAAATATTGTGCCTTTTCATTCTTATCCCTACAACATTGTTACCTGTAAAAACCAAGACAATCAACTGTATATTTAAGACGTCACAGAGTATTATGTTCACAATATTATGTACGTAACTTGGACAGAAATTTGTGACAAACTTCTGTTCACGTTACGTAAAGTTACATGTAAGCGTCTTATCGACCAAGAAAATTGTGTTTAATTTGGCTGATAGCCCTAACAGTCCTGAATCCTCCAATTTCAATATGATTTTGCACACCCCCTAGAGACTTAACAATCTGATGGGTTATATGAATATAAATGAGATGCCATTTGGGTGAATTTATGAACACGATTATCGGTGTCCTGTCAATTAAAAGCAAGTTATTCTGTCCATGTTACTTATGTTATTATTTACATTGACCCCTAGTAATTCCTAAGGTACAAAAAATGTCCCCTATATTTTTGTTGTATCATGATCATTAAAGGGATTGTACAATATTTGCTTTTGCTGCAATTTTCAGAAATGAATGGATTTGGAGCATTAGCACGTTATAGCAAACATTGTTAAACTGACTTGCTTCACGTTTTGGGTTCGGAGATGCTGGGAAATCCAAGAAAACCAACCATGTTCTTGTAGTCTAGTTCCCTGACCCCACTGAAAATGAAACGGAGCAATTTATAGACTTTGGGGAATTGTAAGGTCAGAGAATCAGTCTAGCAGGCTTGTACCCCTTCACAGGTGTGTAATCAATTGCAAAGAAAATGTGGAATAACTAAAGAGTGAAAAATTAGGAGCAGTTTTTTAAAAAAGCCTGTTTTCTCCAACGCTGGTCGGCCGACTAGCGTTGGAAAAATACAAGTTTTCTTGAAAATGGCAGCACACCAAGAGCCACGATTTTACAGGATGCTTTAGACTGTCATTCACTAACAATCTAGTAAGGTATTTCGTGATAATTTGATCATATTGTTTTTTTGATGTTTGCAAATGTTGTATATTCCCTTTAAGGCCTTAGGAAAGTACATGTACATGTACAGGGAAAAGTCAAAAAAATAGCTAGCTTTCTTTCATACCCTCCAGTGTCCCCTCTCAAATTCCAAATAGGCAGTCAATTGTATTAGTGTGGAAATGCGCATCTCCGTTAACGAGAAAATAATTAAGAAAATGGCAACCATTCGCTGGGAAATATATTTTTCTTCATGGACGCTAGTGAGCTGTGCTACATGAACAACTTAATATCTATAATAAGAACTGACATACAGCAACATCTCAAGAAATTTATTCTGATAGTTTTTTTTTTCACTTGGGGAGCTATAAAAGGATTTTCTTTTTTATTCAGGGACGGACAGCGGTAGGTTTTCAACCACAAATCCCTCAGGAAATCCTAGTGCATTTCGTGCGTGGGATCCTCCTGGCAGGCCTATAAAATAACAAAAAGACAGCTGGCGAATTTTTTCAACAAAGCCCGCGATCGAATGACGAGCATTATTATTTTGCTTTTTAAAATTCCGGCACTTTTTCTTGCGTAAATCCGGACCACAAAAAGAACACATTGCACTGTCAAAAGAAATTGCACAATATTTATCTGAAATATGATTCCTTCTTTTGAAAGAAAAAAATAACAAAAATTGAAAGACAATTTTTAGAGTTCTATGTACATCTGGGATGGTCCAATCTTTTAGAGGGTTCTCATATTTTAATGCCAAAATCCAAGCAAAAACAAATTGCATAAGCTGTTTTTGAAATACGATTCCCTTTAAAAACAAAAATGACAAATAATACAAGACATTTTTAGACTTCTATTTGCATATGGGTCATTCCACCGGGTTGGGGAACAATGTGTGACATATGACCATATTAAGAAAAGCATGAGTGCCTTGCTAGCAGTTGCTCTACGTAATATTTGTTGTTGGGTGTTTCACTACTGCAGAAAGTTTGAAATCATTTCAATGTATTTTGCCAAAAAAATGAGCAAAAAATGTCATTTTGGACGTAACATTGACACCGAGTCGGTGTTACATTCAAATGTGACATTTGTACTTTTTTTTTTTAAATTTCTGCGAAACATCACCCAAATTCACTTTACGTACTTCTTACTATACATGCAACACAATAAAAACAGCTTTTGTTATGGTAGTCAGGTATCAAATGGAGCAGAAATGATAGCTTGGTTGTGTGGACACGGTGTCAATGTTACGTCCGAATTAATACATTTTGCTCATATTTTTGTCAAAGTACTTTCAAACGATTTCAAACTCTCTCCAGTATTGAAACACCCTAAGACAAATATTATGTTGAGCAATTGTTTAGAATGCATTGATACTTTTCATAATATAACCAAATATATGGATGTAACATGCACTGCTTCCCAACCCGGTAAAATGACCCATATATGGATGGTACGTACATTCTTCAGTTTCGGGTAACAATTTTCATGCAGACTTGAGAGATGTTTTGAAATATCGGTTGACATTTGACAAAAATATCTCAAGTAGTGATGCATCAATAGAAATGTGCAACTGTTGCCAAAAAATACCCAGTGAAATATTGCTTACGAGGTAAAAGCACAATTTTATGCTGTGTCCAATGAAATGGGCCGATCATCTGCTTGACATGATCTGTTTCGTTGTGAAGCGCCATGGGGAACGTGTTGCTTGTGTTCATGGGCAAGACAGTTTACATACCTCTCTAAACCCAGGAGTAAAAATTAGTGGGTAATCTGTGAGGGTACAGACCAGATTGCGCTGATCTTGAGCAACTGCAGAAAAGAGGTCTCATGGCCTGACGAACAGGGGTAATATTGTAAAACCTTTCGCTTTGTGACTTTGGTTAGAAGTTGGAGTGTGCATCTTGCCGGCTTCACGTAGGAGGCACCTTTGCTGCCTGTCTTTCGCTTTCGAGGGTGTTTGCGTGTTTTGCGAGTGATCACCCGTGAACAACTCGTGAACACACGCAACTGCACACATGGGTAGTTATGGGGTACCACCGTCCACCTCTTCTTCCCTAATATTGTTCTCATTTGTTTGTACTACCGGTACATAGCCTTTTTCACTCCTGGGGTACTGAGATTTTAAAGACCGAATTGCGAGGTACCGGTACCGTTGTCCCTATTGTTACCCTTTGTTTCCCTGTACCCCATAAGGGTGCAGGCCAGTAAATAGGTCCGAAATTGCCTACGCCGGCCAAATCACGATTTGCATGCCCTCAAATTCTTCAGTGTTAGAGCATTTTTAAGGCCGTGAACTTGATGATTTGTAAAAAACATAAGGTTGGAAGCCGTGCAGAGGACTGCGAGCTCGTATTTCTGTGAAATGTGGATGATGATTTGGCACTAAATTAGCTATATTTTGCACTGGAGCGTAGGCGTCCATTTTCAAAATGGCGATGGGCTTCAGGACTGCTTTTAGAGGTGATCATCTTTGGATGGAAATTTCTCCCAAAAGTCATTGGTTAACCTCCAGAAAATTGAACAGAAAATGAAAGATGATGAAATAAGCTTTAATTTGATGTATGTCTTGAACACCTCAGAGAGTTGTTAGTTTTTTTCCTGAATTTCTGAAGTGGGGGCATTTATCGTTGGGGTCTATGGAAATTTATTTACTGGTGTGCAACCATAAGACCATATACATGTTATATGAGTAAACACACATACACACCCTTTGCGCTTTGTAGTATAGTGGTAGAGAACACTTAAGCCCAACATTATTATCATTATCATCTAACTTCCATTCAGTTGGGTAAGAAAGTGGCAAGCTTTCTTTCGAGAGTTGTCCCTGAACAAATCTTCTTCCAATACTAATACTTATATACTAAAAAGTGCACGAATCCACCATTGTTGGTGCTCAAGGCGCTACATCATTATTACCCTGCTCATTGGGCCAAGGAAACATTGCAAAGACAATCTCAGCTCCCTGGGGAGTATACAGCTCCATGCTGCCTGTTAGGCGCAAGCAAGCTAAACTCATTCACAATTACCATCTCTGCCATTACAGGTACCCATTTACTCCTGGGTGGAGAGAAGCAATGAGTGACAAAGTGCCTTGCCCAAAGGCACACGCGCCAGGCTGGACTCGAACCCACAACCTGCAGAATTACCCGCAGACCATGAGGTTCAGTGCTCGAGACCACGAGATTCAAATCAGACGATCCTTCCTGTTGGCTTCCCTCTACCTGAAATGTGCCCCTGATCTTTTGGAAAAATGACCCAAATTTCCGTCCTGATTCTACAGTAATACGCAGGCTCTTACCGTTTCATTCGTGGTCGATTCGGTCAGATCTTCCTTGGAGCCGATCTTCCGTAAGAGCTGCTCCATGTCGTCCATGAGGTTCATGTCAGAGGAAGTCTCCCGACGGCTCCCCTCCTCCCGGGAGTCCCTGTCGCCTTGGCTCGGGTGACGGTAGGTTTTACTCTTCAGCGGTAAGGTTGGTGGATTGCTATAGAAAAAAGAAAAAAAAAACTCAAGCTTATCTTTCAAGCCTAAAGTGCCCTAAGGTCAACCTCACAAACTGAGTCGGAGACTGACTTATTTTGTTCAGGATCAACCTCACCTGAGCTATGACCAGCGGGAAAATATCAGGTTCTTTTGTGACCCGAGTGCAACTTGAAAATGGCAACACTGGTCGGCCGACCAGCGTTGGAAATTGATACCACTTATCTTGAAAATGGCAGCACACCAGGTGCCATGATTTTACAGGATGCTTTAGACTGTCATTCACTTAAACTGTCCAGTAAGGTATTTGATAAGAATTTGGTAGTTTTGTTTTTTGATGGTTGCAAATGTTGTATATTCCCTTTAAAGATTTCTATTGACTTTCAAAATACCTCTGGAAAGGTGGGCGGAGTTCAGTGATCTAACCTTAAAAAAAAAGGGGGGGGGGGTTTGCATGTCACTTGGTGGTCAGTCTGTCTGTAACAAAAATTGACTAAAAGTACTGTGGTCCATATGTGCCATCGACGTTTTGATGTCTGTTTAGGAAAAGCAATCCATTGACCGATCGTTGGAAATCACAAACATTTCTTGATTTCTTCTAAATGACAGCAAGCCAGACCGAAGAACTTCACGGGGTGTTTAGTACCGGTACGATCTTTAATCCAAGTAAGCTTTTTTGATACTAATTCGGTAGGTTGCTTTTGGGATCAATGCATATGATCCTATAGCCCAGGTTGGACGAAGTCTTCATTGCATTACGACTAACGTCCAGGGTGAGAATTCTCTACATAAGACCACCCAAAATTTGGACCAGATTTTTGTTACGTTTTACCTCGTTACAGAAGCTTATTTCACGCCTACATTTTCTATGTGTCCTTCTCTATTGATCCAGGGGTTCAGGAATTCCATATGTGATGCTGACCGACATTAATCAGGAAAATAAACTCTAAAGCAACGTTAAACTTGTACGTGTTTGTAGTCTCTTTTCATCAGTTTTATTCCCGAGTCGTACGTCATGTACGTGCGCACGAAAGCGCGCACGCACGCTAGCGCCCTCATTTGTTTAGTTTTGGTTGGAACAGTGACGTCACTCCAGCCAACCGACGTCACGAAAACGCTCAACCAATGACCAAAGCCGAAACATGTTTCTGGTAACTGGGGCGAAAACACGCTCGGTCATTGGATTAGCGACCGCGCCTTCAAGTAAGTGCGCGTGCGTATGAGGATGGTTACTAAGCAAATCGCGCGTGCGCACTGCATATTCACGCTGCATAGTCTGGCTCCCAGACCCGACGTGATATGAGCGCCGAGAATAATTGTCAGGTCTAGGGAACCAGACTACAAGCTGCACGGACGTACGTCATGTACGACTCGGCGGTGAGAAACTGATGAAAAGAGTCTACAAACACGTACAAGTTTAACGTTGCTTTCGAGTTTATTTTCCTGATTGACGTCAGTCAGCATCGCATATGGAATTCCTGAACCCAGCGGCCCAATAGATAAGGACACATAGAATACTACGACGTAACAATTAGCTTCTCCAACAAGGTCAAAATATTGAAAATATTGGTCATAAATTTTTTCGCCCGGTTTTGAGCACTTTATACCCTGGACTCCCTCCGTTACGTAGGGAGGAAAGGGAGTCCACCTGGGCTAATGATCCTACAGTGTCTTAAATAACGCACCTATCATTCGAAGTCCTCCTGTTGGGTAAACCCGCCACGGTCATCGGCCGAGCATTTTCCTCCGAGATCCGGCGGGAAGCATTAGATGTAGTTTTCTGTGAAAATAAAAAAAAAAATTAAAGAGATTGTTGATTGCTGAAAGATATCTGCATCATTATCACAACTCTTGATTTCATTTTTGCGGACATCGGACGAGAAATTTTCTGAGGAATTTTTATATATTAAAGTGCACTTACAAAACTAGCATCATTTCATTGTGTTATTTTTTCGGTCAGCTCCACAGTTTTAACTTCTCACAAAAAAATGTATCGTTCAGCAATTGATAATCCTTTTCAGCTCCACAGTTTTAACTTCTCACAAAAAAATGTATTGTTCAGCAATTGATAATCCTTTTAAACAATTGTTAACGGGTAATTCTGGCATTTATACTGTTCGTGACAGAGCTTTTAAGACCTCGGTTAATAAACCTGAAAACATATTTTCAAATCTTATTTAATTATTTATTTATTTATTATTTTAACTGGGTAGCCCATTCATTGGAATCCACTGGTCTCCCATGGGGCCCAGTAAAGAGAAGACAATGTGAAGAAAGTACAGTTTTAGATGTGGGAGGAAAACCCTAGAATAGAATATTCTGAGGAAAACCCACAGAATCAGGCAGGGACTGAAAACCCAATCCACATATTGGCCCAGGCGGGATTCGAACCCGGGTCACAGCGGTGGAAGGCGAGGAAAGTACCGCTACGCCAACCTGACTCCCCATATCTTATATATCATCTAGCAATGGTCAAGGAGATTAGGACCAAAAAAATCTTCAGTTTCTGGTCTGCGCACGCTTCACCGTAGCCGTGCACGTTGGCAAAATTAACAAGTTTTTTTTTGCAATATAAGATGATGTCTCCAAAACTGCCAAACTCACTGGTTTGACTGGAATCCTGCTGCTGCACAATTTCAATGTGTTTTTAGATGGGGTTATGATCGAGAATAAGCTTTATGTGGCCTCTCTGGGCTCCCATATATTTTGCACTGAATTTAGTCCGGCACCATTTGCAGATGGTGATGTAAGTTTATAATTGTGCGTCTGGAAGCCAGACTGAGGGAGCGATGGTCATGTAGGTTGAACCTGTAAATGCTTTTTAATTAGCACAATATGTAAGGGAGCAGACTAATGAACAGCCTGGCAGCTCATGCACAATATCAATGTCGCTGTATGGTCTATGTACCACCATTTTCTCTGATTTTTTCTTGACTATTTAAATTTCCTGAAGATTATTCGTTTCGGTGGAGATTGTAAGTGGGTGCAGAATTCTCAAGCCTTATGGCCTTACTGAGGTCACCTCAAGCTCCATCTTTAAGGATATTTTTGAGTGAAAGGGATTGAAGCATCATCTGCAACATCAGCCGACATTTAAAGAAAAAAAAATAAGATGTAAAAAAAAAAAACGTGTCGCTGCACCACTTTTGGGGCAAGCTCCATACCAGAAACTGAAGACTTCTTTTTTTGGCCTTACAGACTAGGAGTTTTGGATCATTTCTCTGAATCATTAATTAGATATCATGGTTAATTGGCTCAGTCATGGACAATACACTTCCTTTCATAACGACAGAATTGCCCCTAGAGTTGAAAGATTCATTTCATTTCATTTGGTCAAAGCCGGCAACACAAAGTCTCCCTAGACAAGTTTCATAATATGGGATACATAATCTCATACATAAGCAATGGAGATTAGTTCTAGCTTGCAAACTCCTCTGAGATAACAGGAATTTCAAGTAGGCTTTGAGCAAACATGTAGGAGTTGTCTTAAGGAGGCAAGCGTGTTTGTTTGAGTAGTAAAAGCAGAGATTTTTTTGTGTGTGTGCATTCATTATTGAAATGAATCTTTATTTCATGTGCATCCATCATCGCAAATACATCTGTCTGCATTTAAGTGCTTGTTTTGAGTTAAGAGTATTTCAAGGGCTTATTCAACTGAGTTTTTGAATGGAATTAATTTGAAAAGTGATGGACACAATTGGCAAATTCAAAAATGTGTTTTGTGGATTCAAGGAATAACACCAAAAATGTGAAAAAGTAAAGTCTGTAACGAGCCAATGTGGCTCATCAGGCCGGCGTTTATCTCCGGTTTCGGAAGCATAAAACGACTGAGAATATTTCTATTCCACCTGGATGGCATGCCAGTCCATTGCAGGTTACTCCCCGGCTAATGCCGGTGCCCATTTATACTCCTGGGTGGGGAGGGGCAAGTTGGGTGAAGTGGCTTGCCCAAGTACACAACATATGACCCGTAGCTGGATTCGAACCCCTGACCCTCTGATCATGAGTCACGAATCCTAACCACTAGGCCACACTCCCCAAATTTGAAGCAGCTTATTAAAAAAATATCCCACCATGCCTACAGGTTGAAATTTCAACTCGGTAGAAATACTTTTTGAGAAAACTCTGAAAATCCACAAACAAATCTGCGTTTTTCTCAACGCCAAGCCTACTGGTAGGTTTCTATTGAAAGTGCAACGGTTTGGTCATAACCATTGCAAGAAAATGATGATAAAATCTTCTTTTTTTTCTCAAAAAATGACAGCATACTAGGCCCAATGAATTCACAGGACGCTTGATCCTATTATTTACTCAAAATCAAGCAGGATGTTTCATGATATTTTGACAATTTCATTTTTGAATGTATAACAAAAATGGTGTCCGTTACGTTTTAGCGTTTGTAATGCCATAGTTTCTAAAAATGAATTTTGCTGCTTTGGGACATATTTTGCTTTTTGCAAATCTCCATAATCATGAGCAAAATGATGATATTGTCTGTGCCAGAAATGTCAGTGTTTCAGAAACTTCAGCAAATGGGTTAAACAATTCCTAATTTGAATTGGCTACGCACAATCCCTTGGAGATTGCGACGAAATGAATAATAAGCAAACCTATCGAGGGTAACGACTTACAAATCATGTTCTTGGATCCTGGTAAAAAAAACCAGGTGTTTGTACAAATGCCGATGTGATCTCTTTAGACTTTCAGATTAGGAGCATTGAATTTATCTTTAAGTAATGCGCCAGAAAAAGTGTTGATCTTGGGGTAGTTGAGGGCCTCACATTGTAATGCTTTCCCAATGAAAATTCAACGCAGGTTGGTGGCATTGCCACAGACACGTGGGAACGTGGACTGAATACGAAAACAAATCATTGGTCACGACTGATAACGAAAAACGCATACAGGATGAGTGAAAAAACGAAACCCAATTGTCGGGACAATTGTTTTAGTGAAGTTCTGCATGTAGCACTTTCAAAATCTAGGATATGAAAGCCCAATTCATAAGCTTTCTTTTAGTACAAGAATCATTCAAATCACTCGTGTACTTTTCAAATTATGGAATTTTAAACACATCCACCGTTTTATAGTTCTGTCAACGGATCACAAAAAAGGTGTGCGTTCTTTAAGCAAAACGAAAACATTTCACACACATCCCTTTGTGATTTGTTTTTGTTTTGCTGAAAGAACACACACCTTTTTGTGATCCGTTGACAGAACTTTAAAACGGTGGTTGTGTTTAGAATTCCGTAACTTGAAAATTACATGACCTTTGACCTCCATTTCGGAAGACTTTTGATGACCCCCCCCCAAGGATCACTCTAAGTTACATAAAAAAAACCATCAAATTCTGTAGACAAAGAAAAATTTGAAGCATATTTGAACAATGACCTCTAATGACCCCTACATGACCTTTGACATCACTAATCTGATGAAGAATTGTGTCTACCCACCCAAGGGCTACTGCATCCAACATGTCCAAGCTTCATCAAAATCCATGAAAGCATGTAGAAGCTATACATTTTTTTTCAAAAACTTTACCTAACATACATGTACATACATACATACTGACGTTCCAGCGGATGGGAGTTCTGGTGTACTTGCATTCGCTCTTTTCACACTCCGCCATTGGGCATGCAGAGCCTCGATCTGGCAACTTTACACAATGAAAAAAGCCAGTTCAGTGATCTAAACCCTGGCATGCGAATCACTGAACCGGCTTTTTTCATTGTGTAAAGTTGCCAGATCGAGGCTCTGCGTGCCCATGGCGGAAGTGTGAAAAGAGCGAATTGTTTTCTGTTTATTCCTCTGCTTTAGAATTTCACTTCTGGGGTATTGAGTAGCGGTGTAGCATTTTTTCCTAAATTTCTCTTTGTATGAGAACCCTACAAGTAGTTCAATTAAGTACGGGTCTAGACTACGGGTTAACGGTCATACAGGTCTTTGGCCATACAGAATTTAGGACTGATATAGGTAAGTGTCTCCCAAAACTTCGTTTAGGCGACACAAAGATTTGGATTACCGGATTTTGAAATCTCTGACTTCTCCCAACACTACTCTAGAAAGCCACTCGGAAAGTAAGTAAGATTCTGCCTGGGCGAGCAGCAGAAGTTGAAAATGTCAGCTTACCCTTCGGACGTCCACGGTGGTTCTGGAGGGGATGGGGCTGTTCTGGGGGCTATTTGAGGGGGAGGAGGGGGCGCTGGACGTCGGGAGGGGGAGAGAGATGTCCAGGTAGGAATGCTGGCGATTGTTGTGCCTGCGAGACATGTCCAAGTCTTCCGTTTCCTGTGGGAGGAAGGCACATTGTTTGGTTGGAAACTTGCTCTACTTGACCTACATGTAGCTGAGGCTGGATTCAGGAACTTGTGGAATATTACATTTTTTTGACCAACAAATGTCAGAGTAATTAAAAACCATGACGCGATATGGACTACACTTGTTAATACATTGCCTGCACGGCTTAACAAGCACTGTTTAAAAACGTAATGATACTCTGGTTTTATGGGAGAAGCAATGAGTGACGCAGTGTCTTGCTCAAGAAACACACACACGGTAACCCAGTGGCGTACGGTATCCAGGTTTTGATGAAACCGCACTCTCACATCCGCGCCAAATTGTAGACAGCACATTGCTATGGTTTTTGGAGCTTGGTTTTCTTTTCTTTTTCATGTCAGAACTCTTATGGAAATAGTTACTGAAAAAAAAAAATCTTTTAAAAAAATCTGCCGGGGGGGGGGGGGGGGGGGGGAGGGGGGGAGAGGAAGGTGCCACTCCCCTACCCCCACCCCCTCTGGATACGCCACGCCGTAACCCCAGGCTAGACTCAAACCCACAACCTGCAGAATTATCCACAAGATTACGAGTTTAAAGCACCAGACCACGAGGCCCGCACTCCACTTACATAAGTTGACTTTATAAACAATAACAAATCTCTACTTTTTTTTCTTTTAATATTTCTTCTCTTTTGAAGCCTTCTTTAAAAGAAGAAATGCTTGCTTGTCTCACCTTCCCCTTAATTAGCTTCGTCTTCAGGCCGCTGTAATGCTTGTTGGCAAAGTCTCTACCCTAAATTATAAAAAGAGGAACAAATCCGTTATTAGTAACTTTTGAGTTAAGAAAAAGGTGATACGGAAAAATAACAGCTAGGATGAAGTTATCTTTAAATGCGCATAACAAACTTACGCTAAAAAGGGAATGTACATGTACAACATTTGCTTTTGCTGCAACTTTCAGAAATAAATGGATTTGGAGGATTAGTATGTTATAGCAAATATTGTCGAACTGACTTGCTTCACGTTTTGGGTTCGGAGGGCTATGCTGGAAAATCCAAGAAAACCAATCATGTTCTTGTAGTCTGGTTCCCTGACCCTACTTCAGATGAAACTGAACAATTTATAGACTTTGGGGAATTGTAAGGTCAGAGAATCAGTCTAGCAGGCTTGCACCCCTTCACAGGTGTGTAATCAATTGCAAAGAAAATGCAGAATAACTAAATATGAAAAATTAGAAGCAGTTTTTGAAAAAAGCCAGTTTTCTCCAACGCTGGTCTGCCGACCAGCATTGGAAAAATACAAGTTTTCTTGAAAATGTCAGCACGCCAGGAGCCACAATTTTACAGGATGCTTTAGACTGTCATTTCCTAACAATCCAGTAAAATATTTTGTGATAATTTGATCATTTCTTTTTTTGATGTTTGCAAATGTTGTACCTTCCCTTTAACCCTTTCATTACCACATTGTTTATTGACTTGGCTCTCTCCAGGACCAAATTGTTTGCTCAGTCATGCGGAAATCACTAGAGCGTGAACAAAATGACCACAAGTCCAAAACTCACTTTTTTCAACCCAGATTTTCACTGCCAAGGAGTGATTTAAATCATAGGTGTTTTGTGTAAAGTTTGTTCCTCGAACCTTACTCTTTTATGTGATGTAAAAATGAAGTCCATATGTGTAAAGATAAGAAAGTTATGCCTGTTTGTTCATCTGGTTCCATTTATCAAACTGCAAGCCATTTCACCACATGACCGAATGGCACTCCATACCTCAATTTGTGAGTGGATACTTCTATTAAAGCACTTTTCTCATTTTTGTGTAATGGCAACACTATGAATAAACTACACCATTAGAACGATCCGAAAACACTCTTTCAGCTGGTATATGGTTGAGGTATGGGCGGCCAAACATATCAACATGCCGCCTTTCTGAAAAGTAGTGAATATATCTGTGTTGAGGGTGTTCTGTGTAAAGTCGGCCATGGAAACCAGCAGGGGGGTTCTTCTTGTCGACAAAAGTCGCCCATGGTAAGGAAAGGGTTAAGCTTTCAAAATGAATGTCGAATGAAAGCTGCGAATGTGATAAATTTAAACGTGTTTGATTTTGCGTAGAAGCCGATCGCACCCCTTACTGTGCATAATAACCAGTACTGTAACCCTTAGTCAAGTTCTCACAAGTCCACACAAGCCATCATAAGCTATCACAAGTCCACATAAGCCATCATAAGCTATCACAAGCCATCTCAAGTCCTCCAGTCTCACGACAAGTCACAAGTGTTTCAACTGCACTTCAACACAAGTATTCCTTTGTCAATGTTCATCCTCTGATTGTGACCCAAGTTGTGGCTGGCTTGCGATTTGATTATGAAGGACTTAAGAATTGACTTGTGACTTGACTTGTGATGTGATTGACTTGTGATTGACTTGTGATTGACTTGTGATCGACTTGTGATTGACTTGTGACCAACTTGTGACTGACTTGTGATTGACTTATGACTAACTTGTGATTGACTTGTGATTGACTTGTGGCTTGACTTGTGACTGATTTGTGACTGACTTGTGACTTACTTGTGATTGACTTGTGATTGACTAGTGACTGACTTGTGACTAATTTGTGACTGACTTGTGATTGACTTGTGATTGACATGTGACTGACTTGTGACTGACTTGTGACTAACTTGTGACTGACTTGTGATTGACCTGTGACCATCTTGTGACTGACTTGTGACCGACTTGTGATCGATTTGTAATTGACTTGTGACTGACTTGTGACTGACTTGTGACTGACTTGTGACTGACTTGTGACCGACTTGTGATTGATTTGTGACCGACTTGTGATTGACTTGTGATTGACTTGTAACTGACTTGTAATTGACCTGTGATCGATTTGTAATTGACTTGTGACTGACTTGACTGACTTGTGACGGACTTGTGATTGACTTGTGATTGACTTGTGACTGACTTGTGACTGACTTGTGATTGACTTGTGACCGACTTGTGACTTGATCTGTGATGGACTTGACCCAGGCTCCGACAAAACATTTGTGAAATTGTTACCTGTTTTAACACCAGCTTCATGGCTTCGGGATTGGCCTGTAAACACGATGTGGGGATGGGCGAGAAATCGGGTGAAAACCAAAACACCAAACAGACAAAATGAAAAATGCGTGAGATGTTGAACGATAAAAAATGAACATTAATGACAAGGGCACCATGTGGGAACTTGAGTTCATGAATGAAATACTTCCCTTCTAATGGGACCAAGATATGAATTTTTACACTGAACATCTTTTGTGTAAATATCTGTTCCTCTGCCATGTATGAAAATAATGATAAACCCTTTTGTTTTGGTTGCATTTTTTCTGAAGTGCCAATAATGTTTTCAGCGCAGGGAATATATTGGCTATTTTGCGACAACAGAGGGCCCTGTTGCTGTGATGTCAATTGATCCCAACTACAGTTTCGGGATTTCTGAAAACTGATTGCATGTACAGACGCCATTTTAAAAAAATATACGGAGGTATGAATAAGGTGAAAAAAAAATGAAAACAATTTTGACGATTTAGGCCAGTTCTATGGTGGTGTTGTACGAGCTGTGTGCTCATATCAGCATCTCTAAGGAGATCACATCGGTGGTTCTGGTTGTAGCTTGCGCACGCGACCGTGCGTACATGTACCTCATTCATGTGGGCGGAGGACGGGGTCTTGTGTCTGGTGATTAAATGGCGGTGTAAGACCACCCACATAACAGGCTCTCAACCAATAGGAAAAGGTCAACTGTCACAGGTTTTTTATAAATGTTTTCATGTACATGTACATGTACATGGTTCATGTACATGGTTCCTTATGGGTGCAGACCAGTAAATCGGTCCGAAATTGCCTGCGCCGGCCAAATCACGATTTGCATGCCCTCAAAATCTTCGGTATTTGAGCATGCTGTGGGCCATGAACTTGAGGGTTTGTAAAAAATATGGGTGGAAGCCGTGCACAGGACTGGGAGCTTGCAGTTCTGTGTAATTTTGATGTAATTTGGACCCTAAAAGCGCTCTATTTTGCAATGGAGTGTAGGCATCGTTTTTCAAAATGGCGATGGGCTTCAGGACTATTTTCAGGGGTGATCATCTTCAGATGGAAATTTCTCCTAAAAGTCATCAGTTGACCCCCCAAAAATTGAAAAGAAAATGAAAGATGATGAAATAAGCTTTAATTTGATGTGTGTCTCGAACACCTTGGAGAGTTGTGAGTATTTTTCCCGAATTTTTGAAGTGGGAGCATTTACCATTGGGGTCTATGGAAGTTTATTTACTGGTCTGCTACCTTATGGGGCACGAAACACAACAGAACAATGTACAATGTTAACGAGTAGCTGTAATCTACTGCATAAATCAGCGTTCCCATGAACCACAAATGAAGCAGCGTTAAAATTGCGTTTTTCAGATTTTAGTAAAAAAGAAAGAAAAGCCAAGCATCCTACCTTCGGCCGTATAGACCCCTGCGCCTGAATCATCTGTTAAGGAATGTTAGGGACAGGCAAGGGGTGGGGTTTAAAAAAAGGGGAGGGGTTGAAATCGCAAGACAGAATGTTAGTATTACAAGCAATGGCACCTTTATTAAAGGCACGTAGGATAATTTGCTTTTCATGCATTTTGTTCGTTTCCAATAATAACACCACTCAAAATCCAAAGAAGAATGAACATTCAAAACCTGACCTGTTGAAGTTTCAGCTCAGTGGATATTACACTTTTTGAGAAAACAGTGAAAAACCATACACAACCTTTCGATCACGAAACAAAAATTTCGTCAACAGCACTCTGTATTCCCAAAAATCAGTCAATGGACTGATCGTTGGCTACATTTCTGGATTGATTCTAAAAGAGGTTGCACTAGACGAATAATTTCATGGGTGTTTAGTACCAGTACAATCTTTAATCCAAGTAAGCTTTTTGATAATAATTTGGTACATACAGGGTGAGTAAAAAAAAAACGAAACCCAAATGTCGGGACAATTGTTTTAGTGAAGTTCTGCATGTAGCACTTTCAAAATCTAGGATATGAAAGCCCAATTCATAAGCTTTCTTTTAGTACAAGAATCATTCAAATCACTCATGTCCTTTTCAAGTTACGGAGTTTTAAAAGCAACCACAGTTTTAAAGTTCTGTCCATGGATCACACAAAAGGTGTGTGTTCTTTCAGAAAAACGAAAACAATTCACACACATCCTTATGTGATTTGTTTTTGTGTTGCTGAGAGAATTTTTTTGTGATCCGTGAACAGAACCTTAAAACGGCGGCTGTGTTTAAAACTCCGTAACTTGTAAAGTACATGAGTGATTCAAATGATTCTTGTACTAAACGAAAGCTTATGAATTGGGCTTTCATATCCTAGATTTTGAAAGTGCTACATGCAGAACTTCACTACGAAAATGGTCTGGACATTTGGGTTCCTTTTTTTTTTACTCGCCCTGTATATTTTTGGGATGAATGCAAATGGTTCTATATGCCTTGAATTAATAAAGAAATTATTCATTCATTTACTGCAAATTGGTGGGAATTGGATAACAACCCGGCATTAAGTTCAGGCACAAATATATTATAAACAAAATTAAAAAAACAAACCAAAAACACAAGCATGGCACTAATTGTAAGTTCAAATGTGAATTGATTTACTTTTTTAAATTGTGTTAAAAATGCATGCAAAGCCGTGACCATGTAAAGTCACCAAATACAAGTCATTCAATCGGGATGTTTGAAATTTGGAATAAATGTTTAACTACTGTCGGGTCGCTTCAAAGAAGCAATCACACTTTGCATACATACATGTAATTGGCTTATTTGATGTACCGTATTTTGGTATCGGCAGTTTAAAATTCACTTCATATGCATTTCATCGTTAATACAGAGGGATTAGGTACTGAGTAGCAATTAAACAAAGCTACATTAGGGCAAAATAAAAAAGTCTCTGGTTTCTGGTATGGAGCTTGCCCAAAAAGTGGTGCGGCGACGCAGCTTTTTGTTTTTTTTAACCTTTTTTTTTTGCTTCAAATGTCGGCTGATGACTGCAAATGGTGCCCGACTAAACTTAGTGCAAATATTATGGGAGACCAGAGAGGCCACATAAAGCTTATTCTCGATCATAACCCCATCTAAAAACACGTTAAAATTGTGCAGCAGCAGGATTCCAGTCAAACCAGTGAGTTTGGCGGTTTTGAGACATCATCTTTCATTGAAAACAAAACTTTTTCATTTTGCCGAGGCGCATGGCCACGGCGACGCGCGAGCATACCAGAAACCGGAGACTTTTTGTTTTTGGCCTTATGAAAGCCACCTGACAATTTACTGGTATTTTTACATCTTACATGAGCCGTATTTCACCACACCAAGATACGGCTTACTTAAATTATCGCAACCTGTTCCTTACGCAAAACATGAAAAGCTGCGAAAAAATTCCTTAAGAGATTTCCCTAGTTTATAAAAAAAAGTTAACTACTTTGAAGTGATACATGTACATGTGTACATGTATCTGCAAACACTATTTTTCCGGGGGAGTGAGGTGAGGGGAAGGGGCTGTTTTGCTTTTTTAGGGGGGTGGGGGGAGGGCACATCAATCTGCTTACCAATAGTTTCTACTAAGCGTTTAAACAAACTTAGCCCCTGGTTATGAACATTTCTATTGAATGAGAAAACAATTTTGCAAGCGTTGGGAAAAGTTGCTTACACATGTAACAAATGCATGTAACGGGCCCCTTTCACCGCGACTGCTGTATTAAAACTGCATAATGACGCAGTGGGTGTGCATATACAGTGTCGTCGGTGATGAATACCGGTATGTAACACCTCCCGCGAGAGATGTGGGGATTCTAATTTGTAGTGATTATCTATACATGGAATTGTTTAGCAGTGGTTATACAACTTCCTTCGGGACAGGGTTTTTCAAGTTATGAATAGTAAGTCTATGGAGAGTGATAATCTTTGCAGCCAGTTTAAACCGGTTCAAACTGGTTCCAACTAGTGCAAACCAGCAATACGACAATGGTAAGAGAATATAACTGGATCTTTCTTTGTCAACACGTCTTTGCAGACTTTTCATGTAAGGGTGTTATTTGTTATGAAGCCTGCCTTTCAAATCCAAAGATGAGACCAAATTGTGGTATTTTCCTGATTGTTTTTCAAAGATTTATGAAACTTTGAAGGTGGCATTAAATATAAAACAAAGTTAGAAAACTCCACGAAGAACTTTTTCTAACTTTGGAGGATTGCATTTTAGCAGTTAACAATGAGAAAAATTGCAGACATTACAATTTACAACGGCTGATAAATGAAGATACCCCCCTCCCCAAAAAAATTAAACAAAATGACAGAAAAAAAATGACTTTTTTTTTTTTGATTTTCAGTCTGCTGCAAAGTTGAGATCTTAAATATCTCTGAAATATATACTAAACGTTTCAGCCTGTAATTTCGCCTTTAAAGGGTGAATTTCTAGATGATTATGACCATGTATCAATTCAAGAAATGCAAAGTCAAATATAATATGTATGGCCAACTTCTCGTATTAGGCCAAATAAAAAAAAAACATGTTTAGCGTCCTGCCTTTTTGAAAAAAGGAGGCTGGAGGCCCTTTTTTCCCCCTCCAAAATGGCCACCTAACCGGGCTATTTTTCAAGATGGCCACCAGTTGTTTTTTTAAATGGCCGCCATTGGACTCAGGAAATGACATACCGGCTTTTTATTGGCTAGATGCAACATACAAGGAGGCCAAAATTATGTCACTGTTTCAAATTAATAATTTTTCGGTAAAAAAAAAAAGGAAAAAAAAAGGAAGAAAGAGGTGGCCTCCAAAAAGGAAGCGGGCGGGGACGCTAAACATTTTTTAAAAATTATTTTTCCAATGGCCAAAACTGTTCCCAAGGAAAGTTTGATTTCAAAATCTAAGCATACATTGTCAAGGATAAAACCTATACTTTGACAAATATTTAATTTTCCAACCACTTTACAAAAATTGTCTTTTTTTTTTACAGAAAGCAATGCATAAATGAAGAAGAAGCTAGTAGAGTTAGGATGTGTTAAAAATAACGACAAAGCTTCGAGAAAGACCAAGAAATTGTTCCTACCTTCTGTTGGATGTTTTTCTGTGCGTCTTTCAGCATTTTTCTGCCGTCCGTTTTGACCGTGGACAAGTGGATCTTGAGTTGTTCCTTCAAGTTTTTGCTGGACAGACCTTTCACGTATCAAAGTGACACACAAAAAAGGTTACAATCACTGATTTGTAATGATAAGGGCTTTCTTTTTTTTTCATAACCATCATATGTTTTATCATACACTTCCAATTTGTTTGTATCTTTCATTGTCAGCTTTCATTTCATTGGATTGTCACTTGCCTGAGTGGCTTGTGATTGGGACTTGTGATGGACTTGTGATGCACTTGTGAGGACTTGTGATGGACTTGTGAGGACTTGTATGGACTTGTGAGGACTTGTATGGACTTGTGAGGACTTGTGAGGACTTGTGAGGACTTGTGATGGACTTGTGAGGACTTGTGAGGACTTGTGATGCACTTGTGATGCACTTGTGAGGACTTGTGATGGACTTGTGAGGACTTGTATGGACTTGTGAGGACTTGTATGGACTTGTGAGGACTTGTGAGGACTTGTGAGGACTTGTGATGGACTTGTGATGATTTGTGATGGACTTATGATGGACTTGTGAGGACTTGTGAGGACTTGTGAGGACTTGTATGGACTTGTGAGGACTTGTAAGGAGTTGTGAGGACTTGTGATGGACTTGTGAGGACTTTTGAGTACTTGTGAGGGACTTGAGAGGACTTGTGGGAAATTATGATGAACGTGTGAAGTTGGTGAGGACTTGTGATGGACTTGTGATGCACTTGTGAGGACTTGTGATGGACTTGTGAGGACTTGTATGGACTTGTGAGGACTTGTATGGACTTGTGAGGACTTGTGAGGACTTGTGAGGACTTGTGATGGACTTGTGAGGACTTGTGAGGACTTGTGATGGACTTGTGAGGACTTGTGATGGACTTGTGAGGACTTGTATGGACTTGTGAGGACTTGTATGGACTTGTGAGGACTTGTGAGGACTTGTGAGGACTTGTGATGGACTTGTGATGATTTGTGATGGACTTATGATGGACTTGTGAGGACTTGTGAGGACTTGTGAGGACTTGTATGGACTTGTGAGGACTTGTGAGGACTTGTGAGGACTTGTGATGGACTTGTGAGGACTTGTGAGGACTTGTGAGGTTTTGTGAGAAATTGTGATGGACTTGTGAAGACTTGTGAGGACTTTAAAGAATGTGTGTGGACTTGTGAATACAACTCAGACTAAAATGGTCCAACTTTGTCGTCTTACTTCCATCTATCCTTGCAATTTCCAGCTCCTCCTCAAACAGGTCGTTGATAGGTTGGCCGGATTTAATCAACTGAAGCCTGGAATCGATAAACTGTTGACAAAAAAATTGACGACCAAAATGTTATAACGTCCTAAAATGTCAGCGAAGATAAATTCAATTTTGTTTTGGCAAATAGTCTCAGACTCCCATGCCATATTTTGCTTTACTTCATGTACTTTATCAACATTGTTGACTCATTAATAAAGCAAAGTAGAATATGATGATAAGATTGGGAATAAATCATTTTCGGGATACTTTCCACTTTTTGAGTATCAATTTCAGTAATATCTGGTACCTCGTGTCGTTATAGTGTTGGACACATTTTCTACACTGTACTTTCCAGACCAGAGCTGCTCTTGCTATGGACGCCATGAGGGGGTACTAGCGCACAGAGTCTATAGATGCATCTGGACCCATGATCACTGGACCTACTCAATGGGTGGTGGGTGGCACGGGTGGCGAGTGCGTAAAGCGCTCGCCTCTCACCACTGTGGCCCTGGTTCGATTCCCGGCTAGGACCATATGTGAGTAGAGTTGTGCGTTGAATCTCTCCTGTGCCACAAGGTTTTTTCTCCGGGATCTCTGGTTTTCCTCCCTCCTCAAAAATCAACACTTTCAATTTTTGGCTGTGCTCCGTAGTCATAAATGGGTCGCATGGCGGCTGCCTAAGGCACCATTACATGCCTTCGGATCGACTAGTTTTAGCCGCGTGCTTTGCAAGTCAGCTTCTCAGTTGCAAGTAAGGATGATTAGTCTCCCAAACTATTATAATTATTATTTCTTAAAATTAATGTGGCCTGACGTTGCGAACTTAGCAAGTTCTTCTTCAGAGGCTAAAACAGAAATGACAGAGGTACATACATTAACATGGGGGTGCACACAAACATGCAGGGCTGAAAGAAGAAACACAAAAGGAGGATTAGGTGTGAAAGGTGTGGAAAGATGCAGGGGAGGGTGGATGAGAGAACAAAGAAACAAAGGGAGATGGCAAACCACAAGGGGTCTTGTGTAAACAGGGGAGGGACCAGAAAGGGGAAGGATCAAAGGTCACAGGGAGTGGGAACGGACAAAAGAGTGTGAGAGTGAAGGGATGATGTGGGGGGGGGGGGGGACAGTATTGAGGTGGAAAGGAATGAAAGATGGGGGAAGATGGGTAAACACAAACAAGGAAGACCAGATGGATTATCTGTAACAGAAGACAATGGAGGAAGAAAAGGATTAATCATTTCCAAGTTGGATGTTGAGACCATGTGGTTGAATAGTTCGAAGACGATTCATCCACACTTTCTCTCTGCTGAGGCGAACTGAGTCCTTGCGATGGCCAAGAGATTCAATGCCCTGCAAAATCATATCAGAAATGGAGTGGTTAGGCAGGTTGAAGTGATGACCAACAGGGGTGTCTAGTTTCTTGGTGTTGACCGTTGACCGGTGGGCATAGAAACGCTTCTTGAGCGTATTCTTAGTCTCACCTACATACTGCACTCCACAGACCCTGCAAGAAATGAGATATATGACATTAGAGGTGTTACAAGTGATGTTACCAATGGTTCTGTGGGTAGTGACAGAAGAGTGGCCAGAAAAGGAGTCAGACTCCTGGATATGAATCTGGCAGACAACACATCTGGAACTGCACTTGAAAGTACCATGCTGGGTGGGAGGGGATGCATCTAAGGAAGGGACTTCAGCTCGAACAATCAAGTCCCGTAGATTTCGAGGACGCCTGTAAGCCAATGTGGGGCCGTTGGGGATGGCGCGGGCAAGGCGATCTGAAGTATGGAGGATATGGTGATTGTCATTAGTGATTTTGCGAAGGGGAGGGAGATTGGGGTGAAACGTGGTAACCAAGGGAATCATGGGTTTGGCCATGGCATCAGGGGCCTTTCCCGTGAGAGCTAGATTTCTGGGGATAGCTTTAGCTCTGGCAATGGCACGATGAACTTGGCGAGAGCTGTGACCCCTGGCCACCAAGTTGTTCCTCAGTATCTGTGTATGGCGGGAGAAATCGGAATCATTAGAACAAATTCTTCTGAGTCTGAGTGCCTGGCTAAACGCTATGCCAGTTTTGCAGTGCCTGGGGTGACAGCTGGAGGAGTGGAGGTACTGGTGGGTGTCTGTGGGTTTGGAATACAGGTCAGTGGTTAGTGAGTTGCCTTGCTTGCGGACGGTGACATCCAGAAAGTGGGTTTGGTGAGCCGAGAACTCCGATGTGAATTTGATGGTTCTGTGGAAGGAATTGATGTGGTTAGTGAAGGTCAAGAGACTGTCCTCATCACTGGTCCAGATGAAAAAAACATCATCAATATATCTCCACCAGATCCAAGGGCGACATGGGGCCGAGGCAAGAATGCGTTCTTCGAGGTCGCCCATGAAGAGGCAAGCCATCGACGGGGCCATGCGGGTGCCCATTGCAGTGCCGTGTACCTGTAGATAGTGTTCACCAAGGAAGGAAAAATTGTTCTTCGTTAGTATAAGTCTCATGAGGGTGCCAACATCACTGATGGGAGGAGTCGTGTGTCCTGCCTTGGCCAGAGCCAAGGAGCAAGCACGAACACCCTCCTCATGTGGGATGTTGGTGTACAGAGATGAGACGTCGAAAGTCCCGATGATGGCTGTGCTGGGAATCTGGTCCTTGATTCCTTCAAGCTTGCGTAGGAAGTCTGGGGTGTCGTGAATGTATGACGAAATCTGTGGGACAAGGGGTTTGAGAAAACTGTCAATGAACAGGGAGATGTGTTCCGTGGGTGAGCCATTAATTATTATTTAATACATGACAGTGGACATACCTGAGTAAAATGCTGCAGCTGTAGTAGTTTCTCTAAGAAAGGTTGCATGTGGGTGGATCGACATTGAACAAAGACGTCTCGGTCCAACACATACTCGTTGCCCTATGCAGTAAGAGAAGACAAATTTTAATCTAAAAGTGTGACATTTTTAAGGAAATATACAACATTTGCTCTTGCTGCAATTTTCAGAAATAAATGTATTTGGAGGATTTGTGTGCTATAGAAAATGTTGTTAAACTAGCTTGTTTCATGTTTTGGGTGCGGAGATAAGAAAACCAACCATGTTCTTGTAGTCTGGTTCCCTGACCCCACTTAAGATGAGACGTTGCATTACACAGACTTTGGGATTGTAAGGTACATGTAAGAGAATCAGTCTAGCAGGCTTGTACCCTTCACAGATGCATGTGTAATCAATTGCAAAGAAATTGCTGAATGACTAAATATGAAAAATTAGGAGCAGTTTTTTTTTTCTCCAATGATGGTCGGCCGACCAGCGTTGGAAAAATAAAAGTTTTCTTAAAAATGTCAGCACACCAGGAGCCACGATTTTACAGGATGCTTTGTCTTAGATTGTCATTCACTAACAGTCCAATAAGATATTTCATTATAATTTGATAATTCCGTTTTTTGATGTTTGCAAATGTTGTATCTTCCCTCTAAGGATAGGTTCCGATCCTATGACGTCACAGTACCACGTGACAAGCCGGTTTCCCAATAATCGGCCACTGTTGCATTTTAGACAAACGTCCGGTTAGCAACCAACTTGTGCTTTCTAAACTAGACAGTAGGGCTTAATTTCACATAAATAACATATGGCATAATGGTCACTACTCGTGCCGTGCATGGTTGTCATAAACATGCCGACCAAGCACAGAGTGTTGGCTGTGCGCTTTTTCTCAGCTTTGCCATCAATCATAGCTTCAAAGGCTTGCCTACTTCCTAGCACGGGGCACTATACGATCTTTACCTACTACAATGGCGAGGCATACTTTCCGATGTCAGGGCTTGAATTTCATGGAAAAAAAAGCACTAAAGAGCAGGTCTAGTAACTGAGGAATCTTACTGGACCTGAACTATTTTTACAAGACCTGTGTCATAAATAAGAACAAACAACATTTTGCACTATGTGACAGGAATACAACAAAATGCTATTATTTTGTATAAGGTAAAATGAAGTCTAGCATTTCTAAATGCCATCCACGAATCTCCACATCTTGAAAACTGAAAACAGATGGAGCACAGATTGCAAGAAAAAGTTTACAAGTCGACCGTTTCGTGTGTGCACTTGGCTAGTTCCCCTGGAAAATTAGTCTCATTCTCTTGCCAGCGGGCACGGTCTTTTGCTTCGTACAAGTCTGGGAACTAGACCGTACAACTAATTCCCATGCAGTACAGGGATTCTGCGTATTGCTACCAATCTAAGTTGCGGTGGCGTGACATGTACCAACGGAGCTTCAACGTACCTGTACTGTATGGGATGTACGTACGTATGTCTGCAACTGGCATGACTGGCGCGTTGGCCAGGCAGCTTCGTTGCGTTTTAGCACGGCACAGGGAGTTTTTTGGTCGGTAAGTTTAATCAATCAAGTAATAATATGAACTCAAAGCACGCTGTTAATCAGACCTCAACTGCTAGTATATTTGGGCGTCATTTTGTTTATATAGTGCAAGAAAAAACACAAGACAGCCGGACTAGTGCAGTCATACACAGCACTAGACCGACGCTAAAATCACTAGACATGGTCCACGGTCCAGTGGGTATTTCGAGCCCTGGATATATGTCGGTGGTCAATCATATCATTTTTTTGTTACTTTTGTGCTATTCTGGATGATTCAGGGCCTTTTTTTCTATTTTGATAATTGCGCAAATTTCAATGTTCGCTAAGAGTAAGAAAAGGGTAATGAACATGTAATCCACAGCATCAGCGTCATGGTTACTTGAGCTCAAGCAATTTTATTTTTCAATCCCCAATTACAAACGTTAACAATGGAAACTGATTTGTGAAAGCACTTTTAATTAAGATCAAAGCGCTATTATTATTAACCCTGATCCTTGGGCCAATGAAACACTCCAAATACAATCTCAGCTCCCTGCGGATTATTATAGTCGATGCTACCATTTCGGCGCAAGGCAGCTAAAAATCAAATAACAGTTACCATCTCTGCCCTCACAGGTACCCATTTACTCCTGGGTGGGGAGAGGCAATGAGTGACAAAGTGCCTTGCCCAAGGACACACGCGCCATAACCCCAGGCTGGACTTGGACCCACAACCTGCAGAATTACCCACAGATGATGAGTTCACAATGGTCCAGACCACGAGGCCACGGCACTCCACAATTTGAGCAAGCAAATGATAATGGTAATGGACAAAAACGGATTGGTACTCACCGTCACGGTCTTGCTCCTGATGGCCTCCCTGTAGCCTCCCAATAGATAAACCAGAACCTTCAGGAAGGACCTGGCTACTCCGTCTCCGTTGCATAATTCAGTGTTTTTCAGATTCTTCTTCAGTTGGCTGACCTGGCAAAATGAAGGAAAATGGAGGACTTTTTTATTCCGGATCCACCAAAATCTTACACCTTGTTAGATTGACGATTATATGCTGATTTAGTAGTGACGACTCGATATGTGTCCCACTCCATAAAAAAAGTGTCAAGTCGCGCTGTGCATTATTGTGTAATGGCCCACTCGACGTTGATTGGTGAAAACGTTGTCAAAATGTGATTTTTATTCTTGTCAAGAATGACATCTTTATTATAAAGTTTCAGGGTTAATTCACAGAAATGTTGATTTCACTGAAGAAAGTGGGAAAAAACTACAATTTATTTTTTTCTGCGACCAGCTATTCTAAAGGTGGGGAAATCCGCAGATAAGCGAAAACATGACAAGCCTGTTCATAATTTTTGACAAGCCAGCCTAGTCTGCTGATGTGTTTACTCGCATTTGGCGGGCTGACTACCGATAAGGTCAAGCCCTGATTTTATGTTAAGCAGCTTCATGGCGTAAACTCCACAAGTTTGTTTTCAGACGGATTATTGATCAACCCTTCCCGACACCTGCCCCCCCCCCCACCCCGACCCTCCAATCAAGGCACAGATTCTTAAAAATCGACCTGGATGATTTGAATGATTCTGTGGAATTGAGAAAAACAGATGCATTGGGTCAACAAAATAGAACCACTTACAGCCTCCGGGGGCAGAGTTTGCAGATCCTCAAACGGCGTCTCTATAATGTTGTTGTCGGCATTGAGTATGACCACTTCATCCAACGCCATCTTCTTGACTTGCTGAAATCCAAAACATCAATTAAAAAATCAATAAAATAATATAACTTTAAAACTTGTTAAAAGGTCTGATTCCTATATTCATGAACTTCAGTGTGTCGATGACAAATTAAGTTGTATTTTGATTAAAAAAAACAAACACATTCCTCAATCAGAATGAAGAACATGGACATTTACTGGGGTTCATACTCATGATATAAAAGTCAGGGATTTGAATCCAGCTTTTAGTCAGGTGTTGTGTCCTTGGGCAAGTCACTTTACCCTTTTTGGCCTCTTTTTCCACCCGTTTTGCTGACAGAGACATGATTTTTCCAAGAATGGCATTTTTGCCAAGTTGATTAATTTTGCTAACAAAAACATTTCATTAGAAGGGGTGCAACAACTCCAAATCCCCACCCCTAACACCCACAGCTGTTGGTCAGGTGTTGTGTCCTTGGGCAAGACACTTTACCCTTTTTGGAATCTTTTTTTCACCCGTTTTACTAACAGAGACATAATCTGGCCAAGAAGAACGGCACTTTTGCCGAGAGGTACGATTTTGTTGACAAAAACAGCTTATTAAAAGGGGTGCAATGCCCCCCCCCAACATACCCCCCCTAACATCCCCCTCCCCCTCCCCCAAGTGACAAATGCGAGACCCAACAAGAACTTACCGGCATAAATGAGGAATGGACTCCAACTAGGAATGGCATGGGAGCGCAGCAGTAGTCTATGAGATGGGCCGGCATGACGGGAATGTAGATATGCTGCCAATAGAGGGGGTACAACAGGGAGGCCGCGCTGTGCACGCAGGCTGTTAACTGCAAACCAGAGAACAGTACAGCAATTATCAGTACTTGATCAACTACAGCCTCAAAAACACTTGAAGGGTTCAAAAACTCTCCCTTTTCTTGCATTTTGTTCGTTCTAAATAACAAAACATAACCTGTTCCAAACCTATTAACCTGTTAAACTTTCAGTTCAGTAAAAAAACTATGCACAACCTTTTTAACAATCAATGCATGCACATCCAACGATCAGAAAATTCAGGCGATTCACAATGCAGTGCGCCACCAAGAGCTTGCCACGGAGAGTTTATTTTTCCCAGTGCATTGTGGGAGATGGTCGACAAATTCACAGCGCGGGACATTTGAAATTGTTAATGTGTTTCCGGTCAGAAGGTTTGTAAGTGTATGATTCAAGTATATGTTTGCCCTTTTCTCTTTTTTTTTTCAATAACGGGTGTTTTTTGTATTAATAGCGGCAGAACACTATGCCCCAACAAATTAGCTCAAGTTGTCGACTGACACTCATTCAAATGGGCCATGTTTTGTCGACCATAAACTTGAAAAATGGACTCTCCATGGCAAACTCTTGGTGGCGCACTGCACTGTGAATGGCCCGAATTGACTGATCGTTGAAAATCACCTACAATTCTTGATTTTCTTTTAAATAACAGCAAGCCAGATGGAATAAATAATTTCAATTCAAGCTTTTTGCTATTGATAGTAATTCTTAAAATAATAATTTAGTCAGTTACTCTTGGGATAAATGAAAATTAATCCTTTATGCCTTTAATCAAATAGTTTTAGGAGCAAATTTCAAGTAAATATTTCCTTTAGTTAGCACACTTGAAAGCGGAACAAATCAGTTATTCTACTCACCCTACTGAGCTTATCTGACACGATTAAAACTCTTCTCTCGTACAGGAGGCTGCAAAGATACACACATAAAAAGTTTCACATTTCAAAAGCCGTGCTTACCAAAATCACCAAGCTTTCGAACATTGGTCCTTCTTCAGGGGTTCGGCCAAAAAAAAAAAATACTTCTGCTTCCGATTACATGGCATTCGAAAATATGGTAGGTAGGAAAGGATTTCTTTTGGCAACTTTTTTTATGTGTAGAGGGTAAAAAGTAATAATTGATAGTTTTGGACGTTTTCTTCTCATTTTTCCAATAAAAATAATTAGGGTAGGGGCTGTCAGAATAGGGTAGTTAGGGAAACCGGAAGCAGAACTATTAATTTTTTGGCCTTGTTCTTCCATGTTTAGAACGCGGAGAATTGCACGTTCAAACCACCAGGTGAGAGCGTCCCCAGATCGAATATGAGACGCTGCTCTCATTCTTTGCGTTATGCGTCAGTTTGTTGTCGTAGTTACGACACACACTTGCATGTGGTCACAAGTATGGGGATGTGCGTTGAAGTGTTGCGCTACGGAGAGTGGCTGCCGAATTGTCGCGCTACGCAGATGTTCGGTAAATCTGTCGTAGTGCAGGTGTATTTGCCAAGGATGTATTGCCAGCCACGAAAGGCAGATACGTTATGACATGTTGAGTGTTAAGACATATTCATAAATACCTAAGACAGTTCACGCATTCCTATTGGTCGAGAGCCCGTCACGTGGCCGGTCTTAAACGGATGATAAAGACATGGCTAGCTGGTCTTAAACACTTTTCCAGTGTCACAATAAAATGTGGACTCCTAAAAATCCAGTGCCTCTTATCGTTTCATTGGTTGAACGTTCACAATCCTCACGTAGGCATGCGCAACACTACCAGGGAGTCAGAATTTTATAGTTCTAAATTCAAAACGCAACGAGCCAGGTGCGTTCTGCGCGACATCGCGCAGAACATGATACGCGCACGTCAATCTCCATAAAAGGGTTGTTTACATCTTACTCGCCAGCTGAACACTCCATTATTTTGCAAGAGGGATGTTTCAAAAAGCATAAAGTGAATTTGTTGAACAAAATCGGGATGTTTTGAACGAATAATATGATTTTTTTTACCGAAAAGGTATTTATGAATGGGAATAAATATGTGCTCCGTCGGTATTTATCACTCTGTTTAAGACCACTTAGAGTCTGGGTGCTGATAATTACCCGAGCCGGAGGCGAGGGTAATTATCAGCACCCAGACTCTAAGTGGTCTTAAACAGAGTGATAAAAACCTCTGGAGCACACATTTATTCCCTTATTTAGATACCTTTATGGTATCTTGATTTCCGATGTCATCGCGACATCTTCATTCAGCGTAGTGAATTAACCCACTCCGGTCATGTGACCATTTTTGGGCGATCACCAACCAACAGCTCATCGTAGATTGTGGTTTTTGATCGTCCACAAGGTGGTCACATGACCGGAGTGGTTTAATTCACTACGCTGAATAAAGATGTCGCGATGACATCGAAAGCTACGCCGCTGGAATATTTCTGATTCCAAAAAGGTATCTAAATATTTCTAAAAAATCCAACATCAGTATGCATGCTGTTATGTTGAGTGTTATTGGCATACTGCCGAGATGTCAAACCAGTTTCAAAGATTATGTCATTATCTTAAGAAACAAATCAGCAAGAGCCCTTTTTGACTAGAGATGTAAATCCTGGAACAAAAATAATTCAATTCCAAAAAGAATCGGCGTCACCTTAAGGCCAAAAAAAAAGTCTCCGGTTTCTGGTATGCGCGTGCGTCACCGTAGCCATGCGCGTCGGCAAAATGAAAAAGTTTTTTTTTAATGAAAGATGATGTCTCAAAACCGCCAAACTCACTGGTTTGACTGGAATTCTGCTGCTGCACAATTTTAACGTGTTTTTAGATGGGGTTATGATCGAGAATAAGCTTTATGTGGCCTCTCTGGACTCCCATATATTTGCACTAAGTTTAGTCGGACACCATTTGCAGTCATCAGCCGACATTTGAAGCAAAAAAGTCAGGTAAAAAAAAAAAAAAAGCCGCGTCGCCGCACCACTTTTTTTGCAAGCTCCATACCAGAAACCGGAGACTTTTTTTGTGTGGCCTAACCTGAAACAAAATAACTTTATGCTCACATTTTGTTTATCTTACCTGACAAATAATATCATCATATTGGTAGGATTGATCGCGTTGAAGTATTCCATGATGTTCCTCTGTAGGAAAAGATGCCACAACTTCAGAAGTTATACAATGGGTTCTATTCTAAAGGGGGTACTGCTTCCTGAAATCCCCAACATTTTCTTGTTTTGGATTGTTTACTTATCTTTCCCAGTATTTCAAACATCTGGTTGAAAGGAAATCAACCTAATTTCTTACCGTTCCCAAAAAAAGATTAAAAAAAAAACTGGTTGTTTACATCGGACACGACGGAGTACGCATACGTTTTGCCTGTCGTTTTCAGTCAATGTATGATACATGTTATGTATGTCACATAAATTACACACAGCACCAATGCACAAATGTGGTTTCTTACACGTCCGCAAAAGGCGAACACTTAACGGCTGGAATCACAACTAGCAAGAACAGCCCGACTTTTTGGGGGTCGCAAAAGTGGACCCCGCAAGTCGTTCTCGCACGCATAACACAAGAATAACACAAAAACGCCCAGTTTTGACAGGATAGTTGTGTGGATGTTTATATCCTACTTTTAAATGTTCTTTCTGATTAACAATATTTCGTTCAAAGCGCATTTTGTAGCCCAATTGGGCGCATTCCAAGATGCAGTGTCCCTTTGAGAGAGGGCGCTTTTTGACCACTGTTGACAGCCCCTTGTACGGGGCACATTGCGTGTGCGTACTGGTTCGCACACGTATAACGCAAAGCACGCGCAACTAATTACATTGTGAATGCGCACAAGCCATAGCGTCTTCGTGTGAGCGTCACGCGTCGTCGGCAATGCGTTCCAATGTCTCTCCCAGTGGTCTTTCCCAACTCTCCCTTTCTTACTCTTGGGGGGGGGGGGGGGGGGAGCGGGCACTTGTGCACAGAACCCAAACAATCCAGAGGTCAAGCAGGTGTGGCTATTGGCTCAGTGCATGAGCCACAGAGGGCGCTATTTAAGCTACTCACAAGAGCAATGTGATGGGCACTTCAGTTCGTAAACAAACCTTAGAATCAAAAACTTTCTTCGTTTCAATAGCTGGTCAGTGTTGCTTTTGTTATTTTTTACTTACGTTGGTTGGTATCCTTGGCAGGGACTTGCTGTCGGGACCAGTGAATTTAATCTCCTGAAACGAGAATCAAGCATGTCGTTGAGAAAAACCCCATCGAAACAAAATTTATGATTATTTGTATACAGACTGCAATTTAGGTAACTCTGCAGGTTGTGGGTTCGAGTCCAGCCAATGAGGTTGCAGTGTGTGTGCGTTTCCTTGGCAAGACGCTTTACTCTGATCTTCTGTTCAGATATATGTCTTTCTGCCACCCAGTTACTAGATTTTTGTACATATGGCCACAGCACCCCTTTTAACCCAAGCATTAAATTGCATGATCAAAATATCTACATTTAAGGCCAACTTGTGATTAGTCTCTGCTTTTATGCCTTACTGCTGACCCAGTAAACAAGATTTTCTGAAAGTGTGGCCACAGCACCCCTTCTCTGTTCAGCACCCCTCTTCTGTTCAGATATATCTCTTTATGCCACCAAGTAACTAGATTTTTTTGTACACATGGCCACAGCACCCCTTTTAACCCAAGCATTAAATTGGGTTTAACCCAAGCATTAAATTGCATGATCAAAATATCTCAATTTAAAGCCAAATTGTGATTAGTCACTGCTTTTATGCTCTACTGCTGACCCAGTAAACACGATTTTCTGCATGTGTGGCCACAGCACCCCTTTTAACCTAATCATGCTATCTATATTTAAATTTACATTACAAAAATATTATAAGTTGGTCAAAACTAACTTGTGTTCAGTCAATGCTCTAATGCAGAAACCCCGTAAACAAGACTTTCTGCATGTGTGGCCACTACACCCCTTATAACCCAATTAGGTTGGACCTACCACAGGCGTGTCCCCCTCCACCGGTATGGATATGCTGAACTGTTTGTAGGCATCGGGCACTTCCGATTCGTACAAATTGACTATCAACTGCTGGCATATATCCTTCTGCAAACATCGAAAGAAAACATCAAATTCTTATAGTCAATTATCAACAACTCTTTCTTTTTTTCAAGGCAAGGCCAGCCTGGTTTAGCTGTGTCAGGGCTTTGTCTTATACAGTGTGAGTAAAAAAAAAACGAAACCCAAATGTCGGGACTATTGTTTTAGTGAAGTTCTGCATGTAGCACTTTCAAAATCTAGGATATGAAAGCCCAATTCATAAGCTTTCTTTTAGTACAAGAATCATTCAAATCACTCATGTAATTTTCAGGTTACGGAATTTCAAACACAACCACCGTTTTAAAGTTCTGTCCAAGGATCACAAAGAGGTTAGTATTCTGTCAGCAAAACAACAACAAATCACATAGGGATGTGTACAAACTGTTTTCGTTTTGCTGAACGAACGCTGAGAAGCTGAATTGCGAAGGACGCGGCTACAACGTGGTCGAGCTGCTGGCAAGTAAAGGCGCCTACGGCTGCCGACCACATCGACCAATATATGACCACGAAGCACAGCCTGAGATCGAAAGTGTTTGATTTTTTTCAGAGGGAGGAAAACCGGAGGGCCCTGAGAAAAACCCTCATGGCACAGGAGAGAAGGAGGTCCTAGCTGGGAATCGAACCCGGGCCACAGTGGTGAGAGGCGAGCATTTTTACAAACTAGCCACCCCTAAATTCAGCCCATTGCGTGGACCAGATGCATGAAAAGACTTTCAGTGAATAGTCATTGTGAATCAATTGAATAGAATTTTGAGCTCTCTGCGATCCGTTTTACTAGGCAAGCCTTGGCTTGTTTTCCGACTGAGTTGACCTCTCTTTGACATCATTTGGACCAAATTTTGAAAAGGTCGGGCCAGTTACCTGTTTGTGCAGTTTCAGTTCAGCTAACTGGTTGAGTATCTTGTAGAATATATCAAACCATGGCAAGTAACTGGCGAGAGAAAAAAGTGAAAATTACAAAAATTGTCATTGTGAGAAAATATTACCCACACAATTAAAGGCATTTACCAGTACCATTTGCTTTTCATGCATTTTGTTCGTTTCCAATATCACTCTAAATTCAAAGAAGAATGTTCAAAACTTAACCTGTTGCAGTTTCAGCTCAGTGGAAATTACACTTTTCAAGAAAACAGTGAAAAACCGTGCACAGCCTTGTGATCACGGAACAAGATTTTGTCAACAGCACTCTTTATTTCCAAAAATCTGTCAAGTGACTGATTGTTAGTAATCACCTACATTTCTTGATTTCTTCTATAAAAATATGAGCAGCAAGCCAGACGGATTAATTTGACAAGTTGTTTAGTACCAGTACGATCTTTAATCCAAGTAAGCTTTTTGATAAAAATTTGGTAGGTTACTTTTGGGATAAATGTAAACAATCTTGCATATATATATGTGTTTATTAAAGATATAGTCCATCATTTGTAATTTGTGCATTTTGTTCGTTTGAAGCAACAAAAGTGTTCAAAATCTAATGAAGGATACTGAACAACTAACCTGATGAAGTTTCAGCTCAGCTTCAGCTGTATATTCCGAGAAAAACAGCATTCTAGGATCTCAATTTCCAATCAAAAGTTGCTGAATCATGTTTTGAATTGTTTGAATTGCTGCTATACGCGATGTCGCGCACTGATCCGACGAATTATAGCAACCGTGCGCGCCTGTGCGACGTGCCAATGCTTGCGCGCGCTGCGCCGAATAACAAAACGAACTACTAATTTAAATTTTCCTACGGTGCGTCTTAAGACGCACCGTTGGAAAGGGCTTCTTTCGTTGATTACTTCAAAATGTTGGCTTGCCATAAAGATTAATTTCACTGTTCACAGGGAGTCCACTTACTATCTTTCAACCAAGTATGTTTTCAACAATAATATGCCAGTAACTTTTTCGGATGGCTGCAAATGATGGACTATAGCTTTAAAGTGACTGTTATTTGTCAGGAAGTTCTTGCTTTCAACCTACCTTAGTATGCAGAGGCATTTTGCGGCCCCCGGAGGGTGCCGACAAAAGCCGAACCTCTGTTTGTTGTCTAAGCCCGTCAGGACAAACGTGAAGAACTGGCCCGCTATGTTATAACTGCAAGAGAAAAATATCAAAAGTTGACGAAAACACATTGCGTAATTTCACTTGTAGGGTTGTTTTGTAAACGTTCCCCCTACACGAACGTGAGAGGTACATGTACTTTCTAGCAAGAAGAAGAAGTTTGCAGGTACAGACTCCCAGAGTTGTAATGACTTGAGTCAATGACTCGACTTGAGTCTGACTCGAGTCACAATTTTTGGTGACCCTAAGGGTAAATGACTCGACTCGACTCGAGTCACTGCGAGCAAATGACTCGACTCGACTCAAGGCCATCATCAGACGACTCGACTCGACTCGAGTGAAGGCTAATAAGACTTTGCGAAAAGTATTTGCAGTGACTTACGGTGCAAAATTATGCTCACTTCGCTTTGGGAACAGCAGTCATGTATAAATATACAACGTGTCACAGACGCCCACCTCATGGTTCTAGAATGCACAAAATACTATCCAGGAACCAGATTGTTAAACACATTTTCTAATTCGCTGTTTCATCATTGGCCTTGGGCGATTTCTTATAAAGCTCTTGGATTCGAACGCTGGCTAAACTTATGGCCTCCTTTTATCAATTTTGGTATTTATAGTGTTCAAATATTCGTGACTCGAATTGACTCGAGCTAAATATTTGACTCGACTCGACCTTTTGACCTCATGACTCGACTCGACTTGAGTCACTTCTCGAAAATGACTGGACTCGACTCAAGTCACTTCTTTAAAATGACTCGACTCGACTCGAGTCACAAAAATCAGTGACTCGTTACAACTCTGCAGACTCCTTGCACAAACAGTTGATGGCATTCTTTATATCACCGACATACAGATCTTTGACATTTGATTGGTGGAACTCACATCACGTGACATTTGTTATTGCTCCCATTCACGCCGGGGCTCAAAAAGTCCCATTCGCCCATGGTGAATGGGATATTTACTATTCAACAGTTAGGATCATCCTAGTTTCATGGTGCAGTATTTGTGTGCAAATGCATGCTGGTGTGTGTGTTGAGCGTTGCGCGTATTGTTCCCAAGAGCCAGTAGCTACAGAGTTGGGTTCAAACATTTTGTGAAGGGGTGGTTTGGAAGAGAGAAATACATTTCCCACCAATTTCGTTTTGAAATAGAAGTTCATTTTAACTGTAAATCAAATAACAAGGATCTATATGTCAGTTATAAAAAAGAAATATTGAGTGGCTTTAAATTGTGAAATGGGAGGAATGTTATTGCTCGGTAAAATCTGGACTTATCCATTTCACTCGATTTACCTTGCGATAATATTCCTCCCATTCCACTCTGAGCCACTCAATATTTGTATCAAGACAACTTTTGAGAGCCCCATTGGAAGGGACACACCATGTCATTCCGTGTCAAATAATCACACCTTCTTGTTTTTCAGAAAACATGAAAATATGAATCTTTCAGGCTTACAGTTTCTGAATTACCTGAAGGATTTTCAGTATAACTTGTGTTTCTGGTGAGGAGTGTCAGACAACAATGATTATTTTTATCTACCAGTATATTAACTAGTGCTCATAACATAAGAAATTTTATAACACCTCACCCACAGATTCTGTATCTTGATCGGCTGACGGCGAGTCACATGGCATTCGCTATTTCGATTATCTCGCTGTGCACGGCCCAAAAGACTAAACAACGGCTGAAAACATACTATTTGCATAGCAACCAACATGAGCAATTTCATGAAGCAGTAGTTTGGAAGAGTGCGAGTAAATTTCAACTACTTTCATATTGAAATAGAATTCATTGGATTTGGGTTCAATTAATCTGTTATCTAATCAAGCAGAATCTATGGATGAGGTGTAATAAAACAAATATTGACTGCTGTGAAAGCAGCCGTGGTGTAGTAAAACTATAGCCTCCCTCGGTGATCCATGGAGCGTTCTATTAGTAGCACTCCATGGATCACCTCGGGGGGCTATAGTTTTACCACACCACTCGAAGCAGTCAATATTTGCATAAAAGTCTGCAAATGAAAAAAGTTCAAATTTCAACAAGAGGTCAAGCAAATAAACCGTTGACCTTTGACACAATCAGTTAACCTACGTGCTCAGGTCACACGGGAAGCAGAACTTGGGCAACTCTTTGGTGACAGCGACATCGTTAAAATCGGCCGGGAACTGGGACACGATCTGTGGCGCTGAAATGTCACAAGAACAAATTGTTTTTTATGATTGAACCATAAAATAATTATAATGCAACTGCTGTTCAGGTAGTCCCACAAAACACCTAACAGTTGAAAAGTTATTAATATTTGTATTGCAAGGGTTTTGCAATATTTCAAATTACCTCTTAAAGTCAGATAACCAATCTACCATACAAATGTTATTTCATTCAAATCGATGCATTGGAACAAGCGCTATGCTTCATCGAACTCAAGGGTTGAAAATCGTCTTGGGCCGCTTTTCTTGAAAGTGAGAAAGTGTAGTTAGAGAAACACGCCAAGGATTTATTTCCTTTGTTCAAGAGTAACGTGTGACTCATTCTACCGGCTTCGCTCTGTAAGCTTGATAAATAAAAAAAGTAGCCAAGTCGTTTTTCAAGTCCCGTATTGTGATTGCTGTATCTTTTTGAACAAAACATCCTAATGAAACTATCTAAAAAGGATTTTGAAGACCAATTATTCTACTCAGCAATACATTAGACATGATTTTGAATACTACCCCCACTTTTCTGAAAATGTGCCCGAAACGACTGTTAGGTTTTTTGTGGGACAACCAGTTGTTTCCCTATGTGGTTTCTTTGAAGGAAAAACAAAATGATTGACAAATTTCAGTGAGTTCACAATGGCAAAAATTCAGCAAGCTTTTCTGAGACTTCAAACAAGAAAACGTAAATGTTGGTGTTACTATAAATTTGTCCACAAGAAACAAATATATTTAACAAAGTTGAGCGAGTTAGTCATGGGAAACGCAAGCTAACTGACTTCACATGAGATAACAGTAATATTGGTTTTATGTAAAAAATAACCTGGATGTCCATAAGAAAATACATTTAAATCTGAGCGACTTGAATTTGTAGAAAAAAAAAGTGGTTTTTTTTATACAGTACATACAGAGTGGTTTGTAAAGAAAACTGTCATTACAATGCATGTATGCTCCTGAAATATTTGCTGTCAAAACTTGTTGAGGAATTTGCAAATAATACCCAGAGGCAGAAGCTGACAAAGGATCACAAGTCGAACATTTTCTGTGAAAACAGAAAACAGGGGACTCACTAGGCATACATGCACCTAAGGTTGTCTCCCCCCCCCCCCCTCCAAGCCAATGCTGTGTATTAGGTGTGGGAGAAATCGGAGATTTCAAAATCCGGTTATCCTAATTTCTTTCAAACTGAGTAACGGTTATCTGATTTCACTGGAAGTTCCCATCCAGCTCACAGTCATGCCAACAAAAAGTGACGAGTGAGGTGCCGCATGAAATGCCCTCCCAATGACTGGGTATACATGTAGTTTGCAGGATTCAATGACCACTGGACCTTTACAAAAACACTCCAGAGCTGTAATGTTGAAACAAAAGTTGCTTGGAACTCTCTGATCAGTTGAATGGGCAGGCAAAACATATCCCAAGAAGACTACTAGCAAAATAATGCAGTTACAATCAGAGACCATGGAGCAAATTGGGGGATGTTCCAGTTGTTTATTAACCCTAACTCCTGGGGCTCTTTTACTAGAAAGTATCCTGAATCCGCCAAAATCCATCAATTGTGCCATGGCTGCAAACAAATGTTGGTGGCCAGTGAGTCCATCAGAATCCACCAGTTAGGCGGGAGTAAATCTGTTGAGATCCTGAATCCGCCAAAGTCCCCCAACAGCTCAATATAAAGGTATCCTGAATCCATCAAAATCCTGCAGTTCCGCTAGGCTTACAATTCTGAATCTATCAAAATCCCCCAGTGTGTGCAACATGGAGGTATCCTGAATCCATCAAAATCCTGCAGTACCGCTAGGCTTACAATACTGAATCTATCAAAATTCCCCAGTGTGTGCAATATGGAGGCATCCCGAATCCATCAAAATCCTGCAGTACCGCTAGGCTTACAATCCTGAATCTATCAAAATCCCCCAGTGTGTGCAATATGGAGGTATCCTGAATCCATCAAAATTCTGCAGTTCCGTTAGGCTTACAATATTGAATCTATCAAAATCCCCCAGTGTGTGAAATATGGAGGTATCCTGAATCCATCAAAATCCTGCAGTACCGCTAGGCTTACAATACTGAATCTATCAAAATTCCCCAGTGTGTGCAATATGGAGGCATCCCGAATCCATCAAAATCCTGCAGTACCGCTAGGCTAACAATCCTGAATCCATCAAAATCCCCCAGTGTGTGCAATATGGAGGTATCCTGAATCCATCAAAATCCTGCAGTTCCGCTAGGCTTACAATCCCGAATCTATCAAAATCCCCCAGTGTGTGCAATATGGAGGTATCCTGAATCCCCCAAATCCCCCGAAACAGGGGTGTGGATTTTGATGGATTCAGGTACGTTAGGGTTAATAGCCTGTGTCACAAAAAAATGGAAGGCTTCATTTTTTTAAGGTTGGTTTTGAATATCTGGTTTCCAAAATACAAACCGAATAGTGGAATCCAAACGAATAGTGGAATTCGAACCGGATTAGGGGTGTTCATTTACGGGTAGAACAGGAACCGGGTATCCGATTGAAAAAAACATGGGTACCCGGTTACCCGTTAAAGAAACCCAACGCCAAACGTGCCAAAATTCAAATCTCGGAAGTTGCTTATGAGATTGTTTACAAAGGTCCACACCATAATACTAACACATTGGCGCATCACAGCAAGATACAAGTGTGTACAGTGAGCTTTATACATGTAGCTTTACGGTGTAAACTGCAGCTTTCGCGAGCATCATAAAATGTGAAATATGTTTTGTTTTCCCATGTGGCCTGGTTTTCATGTTGAAAATTCACCACAAATGACATTCAAAAACCTTTCTTTTTCATTGTCTGAGAAGCTATTAAGTAATTTGTGGAGTTGGTTACGGATACGTGATCCCAATAATCGAGAACCGGTTAACGGTCGGGTACTCGGGTACCCGGTTCCGATACACAGCCCTAAGGCCAAAAAAAAATAGTTCTGCTTCCGATTACATGGCATTTGAAAATACCGGTAGGGTAAGTAGGTAGGGATTTTTGTTTATTGCCAATTTTTTTTTGTGCACGACCATATGCAGGCATCTGCGTGTTGTCAAGGGTAAAAGGTAGAAATGAATGGTTTTCGTTTTTTTCCCCTCATTTTTTTCCATAAAAAAATTAGAGTAGGGGCTGTTAAAATAGGGTAGGTAGGGTTACCGGAAGCAGAACTATTTTTTTTTTTTGCCTAAACCAAAATCCGGATTTAAATCCAACCACTTCTGGTACAATGTGCCACAAGAGAAACACTAATAGTCTTATCCCCCCCCCCCCCCCCACTTTCAGAAAACACCCTTCGCCCGTTATTTTATGTTAACAAAGCCAACATTTTTAAATCCTGCCCCCTCAGTGCTGAACAAAAGTCTGTTGAAGTCAAATTTATATGTACATATGTACCAGTAAGTAATGTGAGTGCGTTTTCACAATAGTGAAAGAATTTGAAACTCTGCATGTGATGAATTGAAATTGATTTTTCCCCTTAGTTCATTTTGTCGCAGTTGTTAAATTTGTACCTTTACGTGCCGGTACGTGTCGATTTCAGCATCCACACAATACCCACAGGTTGCGAAATGAACAGTAATTGGCAGTGAGTCATATTTTGGTGTCTGTTCCACGCAACCATATGGTGGATGTATATCCTGCGACAGTCACTAAAATGCACAAAACCACACTCTGTGAGACTTCCTCAAAGGTTTTATGTGTACATGTACACACACAATTTCTACATGTATATTTAATTGAAACTAAACAAAGTAGTGTTCCACAAAAGTACATGTACATGTACAAGCCAATGTGGTTTCACTACATGTACATGTACACCTTTGTGAATGCACTATGATTGACCTTTCACCTCTGTCACAGTAACAAAATGGTTGAAATGTGTGCAAGAATGCCAGTGACTTTCTGCTGAAAACAGGAAACATGACGGAATTCACCAAATTGCCAGGATTGAAAAGAAATTTCTGATTTGGAAGCAAACTGAACAGTGTGTATATACATTTATTACCCCCAAAAAGTTTGTCAATTCGTAAGACGTTTTTTTTTTTAAATGGTTCTATATCTGGTTTGTTTAGCGTCATACACGCGCAGAAAGTGCTGAAGTGATGTCACACTAACGATATGGATACATTAGATTTATGTAAATTATGAAGCAAATTTTATAAATACTTTGTGCAACTTTCACAGTGCTGCTTAAACCTCTTATGCAAACATACATTCTGTGCCAAGTTGTCCTTTCATTCAAAATCAATCAAGTAACTGTTTCCAACAGTAACTTGAACAGCCAAAGTAAAGCAGGATTGACTGGCTGTGACTGTTTACATGTATGAGACTTGATACAGCTATGCTTTGACTGTAGGTGATTGATGAGACAGCTGTGCCTACCAGTTGCCTGCTAGTTTGTCTGTTGACTGAATTTAACTAGTCAGGGTGCTTGCTTGTAATATGATCCGACTGTTAGTGCCTAGCCTGTGTCAGGCATGGCAGGGGGAGTGGATGGACTTTTTGACTGTCCGTGACTGTTCAAACACTAGGAGGATTAAAGGCCAATTTACATTATGTACACTGTACGCAACTTTAATAATAATAATGATAATAATGGAGTCTTATATAGCGCACGTATCTACCAACTATTAGGTACTCAAGGCGCTGGAGATATGTCTATTATTAATTAAAGAAAGGTAAATCAAGTTTATGAGAGATATCAGACCCATTATGTTGCACCTTATAAGGGTGTACAAGGTGCTGCGGCGCATATTGCAGCCACTGCCAGAAACACCGGGGCAAACCCCTTCTCTTAGCGATAAGTGTGACTGGGTTCTTTAACGTGCATATTACACAACACACGGGACCTAGGGCTTTACGTCCCATCCAAAGGACGAAGCAATAATGGTAAAGTGCCTTGCTCAAGAGCACAAGCACACATGTTCCCACGGTATCAATGTAGCGCGTCTTTCAAAGTATGTACAATTCAATAAGCACGTTCAGCTAGTGTTCATATTTACGAGACTATAAATCGGACATCTTTAATATCACCCTCATTCATTTGTGCATATGGGCAATTCTCCATGGGAGAGCAAAAAATGTCAAAAATAAATATTTACATATTAAACCTTTTTTGTACTTTTTCCAGACCTCAATTAAATGGGGAATTCAGTTCAAAAAACGAAATTGAAAAAAAATACATATTTCTGGTAAAAACAGTGATTTTTGCAATTTATGATTAAAAACGTTCAGATTTGGTAAAAAAATAAAATTTTGTGTATGTATTACTTTCTTAATTGTAGGGAAAAGATTTGATTTATTTTATGATGTTACAAGTTACTAACATTACTCAGGGTCATTAAAAAAATTAAAATATAAATATATATATATATATATAGTGTAGGCCTTCATTTAAAAATGTCAAAATTAGCACGTAATTCCGTTACCGAAAAAATGGCAAAAGTTACTTATTTCACAAAGTTTCTTGTTTTTTTTCTTCAAATCATGTATGCTGAGAAAAGACCCTACTACAAACATAAATGAAAAATAAAAACTTTAAAATAGTAATTTCTTGGCATTTTTCCAAGTGGTAACGGAATTACGAAACGGTAACGGAATTACGGTAACGGAATTACGCATGCACAAAGTATGCACATTTCCTCCAGACTATGTACATGACATATTAAATAGGAGATTTGCATGTAACCTTGGACAATAACTTTAAATACTAAATTACTTGTTAAATCATTTCCCTCTTTAATTTGCTATTATACAATTAAAAATAATCAGGTGTTCCATTGATATTTTTTACATTTACTTTTTCTTTTTTACTACTTAAAAAATGCTAATAGTTGTTTGGATGCTTAAAGGGAATATACAACATTTGCAAACATCAGAAAATAAAACTACCAAGTTTTTACGAAATACCTTACTAGGATGTTGGTAAATGACAGTCTTAAGCATCCTGTAAAATTATGGCACCTGGTATGAAGTAATTTTCAAGAAAATGATATTTTTGTATACATTTCCAACGGTGGTCGGCCGCGTTGGAAAAACCTAACTATTTTTCAACTACTGCTCCAACTTTACACTCTTTCCAGTCCAAATTTTGTTTGCTACCAGGTATTTGTTACATGTTCATGAACGGGTGCAGACCAGCTAGTCTGGTTCCCTTACCCTCCAATTTTCAGGCATTTATAAATTGACCAATTTTACCTTTAGTGGAGTCAAGGAACCAGACTACTTGAACAGTTTTGTTTTTCTTGATTTTTCCAGCATTTTCGAACACAAAACTTCAAACATGTCAGTGTAACAATATTTGATCTATTATACTAACCCCTCAAATAGTTCACTTCTGAAAATTACAGCAAAGGCCAATGATGTACATTCCCTTTAAATATGTGTTGCCAAAGCCATTGTCTGGTACCCGCAGAAAATATATTCGACAACAAGTATATGAAAGTTGAGTACCAGACTGTACTTGTACTTTTACATGTTCTACTTGGCATAACTTAACATCTTTCCTTGCTCAGAGATGCCAACCAGTGCAGTTTTATTGTATTTTCCACGATAAACTAGTGAAATACGATAATACAAATGTTCATAGTAAAATTCGATTTTCGGTAAAAAAAAATATACATTGCTAACAGTTAATGCAGCCATCACCAGACTGCTTTCATTTGACCTTGACCTTTGACCTAAAAAATGAAGTCCAGACATGTTTAGGCCTACATTAACATTTTGATCTGCTAATTTTCACTTAGCTTTCCCCTTGTGGCATTTTATAAACTTCTAAAATTTGTATTGTGATGAGTTTATGTTGAATTCAATGTTAATGTATTGCATTTACCTATTACATGTAAACCTATGGCGTAATTCTGTTACCGCCCAGGCGTAATTCCGTTACCGTGATTAAAATGCAAATTATGAAAAGAGTGATTATTTTTTCAACTTTGTTCTGCATTGTAGTTAACAACACCCCTGAACTCTACAAATAACAGGTAGTGTCCAATTTTAAAATTTCCAAACTTCAGAGAGTTTTATTAATTTATGCGAGAACTCAAATATGCTTGTCCTCTGTCCGTAATTCCGTTACCGATATTAAGCTCCGCCCCTTAAAGGGAAATCTTGTGGGAATTTTTTTTTTTTAGCGGTCAATCAATTCTATTGGGTCTTGGCTCCCTTTCCATGTTTAGATTAGGTGCCTAGCATAGAACATATTTTCTTGGGAAAGAATAATCCTTGACAAAGTGACAAAATTCCGTAATTCCGTTACCAAAGAATTGCCCATATTTAGAAAAACGCACGACATTATCGCATGACAATGTCGTGTTCGCATGTGTATGTGTATTAAAATTGGCCTTAATAATTTTCATTTTAAAATTTTTGTTTGCTTATGCAGCAGAAAAGCTGTGTTAACGGTACTGTAATTTAAGAATTTTATGCTCGACGCTTTGCATGGAGATTTGTGTTGTTCGGTCATTGACTTTATAATTATGTTCTTCTTTAGAAGTTTGTGTGCTCTTTGCGACGCTCACTGCTTTACGTGACTGTGAAACGGAACTTGTGGTTCAGTGGTAAGCAGGATGTTGTGTGCTCAGCAATACCGTGAAATGTGCTTAGCAACCATGGCGACGCCGTAAAATTCGTCATAATTTCTCACCTGATCCTTTATCTGCTGGAGCGGCTACTTCAAAGAACGCCACAAAAATGGTCTCCGGATTTTCCCTGCAAAATTGAAAAAAAAAAAAAAAATAGAAACATAAAAAACATTACAAATCCGTAACTGTGACACCTTGGCAACTCCTGGACAAAACATTTAACAAACCCCCTTGGCAAGAATGGTGCGGCCTTAATATGTGGTGACCTTTTGACCTCGAGGAATTTTGTTTAAACCTGATGACAGACTTTCAAAATATATTACTTCGAAGGACTTCCTATGAAGAGTGACCTTGAACTTTCTACAGCTAGTGTTAGCTAAAAAATCTTTATGTAGCAAATATGAGTAAAACTAAAGGGAATATACAACATTTGCAAACATCGAAAAATAAAACTACCAAGTTTTTATGAAATACCTTACTAGGATGTTGGTAAATGACAGTCTAAAGCATCCTGTAAAATTATGGCACCTGGTGTGAAGTCATTTTCAAGAAAATTGTATTTTTGTATAAATTTCCAACAGTGGTCGGCCGACCACCGTTGGAAAACCTAACTATTTTTCAACTACTGCTCTAACTTCACCATTTTTTTTAGACCAAATTTTGTTTGATATTGGTTACATGTTCATGAGCGGGTGCAGGCCAGCTAGACTGGTACCCTTACCTTACAATTTTCCGGCATCTATAAATTGATCCATTTTATCTTTAGTGGAGTCAGGGAACCAGACTACTCCACCATTTGTGTTTTTCTTGGTTTTCCATCATTTTCGAACACAAAACTTTAAACATGTCAGTGTAACAATATTTGATCTATCATAGTAACCCCTCAAATAGTTCATTTCTGAGAATTACAGCAAAAACCAACGATGTACATGTACACGTATTCCCTTTAAAAGGACCCATGCAATGTATTTTTTTAAATGCAATCCTTGAAAATGCACTGATCACGAAACATGATTTAATTTGCCTGACGTACTCTTTATTCCCAAAAATCTGTCAACTGACTGATCGCTGGAAATTACTTACATTTCTTTATTTCTTTTAAAAAGCCAGACGGAATAATTTCACGGGCTGTTTAGTACCAGTACGATCTTTAACACTTGCTTTTTGATAATAATTTGGTAGGTTGCTTTTGGGACAAATGCCAACGATCATGCCCTCTAAGGAATCTCTAAATTCCATCAACCAATGAAAAAAATACCATTAGAGAGTAAAATCTTTGTGTTTTCCATATTTGATACACTGACTATGAGATTACTACACACACACATATACATTGTATATGTGAACATATGTTTTGAGCTATTAATCAAACACTCTCGTTGTTTTGATTTAATTTGAAACTTATATACAAACAACCTGTGCGTTTTTAACTCAGAATATGGCCTGTGCAAGTCAACATGTCAAATCGTGTGTTTTCAACAAGCCAGCAGTTTGTCGAAACCAGAAAGACAATCACATTGTAAACAATCAGAAACAGAAACAGAAACATATGGGGGCACGTGTAATACAGCGTGGTAAAAAGTGTTTTTCCTTTTATATAAAAGGCATACACACCAACATGTACAGGTAGCATTGTACAAGTTATATGTACACATGATTAGTAAACACCTAGAAACAAGCCTACTGATTTAAAGGGAATGTACAACATTTTGTTTTTACTGCAGTTTTCAGAAATAAATGGATTTGGAGGATTAGTATGTTATAGAAAATACTATTGCACTGACTCGTTTCACGTTTTGGGTTTGTAAATGCTGGAAAAACCAAGAAAATCAATCTTGTTCTTGTAGTCGGGTTCCCTGACCCCACTTAAGATGAAACGGAGCAATTTATAGACTTTGGGGAATTGTAAGATCAGGGAATCAGTCTAGCTGGCTTGTACCCCTTCACAGGTGTGTAATCAATTGCAAAGAAAATGCGGAATAGCTACGGTAATATGAACAACTAGTAGCAGTTTTTGAAAAAAGCCAGTTTTTTTCCAACGCTGGTCGGCCGACAAGCGTTGGAAAAATACAGTTTTTCTTGATAATTAATGTCAGCACATTAGGAGCCACAATTTTACGGGATGCTTTAGACTGTAATTCCCTAACAATTCAGTAAGGTATTTCGTGATAATTTGATAATTTCGTTATTTGATGTTTGCAAATGTTGTATCTTCCCTTTAAGATGAAACGGAGCAATTTATAGACTTTGGGGAATTGTAAGATCAGAGAATCAGTCTAGCTGGCTTGTACCCCTTCACAGGTGTGTAATCAATTGCAAAGAAAATGCGGAATAACTCATTTGAAAAAATAGCCGTTTTTGACAAAAAAAGCCAGTTTTCTCCAACGCTGGTTGGCCGACCAGCGTTGGAAAATACAGTTTTTCTTGAAAATGTCAGCACACCAGGAGCCACGATTTTACAGGATGCTTTAGACTGTCAATCCCTAACAATTCCGTAAGGTACATGTATTTCTTGATAAGTTGATCATTTCGATTTTTGATGTTTGCAAATGTTTGCAAATCTTCCCTTTAACGAGAAAAAGTGCACTAAAAAAATTTGCTAGGATGCAACCTTAATCCTGCAAAATCCTCCAACTGCCTCCATGTAAAAATTGCACACAGCCTTAATCCAGCAAAATCATCCGTTATTTCTTGAATGTGGTCCTTGGAGGGGTGACCACTGCCTCAATCTTGCAAAATCCTCCAGCAATCACTGTCAATATGTTGAGGCAGAGCCAGTGACATCCTGGAGCATTGTGGAGGATTTCAAGTATTTGTCTATATGCCTAAATTTATGCACGGCTGGGCATAAACAAATTCACTTGTCGGGCCCAAGAGCTTGACACAGTGCATCCTCCAAAATCAGCCACACATATTGCCATATATATACCAGTAGCCTCAATCCAGCAAAATCATCCGTTTTGCAAAGAGAATTTCAGAGGATTTGGAAAGGTTAGGGTTAAATGGCACCTAGTGTACGTCATTTAAAAAAGTGGAATTTTTGTTTCAATTTCCAATGATGGTCAGCCAACAATCATAGGAAAAAAATACTGTTTTTCAAATACCGCCCCCAATCTAACAAATTTAGTTAGTCTGTGTTTGAAATCGGTTACACCGCGACCGTGCACACGTACAAGCCAGCTAGTCTGGTTCCCTGACCTGACAATTCCTCGATGTCTATAAATTGCTGCGCTTTGTCTGAAGTAGGGTCAGGAGACAAGACTACAAGAACAGCAATTGTTTTTCTCTCGGTTTTTCCAGCATCTATGAACACAAAACTTTTAAAAGGTCAGTGTAACAATATTTGCTTTAATATACTAACCCCCAAATCCATACATTTCTGAAAATTACAGCAAAAGCAAATGTTGTATATTAAGCCTCCCTCTCTGGCTGGCAATTTCAACAAGGCCAGCCCAGCCATGCCAGCAGTCAAAATAAATCAAGTGACTGTTTGTAACAGTTGAGTACCCCCTGCCTTCATAAAGCAGGATTGACTGGCTGTGATTGTTATGAAACCTGATATGGCTACGCTTTGACTGTAGGCGATTGATAAGCCAGCTGTGCTTACCAGTCACCTGCTTTTGTCTGTTGATGGAATTTGACTGTCACAGTGCCTATTAAGGATGTGACTTTGCCTAATGTTAAGCAAATATTTTAAGAACCATTTAAATGTTTAGCAATTCACAAAGGATGACGCCTGCTCATTGTGTCTGCTGACTGTTGTGATTGACATGATCAATCAACAATGGCAGTCAGTGAAAACGTAAAAACTTAACTACATGTGCCCTAATGTAATTAAATGGAAAATACAACATTTGCAAACATCGAAAAATAAAACTACCAAGTTTTTACGAAATAACTTACTAGGATGTTGGTAAATGACATTTTAAAGCATCCTGTAAAATTATGGCACCAGGTGTGAAGTCATTTTCAAGAAAATGGTATTTTTGTATACATTTCCAACGGTGGTCGGCCGACCACTGTTGGAAAAACCTACCTATTTTTCAACTACTGCTTCAAATTTACCATTTTTTTTAGTCCAAATTTTATTTGCTATTGGTTACATGTTCATGAACAGGTGCAGGCCAGCTAGACTGGTTTCCTTACTTTTCAATTTTCCGGCATCTATAAATTGATCCATTTCATCTTTGGTGGAGTCAGGGAACCAGACTACTTAAACATTTTTGTTTTTTTTGGTTTTTCCAGCATTTTCGAACACAAAATTTCAAACATGTCAGTGTAACAATATTTGATCTATTATGCTAACCCCTCAAATATTTCATTTCTGAAAATTACAGCAAACGCCAATGATGTACATTCCCTTTAAGTATTGAAGTATTGACATGTGTTTGAAACATTGTTTAGAACTGATTTCGTTTAAACGTTTAAATGAGTAAATGTCACATCCTTAGCCTACATGAAATATGATCGACTGTTGGTGACTAGCCTGTGTAAAAGGCATGGCAGGGGAACAAGATTGAATTTTGGGGAAGAATTCCATACATCGGCATCACTTATTTTTTCCAGCAGTGATCTATCAGCCATCAGAAAGCAATAACATGTCCTAAAAAGTTGAATTTAGCAGGGAAAATATTAAAGCATTTACTGAGAAAAACACTTGGAATTTTTCAGACCAGTCTCATAGGGTTTGTGCACAGGGTGTCAAGTGATGTCCAGGCATGGATCTCTTTCTAATTTCTGACTGTCTGTACTCTGCGAATGATCAAACAAAAGGAGGGTTTATACCAGATGTACACGTGTACCGGCACGTACATACAGTCCTGTTTTACTTTACTCTCGAGGACAATGCTTTGTGTTTCCCTTTGTTCCTGTAATATAACACTCTCCCATAGAATAAGCACATAACCGTATGATAGAGGACCGTCTCCTACAAAAGACCCAACACCAACTTGCAAGGACTGAAAGGATCTGTTGTTCTCCCTTTGTGTATCCGTCCTCGGGGGTTACAAATGCATACACACATACTGAAATTTGTATTCTTGTGGAGACATTTCTTTGTTCTCGTGTAGTAAAGTTTTCGAGTTTGAAAGTGAAGTTTCAAAAAGCTCTTATTTCAACCAGAATTAATTTCCTTGGCTGAAATTTGGACTTACATGTAATATCCCTTTTCTAAAACTCTTCCATTTGGGACAAATCAACCCACCTTGGAGTTTTTTGAGTTAAATCCATTTATCTATTTGGTGAAAACCTTGTGGAGACGAATTCATCTATAGAAATTGCCCTGTGGAGATGTATACAATCTTTTGCTCCCTATTGTGTGCACGTCTCCAGAGGGCACGGTTTATCAGATCACAAGTGTACATGTAGGCCTATACATTTGTACATAGTACGTACATGTACATACATGTACAGTATGTATAAATAAGGAAATATGAAAATCTTATTATTATAGTTCTATATAGTCCTTCTCAAATATTGATGGCAACAAGCCAACATGACTTGCATTTCTGTCACGACGATACGCTCAGACTGACAATTGGCACATGGCAAGCATCTTTTGTGATGGGAGACAATGTACAGGAAATGTAGCTTCATTGAAGCGTTGGAGGAAATACACACAGAGATTAGAATTCTAAAGGACATGAAGGAAGACCACAAGATTTTGTGCACACATAGACGGACGTACTGTACTACTTGGAAATCTTTTTCAGAAATGAAAAGGAGTCTGAAAAATATTGTAATATTGATCATGGAGGATCTACCGGGTAGGAGTGTGGCCTATAGCTAGACATTGGCATTTTGTGACTCATAATCAGAGGGTCAGGGGTTCGGACAGCTGCTGGTCTTATGTTGTGTCCTTGGGCAAGTCACTTTACGCCAACTTGCCTCTCTCCACCCAGGAGTATTGTACATGGATACAGCCATGTGGACTGGCATCCCATGGAGAGGGAATATTCTCAGTCTCAGTCATTGTTGCGGGTTATAAATGTAGGTTGTCACTTGTGTCCTTGGGCTAGCCACTTTACCCCTACTTGCCTCTCTCCACCAGGAGTAGAAATGTGTACAGCCACTGGCATCCCATCCAGGGGAACAGATAATATTCTCTGTCATTTCATGCCAAGGAAATTGGAGATAAACACCAGCCCGGCCTGATGGCTCGTGGTGTACTTTGAAAACTTGATCGCGATATTTACCAAGTTCCTACCGGTAATTCTCTAGAGAAACAAAATGCCCATTTGATCATTAGGCCAAAAAAAAAAGTCTCCGGTTTCTGGTATGCGCGCGCGTCACCGTAGCCATGCGCGTCGGCAAAATGAAAAAGTTTTTTTTTCAATGGTTTGACTGGAATTCTGCTGCTGCGCAATTTCAACGTGTTTTTAGATGGGGTTATGATCGAGAATAAGCTTTGTGTGGCCTCTCTGGACTCCCATATATTTGCACTAAGTTTAGTCGGGCACCATTTGCAGTCACCAGCCGACATTTGAAGCACAAAAGTCAGGTAAAAAAAAAAAAAAAGCCGCGTCGCCGCACCACTTTTTGGACAAGCTCCATACCAGAAACCGGAGACTTTTTTTTTTTGGCCTTACGCAATGTTATTTTTTTTTTGTGTTTGCTTTCTCATGGACAACATTGGAAAAATTCGGCTATCCGATCACCACTTTTTTCAATTAATTTCTAGCGCCAAAAGTTACCTCTTTTATGGTTATTCCCTCCACTTTCCCTCCTCTACTCTCACCCCCTCCTTTCCTTAATTTCTATTTATCAATCAGTCGCTCACTTCATCGAGATTCGAACCTCGGACGCTTGCTTGATACACGAGTCTCTTAACCGCTAGGCCGCGCACGATCGCTGTTGCAATAATCAATCTTTGGACGTATTTGAAGTATCCATTGAAATAAACTAAATATTCATGAGAAAATAAATATTCATAATGACGTATTGCACTATCATTGGCCATCTCATGCGACGTCTCATGCGACGTCATGGTTATCGATGTCATGCGTATAACGTACCGCTGTTCCAGACACTTCAATCAGTTTTGACCGGCTGCTTCAACTCAGATCTGCACTACATGTGCATGCAAAATGTGCTCCAAAAACACATTTTTACCAATTTTTTTTCGCATGTCCACTCTTTCCTGGATTCCTCTTGGTTGAAATCACAAGGTAAGGTGAAAATTTGGATGTTTGGCGGCAGGTAAGTGGTGTCCGGTTGGCAGAATTTTTTCACAACATTTTTAATGTTTATTTAAATTTTATCCCCAAACTCCCCTCAAAAATCCAAACCCTGCCCTTTATCTATGACAAGTTCTTAGGTAGTGGCAGCCGTAGTTACGTGATTTTCAACTGGTGCTAATCTGCTATCGTTACGGTAATTGCAAAATCGCCATTGCGAATCTACATGTACAGTCGAGTCTCGTTAATACAAACTCGTTCGGACCTAAGAGGAACATCAGTCCCATTCATTGTGCACATAAATGCACAGTCAGGACGAAGCCTTTGTTTGTTATAACCAGAAGTTTGTATTAACAGAGTTTGTACTAACGAGATTAGACTGTATATCACATTTATAGCTACCGGTACTCGTACAACCAGAACGCTTCAGTAGCTCGATTGGTTACCATGTGGTTACACGTTCGACAACTGAACCGCGTTGTTAATTTAATTAATTTTTTTTTCATAGTTTTCTTTCCTTTCATGTTTTTAATCAATTTGTTTTTATTTTAAACACGTTTAAGTATATTTCTTTTTCTTCGTAATCTGTGGCTTTGGAGGATTTTTTTAAAATGGGAAATAAAGTCCAAGAACCATTCGGTTGAATGATAGTCTGGTTCCAACAGCCAAAGACCGTAATGGTGAATACTATTATTAGGTCATGGAGCCAGACGATGCCGTAACGCGTAACGATAGCAGTTGAAAATTGCATATTTACAGCTGCCGTAACCAAAAAGCACTACGCTGTTCAAATTGATGTCACCAACTAGTTTGGTATTTACAATTAATCACATAAAATAAAAGTTGATTTTGTTCTCCTAGGGAACGGGGCCCTTCACCATACGATCTCCCTCCATTTCAATAAAATATGGTCATGGATGCCACTCCCACTTTTTAGGCCAAGGATTTTTAACACAATTGTCAATACCCAAGTGAAATACTACTGAAAAGTTAACACGAGTAGCACTTGTCAAATAAAAATGAGATCATCACAGCTGCGACACGACAAACCAATCAAACAGATAAGACATGTGTCACATTACATTTAGACCTAGGCTATAGGGTAATGATTTATGAATATTCGGCGGTGGTTTGCGACCGTACCACGGCCCACGCCATATCACATGCACGCCGATTTCGACGACGATCGACCCTTTGAGTTTGAGTTTGAGAAAATGACGGTAAAATTCACGGTATCTGGGGTGATAACACAGCAACTTAAAGGGTGGCCCCTGCGTCTTACTACTTGACAATTCACTTACTTGAGTCTGCAGTCCATGTTGGCGATCGGGAATAACGAAATTTCCGACTTCCTGTTGCCATCGATCAGAGTTCACTCCTTTTCCGTACTGCAGTCAGCCATTTTGTGAGCCCATAATGGTATGGTCCAATGTAGGGGTGTAGGTAAAAGTTCAGCATAATTTCGTGCATCAAGATTCCGGTATGGTGATAAAATTGGAAAATATCTATTGAAATGTATCATCTCAAATAAAATTTCACGTGTATTGATGCATAAAGACAGAAATATCTGCGAAATTTTGATTACCGAAACCAAAAGGTTTGCTGTTGGTTAAAAAAAAACACCCACGTAAAAATAGTATTTACCTTTCAAAGTTCGTGTCCTCTGTTTATTTTCTTTATGACATGTATGAGCTATCGAGTTAAGTTTCGGTCGTGGACTCAGCTGTTTTATTGCAGAAATATTTTGAACATTTGTCAGTTTGTATTTAATCGATCTTTCAGCCGTGGAAATCCGCAGAACTGGTGTGAACATAGCCAAAGTTAAAGACAAAAACTCTGCACGTTGTGTTTCCGAAATTATACTCAATGTTTTGAGATTAAGGCCTATCTCAGAATATTTTCTACCTCCAGAGTCCATGGTTTTATGCTGCAAAATGCAAGCTGCATATGGACGAGTAGGCCTAGGCCTACACTTTCAATCGAGATTTTCAAATCTCGTACGAAAGGAGCACATTTTGCTCAGGAAATTGTGGACATGTAGACTTGCCAGTGCTGGAAATGATAGATCTTCAGTACTCCAAAGCAGATCATCTCAGTGGGCGTGGTTACCCGGGATGCGTTCCTGTGATTGTCGGATGTCTTCAGGTTCTAGAACCGGAAGTGATGTGGAAGAACTTGCAGACAGCAGAATGGGTGAAATTTCATCGGGAGAGAAGGATCGTGGGAGCGACGAAAGGAAAAGCGGAGGCGGGATGCCACTATCTTCGCTAGTCGAGGATGAGGCAGTGGAATTTGACAAACTCACTGCTGATGAAAAGGAGATTTACAGATTGCACAAAGGGGCGTGTCAAGTATGTCAAAGAGGGGGCTTAAGGAGTTGCACTTTCTCTAAACGTCTGTTGAAACTTGCAATCACTGTTTTAGACTAATAAAATATTTTCACAATTAGCATCATTCATTCATCATTTAATATCATCATCACATTAAAGTTTAGAATCATTGTAATCGTCAATTATCTTAATCTTCATCAGATTCATCATCATCATAATAATCACCAGGAAAATCTGAATCATTATAATCAACAATATATAAAAAAAAACACCAGAATCATATTCATTTCAGAATCATTAATATCAGACTTTTTATAAAAATCGCCATTTATACAAGAATTATCAAGATAATCATCAACATTTATTGTCATCAGAAGCATCACCAAAACAAGCAGAATCGTCTGATATCACTAGAATTAAGAAATGATTAACATCAGAATTATCGGCAGAATCATCGAAATCATCAGAGTTTTCATGAGAATCATCTTCAGAGTGATCATCAGAATCATCAGAATCGGGGCATCATTAAAATTGAGATTCATCATTTTTATCAATGTCATCAACATTTCAAAAATCATCCTCATGTTATTCCCCCTTGTTTCGATACACCGTATGGGGACCATCCCCTCATCCCTGTCTCTGGGAAATTTCTAGATCCACTGCTGAAGCTACTACTGGGACATGATGTTCTTAAAAAAAAATATGTGTCATAGGGTTTCAACACAAATACCAAGGTAGTTTGGATATCTTTTACTTTTTCCATCCTTATCTGGTTTTGTCCATCAGGCTGGCCAGAGTTCCTACATAGATCCATCAACGGGATATATTGTTTTGACACAATCAGAGCACATCGATCGAGGAAAATGCTGTGGAAATTGCTGTAGACATGTAAGTATAACTTGAGAAATGTAGTCATTATACATTGTAGCACTATTAACGTGGAAATAAGAACACATTACACAAACCAATACATTCTCCATTTGTTTATTCGTTTAAACACTTGTCCAATTGAAAAGTAGAAATTTGAAGGCATCAATTTTTTCCAAATAATCTTTGAATTATCATTTTAGGCACAGTAGTAAAATTTCACTGAATTTACTGTTTACACACCTTTAATCAGATCTGCACTTTTTGAAATTTGTCTTTTCGTAATAATCCTGTCCACTCATAACTATACTCTTTATCATTTTCAGTGCCCTTACGGACACGCAAACGTTCCGGTGGAGTATCGTACAAAGAAATTCAACTCTGCGTTCTTTGTCTGACAATTGTTGAATTGTTTTTTTAGATCTTTGCTTAGCACCTGTACTACATTGTATTACTAAGTACTACATTGTATTACATAGTACCACATTGTATTACATAGTACTTTGTATTACATAGTACTACATTGTATTACATAGCACTTACAATGTACATTGTACAAAGGTACATGTACTACATTGTAGTACATAGTAATACATTGCATTACATAGTACTAAATTGTATTACATAGTACCACATTGTATTACATAGTACCACATTGTATTACAAAGTACTACATTGTATTACATAGCACTACATTGTGCAAAGGTACATGTACTACATTGTATTACATTCTATTTATTCAATGATGAATCGATAAAACCACCGAGTGCTTTGGCGGTTTGGAGTAGTACGGGGGAATAACAGGCAGGGCGGTTGGGGGCGGTACAGGGAGTAACAGGCAGGGTGGTTTGGGGCGGTACAGGGAGTAACAGGCAGGGCGGTTGGGGGTGGTACAGGGAGTAACAGGCAGGGCGGTTGGGGGCGGTACAGGGAGTAACAGGCAGGGCGGTTGGGGTGGTACAGGGAGTAACAGGCAGGTTGGTTTGGGGCGGTACAGGGAGTAACAGACAGGGTGGTTTGGGGTGGTACAGGGAGTAACAGGCAGGTTGGTTTGGGGCGGTACAGGGAGTAACAGGCAGGGTGGTTTGGGGTGGTACAGGGAGTAACAGGCAGGGTGGTTTGGGGCAGTACAGGGAGTAACCGGCAGGGTGGTTTGGGGCAGTACAGGGAGTAACAGGCAGGGCAGTTTGAAGGTGATTCGACATTTTTTTTTATGTTCGAACATGAATTTGGATTTTTGGGCAAAAGTCTTATTTCTATATCTTCCTGACCAAAAAATGGTTAATACACGTATATGTAATGAAAATTAAATACAATTCAAACAAACTCTCACATACTGAATAATTGTATTGAAATTTTAAAAAAATGTTCTCCGTTTGAAGAAAAAAAATCATACATTTTATATTCGTAATCTTCTGACAGTATTCAATTGGTACAGTGCATTTTGTTTCCATCAATACAGGTTTTGTCAAAACTGAAATACAAGTTCTCTTTCCAGAATGTTACTTTTTTGTTAAAACCTATATCATTTTAATGCAAGTTTTCAAGCAAAGAGATACCTTCACATTTAATTTGCAGTGTGTTGAAATAAATAAGAGCACATTATATAAGTTTCTGTATTTTTGGTAAATGATTTGTGTTCTACATTACAACTTTATCAGGGATATCAAGTATTTGATTTGATTAAAGATTGTTCTGGCACATGATTGGTCAAAAATTTGTGCTCTACTCTATGATTGGTCCATTCAATGCTCATTTTTTGTAGGATTATCCTCAGTTGTCACAAGACAATTTCTGATTGGTCAAAAGTTCATGGACTTCTCTCTGATTGGTCCATACAATGTCCAGCTCCAATTCTCTGTACACCAGCTCATTTGTGATTGGTTGAAAGTTCTAGCCCTTCACTCTGATTGGTCAGAACTTCCAGCCCTTTGCTCTGATTGGTCAAAACTTGTAGCCCTTCACTTTGATTGGTCATCTCATGGTCAATTTCCTTGTGTGAGACCACTTATCTTCTGTAACAATGTTCTCCTCTGATCACCATCCACTTTCTGATTGGCCAGAATTCCAAGAACTTCAATCTGATTGGTCCGTTCGAAACGCAGTTGCAACTTTGAAAAATCTGAGCACGTGATCTCCTCCATCTGCGATAAATATTCCAGAGTCAGAACGAAGACCTGCTCCTTCAGTTCGTCCGTTGGCAAGGAGCCAAGGACATCGCAAGCGTGGCAGAAGAACTGGCCAATCACAAAGAGGCAGCCCGGTTGATCCGAAAGGTCAGAGGTCGAGATCTGGGACAGAAGTTGCTGCAGTATATAAAAAGTAAAAACCGGTTAAAAGTTATCCTTCAGATTTCACATCTTTTACGAAATGCTTCATATAGATCAGTGCTTCGAACTTCCAAAAGTGAATTTTCTAAGGTTGGCATATTTTTTCCCTGAAATTTCCTTAGAATTTTTCTTGGTTTTCCCCATTTTTCCTTAAAATATATGTAACTTTATTAATCCATACAGAAAACGAAAATGGATATTTCTTACTTGCTTAATTTCTCATTTTTTTGTAAAAGAAAGTCTCTTCGAAGCTTAGCAGCGTCATTATCTGCATTCGCTTTAATACATTTTTCAGAGACCTCTGCTTCGGACGTTAAAAAATTCTTTCAAATATGGAAATTTTCTTTACAAGTGGAAGCTCTTATAAAGATGCGAATTTGGATAACTTCTCTGCGCATGATATTTAGAGGGCGCCAGACAGCTGAACCATGTACGGCAATAGAGGGGGGAATTTTGCACTCATTTTCCCATTTTGTCTTACGTCCGTAAATGAATCTAGCATCCTCCATTTCTACAATGGAAGCTTAAAATATTTTTTTTATCCGGCAGCAAAAGAAAAAATGTACGTCAGTTTTTAAATGGTGCAACGTAAAAATAAGCCACACTGTGGTTGCAAGACTGGTTCAAAAAATTACAAATCCAGTACCGGTAGGTTTTGTTTTTGTTTTGTCGTTTCTCACCTGCATTGTGCCAACATAGCAACGGGTCACATGATGCAGCAGAGGCGGGGTTGCCCAGTCTTGGCAGCAGGGGCTCATCAGGACCTGCATCACAGAGAGCAGGAGTTGGGATTGGCCCAGATGGACTCTGAAATCTGCATATACAATGAATATTCATCAGGTTTTCAAGATCAAAAATGTTGTTCAATCCTTTGTAAACCTTTTGAGGCAAGGTTCAACTGATCTGTTAAAGGTATACAATTTTTGACAAAAAGCAAAAAACAAAACTATTAAATTATTATGAAATACCTTACTTGACTGTAAGTGAAATCATGACACCTGGTGTGCTGTCATTTTCAAGAAAAGTGGAATTTTTCTACCAATTTCCAAAGATGGTCGGCCAACAATCGTTGGAAAAAAAAGATTTTTGTTTTTCAATTACTGCCCTCAATTTACCAAGTTTATAGTTTCTCTACATTTTGTTTGCAATTGATTACAGATCTGTGAACAGGTGCAATCCAGCTAGACTGGTTCCCTGACCTGACAATTCCCCAATGTATATAAATTGTTCCATTTTGTCTGAAGTAGGGTCAGGGAACCAGACCACAAGAACAGCATTTCTTTTTTCCCCAGCATCTATGAACACAAAACTTTAAACGGGTCAGTGTAACAATATTTGCCATAAAATACTGGCCCCCAAACCCATCCACTTCTGAAAATCACAGCAAACGTAAATGTTGTATATTACCTTTAATGGAGGGGCTAAACAGTGTCTGACAACAGAGGGGGTGGGGTGGGGGGAGGGAGGGGGTGGGGGTGGGGTGGGGTGGGTGGGGGGGGGAGGGGGTGGGGTGGGGTGGGGGGGGGGTGGGGTGGGGCTGGGGTGGGGGAAGGTTGCGTGCTTGGGGTGTGGGAAGTTTGAAACCCTTACAATAAGGAAATATTTTCCCCCTACCTCCGATGTTCACCATGGGTAGTTCCGTCACGTATCGTGCGCTGTACGGAATCCAGAGGACTCCACTGGTCAAAAGTTGCGCCAGCATTCCCATGATGCATTGCCACTCCCCCATGATGCTCTGGGGCAGGACTTGGACAAGAGCCAACGTGAGCGCCTCCAAGAAACTGTCGTTTGATGTTCCCTCTGGCAGTAGAATGCTCTGAATACAAAAAAACCAGAAATGAGATTTGAATATGTGTAGGATGGCTAAGGCAAAATTTCACTAAGAAATTAGGTAGAGTAAACCACTCGTAATTTGTGATTTTTCTTGTTGGAACCAACGAAAGCGCTCAAAATCTAAAGACGGATGCTTAATAACTAAACCTGATGAAGTTTTAGCTCTGTGAATGCTGCATATTTCAAGAAAACATAACATACATAAACACAATATTTTTGATCTCGATTCCAATTCCAAAGTTGCGGAGTCATATTTGGAATTGCGCCCTCTCGTGACACAATCTGAAATCAGCATTCGGGACATGATTCTCATTCAGCCGGTCGTCACCCATTCACGGATTCGCACAATTGCAAACCCACTACAAATCAGAATGCATGTGGGCAGATTCACGGAAATTTCCAAAAATGTGTCACTTGACACATCTTTGGAAATGGCCTTCTTTTGTTATTTTCTTCAAAATGACTGCATGCCAGAAGGAACACTTTCACAGGGACTTTAGTGTCATCTTTAAACCAAGAAAGCTTTTTCAAAATAATTTTTGTAAGATACTTTTTGGATAGCTGCAATCTACGTTACCCTTTAAACCAAACTTGTGAAATAGGCTTACTGTCGGCACTCAATTTTCTGTTACGCTTAACAATGATTTTTCACTTAAAGCAGAATTAATTTTTCAAATTTACGAGTTAAAAGGAAATGTACGTTTAATAGAAACTCATAGTACGTAGTTGATTTTTGTCTTTGTTTTCTTCGCAAACTAACCTCGCTCAAGATGTTGGCTAATCTGTCAGATACGCGACAGCAGAGAAGTAACTCAATCATATGGTCACACAGAGATATTGCCTCTGAAATGGGAAAAATAATGAGCAAAACATTAGTACCGGTACATTAATGTGTAGTCGCTCATGTTGGGTACAAATTGCACATGAAATCCTGGTGTTTAAAGATGCATTCGAGTTTAACTAAAAAAAAGAAAAAAAGAAGATTGTTTTTCTCAATTGCAGTTTTCCTAGCAATATAAAAGTTGTTCAATTTTGAATGAGACATCAAACAAACATATCCAGTGAAATTTTAAACTATGTCTTTATACAAAAGTTTACTTACTGCCTGACCAAACTTCAGCCTGGCTCCTCACTGCTTATAGGCAAATAAACAGTCCGCAAACTGGGACAGATTTCCGCAAGACTTGTCTTTGTGGTAATTCCAAAAATGTTCCTAGCCAATTTCTTTTTCCACTGGATGTGCCACTGTTTTTTTTTGACAAAGAGAAACCTCTTTAAACAGGAACTCACTCTGTGGGTTCTTGTTGGATGGTGTTGCAGACCACTCGGAATCAGGCAAACTGCACATGTTGATTATACTCTCTGGCATGAGCTATATAAACAATATAAAAATGAAAAGAAAAGTTTATTATTCACGTGGTCACAAATGCAAAGTGAATGTAACATCAAGAAACATTCGGAAAATTGAAATGTCTTCAACTTTTGTGGAATCGCAGCGCAAAAAAACTTGCCGTTACGACACAGATTTGTATAAATCGTGCTCCCTTTCGTGCCGAGTATGAAGCGACTATTAAAGACTTGGTTTCTTTGTATGGAGAACAGCATTTGAGAAAAGTTAATCAAGAAATGCGTTTATCAAAGTTTTACTTAAACTCTCAAGAATGCACGCCAGTCACAATTTTTGTACGAACGTTGTTAATTATTTGGACTACTTATTAAAAAAACATACAAATATTGCATTTCTGGTTATCGTGGTGCACCAGGGGCGGATCTTCAGGTAACTGTCAGGAAAAAGGGGGGGGGGGCCTTCAGACGTCCAGGGGGACCGAGGCAATTGGAAAATAAATTTAGGGACCGTGACCATTCAGCCCTGGTATGAAAATGGCCCCCTGGTACCCGGTTCAGAGCCAGTCCGGTCTTCAGCCCAGTCTCGTCCGGTACATGGTCCTGTCTGACCAGAAGTTTTGAAGTCAGTCAGGCGCATCAATTTATTGCCTGTCAGAGAACGTCCAGAGCAGAACAATAGCAGATTTACCGGATTAAAGATAAAATACTTCCAAACGCCTTGGTAATTTACGGTCCCATTGTGCGCGAAACCACATGGCAGGGGTTTTGATCTGTGCCGACGAAAGTGTTCTATTGTTTAGCGCTGAGAGATGAAAACCACAAGCAGGTTTCTTCTGGGATATATTACATGTGTCAATACTTGCAAACAATAGACCCCAGGATAGAGGAGTTCCTGATTAGCAACCGGACCAGCTCCTAGGCCGGTAGCTGGGACGGTATGAGAGGACTTCTTGGGAGGGGACGAGCTTACAGGGGGGCCCTTTTCATACCGGGGCTGAATGGTCACGGTCCCTTAGGAACTGTAGCATTCCATTTATTATTTTTTTAAGGCTTGAGATTTGAAATTACGGCTAGTCCTTACCCTCTTTTGGTGTTGTAGGCAATCTGGTAGTGACTCCTGTAATGTGAGTGTGGTTGACCAGTGCAGCGTTGACGCGACACGGTTGATGAGCCAAGATATGCCACGTTCTCTTTCAGCATCGCCTGAAAATGGAAATATTGCAAACATTTCACTTGTGCAGGCAGCCCATTGAATTTGAATGAAATGCAACGGAAATGCAAATAACATGCAAATAAATTGCAAATGAAGTGCAAATGAAATACACAAATGACATGCAAATGAATGCACATGAAATATAATTGAAATGCTTATGAATGCAAATTACCGGCAAATGACATGAAAATGACATGCAAATGAAATGTAAAAGAATGAGAATTTGATGCAAATTAAATGCAAATGAAGTGCAAATGAAATACACAAATGACATGCAAATGAATGCACATGAAATATAATTGAAATGCTTATGAATGCAAATTACCGGCAAATGACATGAAAATGACATGCAAATGAAATGTAAAAGAATGAGAATTTGATGCAAATTAAATGCACATGAAGTGCAGATGAAATGCAAATGAAATGCAAATCATCATGTTGCCCTTTGACCTTGCAACACCACACCTTACCAGGCATCGTCATGGCGATCCTCCCCATCCTTCCCAGGAGGCCTTGCACAGCTTCCTTGACCTCGGCTTTCGGTGTCGTCGTGACAACGCCGCCCCACAACACACGACCGCTATCCAGGAGCTGGCAGAGGCAAAGCATGATGGGAAACGCGGACGTCCCAAAGACGGACGTGTTGCTTATCTGTGTCCGAGTTTCTTGAAGATTGACAACCTCTTTTAGGAACTTCAAGACCATGATGAGATGGCTTCGATTGTCTGTCGCTGTTGTGTCGGTACGGAGGTTCGGAAGGATGCAGAGTTGAGCAAAAGCTTCGGCAGGAAGGACGGGGGGCATCCAAAATGGACATTGGGGATCCAGAAAAGGTTTGAAGGGCTGAAATATGGGGAAAGACGATTTGCAGTAAATTAATTGTTCATGTTCTATCTAACAATCAGTGAGAAAATGGTAAAAACCTTGTTTTTCAAGACTGAATTCAGATTTCAGATGATGAAAATATCATTGGACATGATGTGGCATTCGAAGAAGTGCACATAGAATCTCACCTGCAGTAGCACAGTGACCAGCTGTAGGAGGTTGGCCTCTTCGCTGGGTGTTGTGGCCAGTGTTGCCATGGCGTCCTGGATCAGGTGACAAAGCAGGGGCCAGTTATCTGCTCGTTGTTGGAACGTGGCCAGGGAGGGCATAGCCTGCAAGACCTGTACTCAGGGGCATCAAGAAAACCAAGAGAAATATTTCATTCCAGAGAAAGTTCAGGCAAGGACTATAGTTAACCGTAGTTTGACTAACTTCACTCAAATGCTGTATGTTTGGACTACTCTAGTCGACTTTTTGGAACCAGAGCCCATGGCACGGTTCCATCACTGGTAATCAGCCATGCGCATTATCAAGCACAGCGGGGAGCCAGGATGAAGATTTTTTACGTTGACGTTTTGACCAGCGCATGACTATAGAGGCATTCGCACGTTGCTATAAGTGCGCAGGCTTAAGTCACATCATGAATCAAAACTAGTTGACTAATGGTCTTCGTCAAAACTTGCTCAAAGTTACAGATCAAACTTGCTCCTTGTTGCTCGGTTGCATACCGCCCCCTAGAGTTCGTGTATGAAGCCAATATTGTACCCGAGTAACGCATTGGCCCCATGTATGAACTGAAACACACTCTAGATTGGTTCCCATCCACTTCCTAATGACTCTAGAACACAACAGTGTCCAGAAACCAGTCTATAGTGCACATTTTATTATGAGGCTACACAGCGCCCTCTTTAGTTCATGCACTTAGACCATCGGGGCCTTTTCGAAAACTTGGCCATGCCTTCAAACTTGGCATTCATCATCATTTGGAAGCCATAGTATCCAAACCAAATGGAAATGTTCTTTAAATCCCTTAAAGCAGAACTTCAACCATGCTGAGCCGAAGCTGGAGACAGCCATGGTTTCGAAAATATGTCAGTGTGAACTGAATTGTGAGCCAGAGTCGCCAAGCCAACGCCTGGAGATGAAGCCGTGGTTTCAGAAATACCAATGAAATGGAACAGCTTAGTCTAGTGCCCTGCTTGTTCCTTACCTGACACACTGCTTGGCACACTGCGGCGTTAGACACCGCTCGACTGACCCCTAACCTGAGGGTTTTGACTGGACACTGCAAGGCCAGGCAGGACACGGCAGTCAGAACCTAAACACACAGAGAAAAAAAATTGGATAAAAAATAAAATATGTAACAAATAAATGAATTTAAATAAACCAAATCTATCTGATTTTTTGGTATTAATTAAAGCCAAATTATTGTCTGGCAGCCAATAATTGTGAATTTTGTGAAGAAATAATCAAATGACTAAATGTTGGTTGAATCTTTTTTTCTTGGTTCGACATCTCATTCAAAGGCAAATAATTTTCATACTGCTAAGACAAATTTAAAAAGCAATTAAAAAACAGCAGGTCTATTGGTGAAACTTCAAAAATGGAAAAAAAAATCTTTGCAATAATCTTTGAGACAACTCTACATGACTGTCAATCTATAAAAAAAAGTGTGATATTAATTTTGTAACAATATTATGTAACTTTGTAACATTTTTAGCAGATCATGCCAATATTGAACACATTTTACTTAAAAAAACTGTTTTCACTGAAGACATTTGACCCTCAAAATTGAGTTTTATTTGTGTCCAGCTGGAAAGGGAAGAGCCTCTACAAAGGTCTGAACTCTGACCTCTGTGTTTTCTTGGCCCCGTGCCAGACTGACCAGCCTGTTGAACGCGCTGGTGGACTCGCGCTCAAAACCACCAGCGTCGTGCCTGGCGAAGACCGACACTCCAGCGGGATAGCTCCACAGGCGATCACGGAGCTTGTTCTGAAGGGGGAAGGGAAGGGTCGAGTAGCTAGCGAGAAGGACCTGATTGGAAAAGAAAACAAAACAACAAAGAATTTGATAAGATTGATATTCCAAATTAAAATGATTCAAAAAACGCTTGAAAATAAAGAGATGTATGTTCTATGTATGGGGATTGTGGAGTTTATAGGATACCTATAGTCTTTTTGGTTCTTAAAAAGATTTTGCCGCTCCAAAATGACGTTTGCAACCTCAGGCATCTTCTTTTTACTATATTGACCCTATTTTTCTGTTTATTTTGAACAGCTTTTTGGGAAAAAATGTGACTTTTTTAACCTGATATTCTAGTAGCAACTGTGTGGATCGACACACTCACACAGCTTTTTTTGTCAGGGTGCGCGTTTGTCGCTGCATAGTCTCGTCGTCGTTTTTACCCAATAATTTCCCTCAAAAATCAAAACCCTGCCCTCTTTCCACAAAATTAATCCTGTAGATATTGAACATGGTGTCAATAAAACTACATTTACATTTCATGGCTGAGATCTGTAGGTAATTCTGTAGATTGCGAGCTTGAGTCTAGTCTTTGGTGTTGTGAGGCACGAGGATGTGTGTCCTTGGGCAAGACACTTTTCCCCATTTCACACTGTCCTTTCCACCCAGGCACTGTGCAGTGCAGAGATAGCTACTGTGTTTGAATTAGCCATTAGCTTTTGAAGAAAAAAAAAAGATCACCTTCAACTGCATTATTTCCAAGGATCTGAAATTACAACAAAAATTGATTGATATATTTTTTCACTTCTCATTGTTGCAATTTTATAAAAGGCGTTGCAAAATTGCTAACACCAACCTTTAAAACTCTTTGGATGACATCGCTAGCAAGTTTTCTTTCGTCCATTGCCATGGCAACGCCAATCAGTTGCTCCGTGAATCTGTTAAAAAAAGAGAAGAGAATGAAATCAAATGTAATCATCAAGAAAGTACACAACTGTCAAATATTTTGAATAAAAACATTTTTGGTGTGCCAGTAGGAGTATGTTCTCACCTTGGGACAGCCAAAGCTGTGATGTTCCGCTCCAGACATTCCATCCATGAATCCTCCTCCCACTGGTTGCTGGCTGACAGCAACTGGCCGAGATCATCTACACAATTTGTAACAAAAATAAAGGCAACCTTTAGAAGTGGTTGTAAATTCACAAGTAATCAATGAAACTTGTGATTGACAAGTGATTGGCGTGTGATTGACTTGTGATCGGCTTGTAATTGGCTTGTGATTGACTTGTGATTGGCGTGTGATTGGATTGTAATTTTCTTGTGATTGGCTTGTAATTGACTTGTGATTGGCCTGTGATTGACTTGTGATTGGCTTGTGATTGACTTGTAATTGACTTGTGATTGATTTGTGATTGACTTGTAATTGGCTTGTGATTGGCTAGTGATTGATTTATGACTGACTTGTGATTCACTTTTGGTTGGCCTGTGATTGACTTGTGATTTGGCTTGTGATTCACTTAAAAAAATAAAACAAGCCTTATTAATGACAAAACAATCTTCTGGCCAAACCTTCGTATCCTTCCAGTCTTTCGTCCACTCTTCTGATGGCCTCCAAAAGCCACATGTGTTCTCTCTGTTCATTGGCCTCTCTATCCATCTCCATAGCAACAGTTAACTTCTCAGCCAATAGCACGTCCTCATCTAGTACCTGAGACAAATGTGCTTCAACCTCACTGCACTGTCGCTTCATCAACTCAATGTCATTGAGGGTTTGTTCCGTAACGGGCAATTGCAAATTTTGACCAAAATATCGAGCAACTCTGTTCAGAATATTACAGACATCTGTGGCAAGACATGCAAGGAGAACGTCTTGGTTCACTTCTTTGTCCTTTAGCAATGACCTGAAGTCTTCAGGGTCTGGGGTATTTGTATTGCATTTATCTACAAAGAAATCTTCCCAATCAACAGTCAGCAGGCAATGAAGAGTGTATACAATCTTCGTGACTGCGACACACGCGAGTTCGCGTTTCTCAAGTGACTGCGCATCGTCTTCGTCACAGTTTCTCTGCGGCTCATGCGACATTGTATCCCACTGATCAAAAACACCAGTGCAGTTTCGAGAATCTGACAAGCAAAGAAGATGTAGTTTGTATATTGCACTGGAGAAGTTTGGATCATTCTGCCTGTGTTTCTGTGCAACTGCTGTAATACTTTCACAGTAGTTTGAATTGTCCGAGTGAAACTTGACGTCGTGGTTTCCATCCTTGAGTTTGAGTTCGGAAGTCAAATTGTTCAGGCAGACTGCCAAGGCTTGGATGACGTGAAATCTTAGATTCTTGATCTGAATTTTGGACTGGAGCTTACAGATCTGTTCGCAGGACGATATCACGTGTCTGTGAAATGCTGTTGGACTTTCAGAAGTATTGGTTGACTTCAACCTCGTCTGACTGTGGATATTTTTGTCGCCAATTTCTGGTCTCTTTCTAGTTGAGCTGTTTCCACGATCACGAGGCGATGGCATGAGCGAGCTTATCAGGATGAAAACAAGAAGATTAAGGGAGTTCATTTTGATACACTCTGCGACAATTTCTTCCAAAAGTTCAGCTGCCATTTTATAATCCAGAGAACAGAGTACCTGAAAAGCATAATGAAAGACAATGAAAAAAAAAATCAGTTTGTTACAATTGGAACAAAACTAATCAATTAAAAGAGTAAATTTACCATGTACTTAAGTGTTAGAAAATGCACCAACAGAAGAACAAACAACAGTCAACAGAGTAGGTACCATTATGGAGTTTCTTGCTTCACATTTTAGTGATCTTGATTTAAAAATGGCCAATTAAATTTAACTCTTGAAATAAGAATATACAACATGATGCGAAAGAATATATAGGGCCTATTGTCTTCAAAAATATGTGTAAACTCATTCTTACGCTTTTTTTTTACAAAGTGGGATTTTTTATTATCCAAAATATGTTATTTCCATAAAATTGTCCACATCCATAAAAATTTCAATTTCGTTTTTGCAATATTTGCAATTAATTCTAGCGCCTACCTGGGCACAAAGCTGTCCCCATTTGAAGGTGTTGGCCACATCAAGATACAGACTCAGGTCGACATCGTTGGGTAGCGCCCTTGAAACTCCCTCAAAGTATTCAAGCAAGCAATCGTTGCAATCCTCGGACCAAGACTTTTCCTCTGCCGCATTTTCTTCTTTTTTTCTTCTTCTCTCGAGCAACTTGCAAAACAAAATGGCGTGGAGTTTAAAGTTCCAGTGACATTTCTCAGCCTCTGTGCGTTCTCCCTCCAGACCATGAATTATCTCTCTCACTGCGTGGCAGACTGCAGTGATGTTGACTTTCCCCCGCCGTCTTTTCCCGGCCTCCGTGGTAATGTATTCGTCATGTTCTGCCAAGCCATTTTCAATTTCCGGGCAGTAAAAACTGGCTTGAAAAAGTGCGATTTCTGGTTCAAAATTCATTTCTATCCACTCAAAAGTAACAAAATTTAAAACAAAAGTAATAAATTAACGATGTTTAACTATTCAAGTTTACATTTGTATTCAGAAAACCTGTCAAAACGTGCTTAATATTTCCGCTCCGAACCACATCACATTCCGTTCCATGGAGGCTGCCATCTTGAATTGTTATTTGTCTGTACTAATTCAAACGCTGGAGGGCGCTATTCTGAGAGACAGTAAATGTCTTACCATTTTCAAACGCTAGCGGGCGCTATTCTGAGAGATGTTCTTCGCTCATGCTTTGCTAGAGGGCGCTATTCTGAGAGACCGCAAATGTTCTGTACTATTTTGAAACGCTAGAGGGCGCTGGACCGTAAATGTCTGTACTATTTTCAAACGCTAGAGGGCGCCATTCTGAGAGCTCTTAAACGTACTATTTTCAAACGCTGGAGGGCGCTATTCTGAGAGACCGTAAACGTTGACCTTCCTTGACAACAAGAAGTGAGGTGAATCGTCACAAAAATCGCTCCGAATTGAATGAAAATAACAGCTGATTTCTCTCAAATGTAGACCCAGGTATGAAGTACGTATCTTTGTTGCTCTTGGTTAGTAAATTTTTTGAAATTATGTGAGATTTGTTTATAAATCCGATGTTCAAATTTAGTGACTTGCTCGATTATGTCGGTAGTCAACAATGCACAAACCCTATGAGGTGATTTATTTTTTCTTGAGCAGATATCTGATGACGTGAAGGGCGCCACCTTTAATAAAATTATAAATGTTGCAACCTGAAGCCGCGTTTTTATTCATATTTAATCAGAATGTCTGAAGGCCATTCATTGAAAAAAATGATGATGAGACATGAATCTGGGACTGAAACATTTCCAATTTTGTGTTAGAATAATAGAAATACAGAACATTTTCTTCATAGACTTTGTACCCAATCGCGGAAGTGGCGTCAGGTTGCAAAATTGTTTCCAAGTTCTGTAAAAGTTTTGTATTGTTATAGATTGTGTTTAAGTTTTCTTTGATGTGACATGGTATGATCAGACCTAGCTGGAGTTACCCAGCCCTGAGTTTTATCATTGGGTTGTCATCTAGGGCTGGAGCGCATTTTTCTCAAAACTTGTAGTATTTGCAAAAAAAAATTGGAAAATGTTCAATTTTGTCCCCGTTACACACTAATTGCAACTGCAACTCACCCCAAACTTGCCTGGAATAACCATTACACAGGTCCTTGAAGTAAAAAACGATCCACGATGAAGATTCAGCCTACAATTGCAGTGAAAACAGGAGGAATAACCGCTAACTTGACAACCTTGCTGGATTGGCCAGGACCGCTATTGGTTTGTGCACAAAAAAAATTGTGTACAATGAATGGCGGTCGATTAACAGGCACAGAGAGCGATCGCTGTCAACTACTCGTTTTCGCCGGCTGCGCTGGCTGTTGGCGCGTGACGTCACGCGGAAGCGTAACACCCGATGACTGTTTCATGCACTAGTATAAGGTTTACCACTCGCATCACAGCTTTGGTACTGGAACCGCAACCAATAGTGCATGAAACAGTCACGGGTGTTACGCTTCCGCGTGACGTCACGCGCCAACAGCCAGCGCAGCCGGCGAAAACGAGTAGTTGACAGCGATCGCTCTCTGTGCCTGTTAATCGACCGCCATTCATTGTACACAATTTTTTTTGTGCACAAACCAATAGCGGTCCTGGCCAATCCAGCAAGGTTGTCAAGTTAGCGGTTATTCCTCCTGTTTTCACTGCAATTGTAGGCTGAATCTTCATCGTGGATCGTTTTTTACTTCAAGGACCTGTGTAATGGTTATTCCAGGCAAGTTTGGGGTGAGTTGCAGTTGCAATTAGTGTGTAACGGGGACAAAATTGAACATTTTCCAATTTTTTTTTGCAAATACTACAAGTTTTGAGAAAAATGCGCTCCAGCCCTAGATGACAACCCAATGACAAAACTCAGGGCTGGGTAACTCCAGCTAGATCAGACCTTGTTTTCTTTCAACAGGCAACCCCCGAGCAGACCAGCCTATAAATAAGACTCGTTGACATTAAGATGACTACGGCCGTCACCCCGATGCCGGAGATGGTCAACGTGGGCGGGAGAGAACCCAGCCCCCCACTGGAGCCCAGAATGGAAGGCAGGGACAGCCCCACCCCAAGGAAGACGCGAGTGCTTGTCGCCAAAAATGAAGGTCGGTCCGAGTTGCCAAAATATCAAAGTTGACCTTGTAGTAGTACTAGTTGGGACGATCCTGACTACAGTAAGGATCGTCCCAACTTAAGTAACGATTTCCCCAACTAATGTTGGGACTGTTCGAACAACAGTTGAGACTGGCCCAACTGTAGTTTAGACCAGCCCAACTTTAGTTGGGACCATTGCCTGTAGTTAGGGCCTAACAACCCTGTTGAATTGAACGTCTGTTGGCGTGATCAGTGGATCTACGCTATCACTTGATTGCGCTATTCTATTGGTCTATCGTGCTGCACTGTCGGTTGATCGTGCTGCAGTGTCGGTCGATCGTGCCGCTGTCGGTCGATTGCATTGCCTTCAGTGGATTACCTTTTTTGTTTCATGGCTCTGTAGGATTGGTTTCAAAAGGCTAGTAAGTCTGACATTTCCTACAGGATCGACCGATCGCGCAAATGCATTGCTTCGCAATCGATTGATTTGTCTTCTCATGCTCTGCACCAAATATTGGTTCTCCTCCAAAATAATGTTCAAATTTATAGAAACAATACACGTTCTCTATTTCAGGAATCTACAGCCCTCTGAAAAAGAAGGCCTTTTATTATCTTACGCACTATTTAGCCAAAAAAATTAAAAATCAGGCTGAATCAATCCAAAATCAAATTGTTCTGCTTCCGAATTACATGACATTCGAAAATAGGGTAGGTAGGTAGGGATTTTTTTTTGGGGGGGGGGCCCCAAATTTTTGTGTGTACGATCATATGAAGGTGTCTGGGTGTAGTCAAGGGTGAAAGGAATTAAATGATGATTTTGGGTGTTTCTTCTTACTTTCCCATAAAAAAAATTAGGGAAGGGGCTGTCAGAATAAGGTAGGTAGGGTAATCGGAAGCAAAACTATATTTTTTTGTCTTATTGTTGGGACCAAATAATTTTACATTTTCAATGTGATAACTTCATAACTTCACACAGACAGATTGTTTTTCGTTTGATGTCTCAATCGAACCAGGAGTAACCTTTGTATTTTTGCAAAAATATCTGAAGGCCCCCCCCCCCAAAATAATAAATGGTGCGAGACAGAAACGTTTAATAACTTAATTATGTCATCATCTCCTTTATGTCATCAGACCAAGGCGTTGCGGCCCTACCAGAACTCCGATCCAGCGACAAAGACATCGACAAAACCAAACCCTTGCCGACCTCACTCCAGAGCGAATTCATCCCAGAAGAGATACTGAACGCCCTGACCAACATCCCCGTCCCGGGGGTGAAGGAAAAGTTAAAACAGAAGGGTGTGCAGAAAGCCAAGGCCAAGGTAAGCTATGCAGGAATGAGGAGCTACTTAGCCGCATCCGAATTTCTTCGGATGTGCTAACCGAATTTATTAGCTACGCGTGTGTAATTTCTAGCCATTGTAGTTTTGATGCGGCCTTAGCATAAACACAATATGATTAGCAAGTTTTTTGTGCTAAGCAGGGATTGGCCGGGCACCAGTCGTAAAGCAATATACATTGCATTACATTTTGGACGGTTACCGTTTTTGCAAAGCGGATATTTTCTGCGCTAAGCAAATTTCTGTGCTTAACAGTTCCAGGAAAATTTTGCTCCTTGAGTCGATATCTTGGAGCTTAGACATTTCAAAATCTGCCTTACATTGGTTTAAAACCACATCTTGGAACCAATTTTTTAAGCACTAAATTTTTAAGCATATTAAGTCGCCAAAAACTTGCAAACTATCAAAGTATCTTAACTCTGCCATTTTTTTCCACAGGTTCCCAAAGGCGGGGCGCCGGCTGCCAACATGTGGAACTTCCCGAATCGTCGGCGACGCTTCCAGCATCTGACAGATCAACCCCTCTCCATGACCGGTGCTGGAAAGTAAATGCTCTCAAATCCTTGCCCAGCTTATTTTCCTTGTCAAGTTGCCCGCTGAATCTTACTCATCGAAAAGTTTGAAGTGATTTTGGACTCAGATACGAAACTAGGCCAGATATCACTGCTTACGATACTCCAAAATAACACTATTTGTCATTTTTTTTCTCTTAATTTTACGCAGGGATATTTCGTTCTTGTACGACGTCGCTTTCACCGACAAAGCTCCAGACAAGGTGAACCCGGCGCAGGATCCGAGTTCCGTCAGGGCCCTGTCCAAACAAGCCGAGCGAGAGAAGGTCAGTGTACAAGAAAATAGTATTGGTTCATGGTTCCGATGTTCCTGAACAAGATAGTTTACTGCAATTCTTTATCTATCTGCATGGAAAAAAGGCACCTGTTAAGATAGACTTGATAAAGGCAATGTAATTATTTTTGCTGTTGAGAATTAAAAAAAAGGTTTGCACTTTATTTCCCCCTTTATTAGCTGAGAGAGTTTAAACATAATTCGGGGCTTGATGGTCCGGGTTTATTAGAGTATTTTTTGTGATATTTTTATTTATGACTGGATAAATTAATTATGAGAAAACTAATGATCCTTTTGTGTTTGTGGATATTTTCATATTGTCAGGTTTAGTAGCTAGACTATTAATGCTAGTAAAAATCTTTATATTTTCCACTTTTTCCAATGTTGTAGGGGATGAGTGTTCCAGATTCTCTGATTCCATCTGAATATCATGTGGTCAAAGCGAAAGGAGTGCAGCACCTAGAGTTTCAAGAAGAGTAAGTTCTTGCAAAACCTTCCAAAATCCTTCAAAATCTACAAGGGGATTTTGGAGATTTGTATGGGATTTTGTGGGATTTTATGGGATTTAATGGGATTTTGTAGGATTGAAAAAGCCATTTCTTTTCCAATGATGGTTCGGCCGAACTATCGTGCCATGATTTCACAGGATGCTTGAGACTATTATTCACTTACAGTCAAGTAAAGGTATTACATTATACAATGAAATCTCGAAAAATCAAAGCTCAGAGGAATTGGCTCAAATTTTGAGATAAGCATAGTTTCGAGTTATTCAATTGATTTTTCTTTTCAACAGCAATTGATGGCAATAAGTTTTTACTTTGAGTTAAAGGGGTTTTTGAGTGAACAGGTCTTGACCAATATCAAGATTTCACTGTAATTTGAAAGTTTGTGTTTTAATGTTTGCAAATGTGGCTCAGTACCTTTAAGTTTAGAAACGATAAGTAACCTTTATTTTATTGACTTTTTCCCCTTCCACAGTAAATATACCACCAAGCTCATGGATGCAGAGCAGCAGCAAGTGGCTTTCCCGTCACTGTAAGAAATATGTTATGTTACTCAAAGAAACTTGAACAAGTTCAAGATTTTTCCTCATATTTTTGTTCTTATGGAATCTATCCCTTCTTAAGAGTGCATTCTGTTTGGGCCTTGATATTTCTATTTTCTTAATAAATACAAAATTAACACAAAGTGATTTTAAATTGGCACGATTGGGAGTTATTGTATCTGCTAAAGTTTGGTTACAGGCCCCTCTTTATTTTTGATCAAATTAGAGTCCAGGGATGTTTTTCATCATTCCAAAATGACTTTTTCAATCTATTAAGCAGACTTCTCTTTATTTTAACAGCACCATATTTTGCAATTTTGAACAGTTTCTTGCGGTGGAAAAGGTGATTTTTCTGATGTGTTATCACAGTTGGTGCCATGCGAATCAACGCGGTTTTGTGTATTCGCTGTGCGTTGGGGTGATCGCCATCTTTATTTCTGTGTCACGTTTTGTCATCTTTGTCATTTCTTTACCCCAAAATTTCCCTAAAAAAAAAAAATTTAACCCTGCCCTCTATCTTATGCATACCTGTTTGTAACATCCCTAACAAATTTGGTAAGTCCAATAACCTAAAAGTAGATTTTTGTCCCCCTTATGTGGGGGGGGGGGATGGGCCCTACACTACACAATCACCAAAAACAAAAAAAACAATTACACAAATCATCATCGATTTTGATCATAAATGAAGTCGTTGATGATTGTTGCAGGAAGCCGGCCAGTCGCTACGAGGTCTTGCAGCTTATGGAGACCATGGGCGTCATGCTAGACAAAGCAGGCATTGACGACGAAGAGATCGAGATCAAAGGCCCAACACAGGTGGGTCTGTCTGTCAGTCTGTGCATTTGTCTATTTGTGCATCTCTGTGTTCTTTTATGACAATGTATCTAAAATCCGAGCCTAATTTCATGGTGCTGCTTAAAGCACACAATTTTCTGCTAACGATTTTCCGTCTGTTTCATAGAGACCGTAAAGAAGTAAGTGACGTTGCAATAAAAATCTCCATGAATGCGCGACCGTTAGCACTCCCACGCCATGGAATAGCGCTAGGGTAGCACAATTCTCTGCTGTAGTTAGCACAACTTTGCTGCTGTTAAGCGGCGCTATGAAATTGGGCTCTGCTCTAAGGCTGTACGCTGGAAAACTTTGGTGCGTATATTTTCTTCTTTTTTGTATCTTTCTAGATGCACAATCTTCTGGAGTTAATCAAGAAGGAACAGAATATCTACAATCTCATCTTCCATGAGCTGATTCGACAGGTTAGTTAGTTTGTCTAGATGGTTGGTTGTTTGTTTGTTGGGTTGTTGGAAGGCTGGTTGGCACTTTTAAGGCCGGAAATGTTCAGACAGAGAAAAACTATTTCAACAAGTCGTGGAACAGTCACAGAATTGTGTCATTTCATAACCACAGTATGATGAGTGATATGTCTTCATTTTCAGGTGAGCGTTGAGTGTGCCGAGAGGGGAGAATTACTAGCAAACCTCCGACAGCGATACAGCAAACTGCTGGATAAAGTACCCAGACAAGTCAAAAGGTTTGCAATTTAAAAAAAACAGACTTAAAGTTACATGGGATCATTCGTCTCTGTGCAATTTCTTTTGGTTTGAAGCAAGAAAATTGCTCAAAATCTTTGAGGGGCATAACGACCCTGTTGAAAATATAAATTCGACTACTGTACATTTTGAGAAAAAAAAGAAAAAATGTATGCACAGTTGTTTGGGTTTTGTAACTAGATTCCATTGCTGACGCACGTAAAAAAGTGTGCCTGCAGTATAAAAAAGTGTGCCTTCTGGCACACTTTTTAAAAAATCACCTTAAACAATTGGGTTTTTTTCCAAACGATACCATTTCTGACAAAATATTTTCACAGGGTATTAGGTATCAGTCCTATCTTCACTTTGAACAAGGATTTTCTCATTAAATCAGTCGGTCTGTTCTGGGTATAATGTTCCTAAATGCCTTTAAGTCTTTTTTTAAGGAATGAGTTACTAAGCTGAACTGTTGGGATTTTTATTAAAATGGAACCAAGATTAGTGTGAAACAGGATTGAATAATATCCAACCTTGATCCTGTGTACACCGGTTTGCTTCCCCCAGCTTGCATCAGGAGGTGATGGCCCAGAGAGCCCTGGACAGAAGGTTGACCGAGGAGCTGTTCCGTTTCAAGAATTCCATATCGCAGCTCACAAAGTAAGCAGTGGAGAAAGTGAAATTATAAGAAAAGTACATAGTACTGATCAGCAGACTTATTGAGAATTTGCTTCCGCGTGGCACTATTGGTGAACGATGCAAGATCTGCCATTCGTGCACTTGTACATAACATTATGCATAACGTAACCTGTTCTGCGGTATTTGTCATGTTCAATATCAGAGTTTTCTCCCAAACTTCATAGGTTAAGCCCCAAAAATTGAACAGAAAATGAAACATGATGAAACAAGCTTAAGTTGTGTGTCTCAAACACATTGGAGAGTTGCGAGTATTTTGCCTGAATTTAGGAAGTGGGCATATTTATCACTGGGGTCTATGGCAGGTTAGTTTACAAGTCTGCCACCATAGACATCCAGTATGGTGGGCAAGTAGGTGACCACTGACCTGTGACATCACATGAAATTACTCAATTAAACATTCCAAAGACCATCACAGCTCCCTAAGAGAGTGTCCCTTTCAAAGCTGCCATTTTGGCAGAAAGGACTGATTCAAAATCGATAAAGTAGCCGTTTTACTTCTTAGTGGGGAGAAGCAGCTTGTGACAAAGTCTCTTGCCCAAGGACACATAAACACACCGCCATAGCACGCAGTTGGATTTTTAGAGGATTCAGGAAGTTCTCATGTCAAAATGACCAAGAGATGAGGATTTTAAAGTTTAGTCCTGTAAACAATAAATTGTGAACAATATATTCTAAACTAAAAACGGTACATTTTGTCTTTTTATCTCAGTGAGTTATCCGACGTGCGAGAACACGATAAAGTTGTAACCTCCCAGGCCCAACAAGCGCAACAAGAGGTAAAATAAAAAAAATTTAAAAAAATACATTTTTGGCATTTTAACCGCTTTTTAAAACATTTTCACTTTTGTTTTAAGCGAAACGTTTATATTTTGTTTGTATTATTATTGTGCTGCATGTTATGCTTATTGGAATTTCAGGTAGAGGATTTGGGGTTTTCAAAACTCATACTAGAATATTTATTAAATTTTTTGTTTCTTTCTTGTTTTGCAGCTTGCGGCAGCATTGGCAGAGTCGGAAAAGAATGCAGGGTAAGAACAAATATGTCACAAATATCTAAAGTTGTCAAATTTAAATTTCTAAGATTTTAATACAAAAATTACTTTTCCATAAAAATGGCCCTGTTTAATAGTTACAACAAGTTTGCAAACAATGGTCCTGATAATAATAATGCGGTGTTTGTACACTTCTTCATATCAAAGTCTGAAAGCAATTTTCGGAATTACATGTATTACCCCTGTTCGTCCGGCCATGACACCATTTCTGCATCCACTGAAGATCAGTGCAATATCTGGTCTCTACCTTCACAGGTACCCAATAGGAGGGACAGACATTTGTAGTAAAGTGCCTTGCCCAAGAACACAAACACATGTTGCCCGTCAATGTTCCAACCTATCTATCCTTGCACATCGAGTTGGACTCCACAAGGCAATTGTTGTAAAGTGCCTTGCCCAAGAACACAAACACATGGTGCCCGTCAGTGTTCCAATCCATATATCCTTGCACATCGACTTGGACTCCACAAGGCAATTGTAGTAAAGTGCCTTGCCCAAGAACACAAACACATGTTGCCCGTCAGTGTTCCAATCCATATATCCTTGCACACCGAGTTGGACTCAACAAGGCAATTGTCGTAAAGTCCCTTGCCCAAGAACACAAACACATGTTGCCCGTCAGTGTTCCAATCCATATATCCTTGCACATGGAGTTGGACTCCACAAGGCAATTGTTGTAAAGTGCCTTGCCCAAGAACACAAACACCATGTTCCCCGTCAATGTTCAAACCCATGTACCATCGCAAATGAGTTGAATACCATATCTATTTTGGATCCCACTGTCTGTAAAATCGCAGAATATAGAGTTACATCGTTTATTTTGCCTGTATTTGGTTAGAGAGTTATTTGGATCTGTCATTCTTTACGAGTCTTTTTCTGAACTCATCAGGTTGTTGGCCGAGTACCACGAGTTGTACGAGTTGCAGCGAGCGCGGCTCGAGTCTCAAGTCATTGCGCTGTCCAGAGAGAAGGAATTATGGAGTGGCGCGGCCTACAACTTGGCTCTCAAGGTATACAACATACTTTGTATGACATTGTTTTTCATTGTACACGTTGTATACATCGTATACATTTGATACATTGTATACATTTGATACATTGTAATATTCCCTGATGAATCCATAAATCGTCCAGTTCTGGGGCAGTTTTGGGCAGTGAAGAAGTTACAGGCAGGGCGCTTTTTGGCTGTACCAGAACTAATAGTTGAATTTTGTAAGGATTCTCTCCTATGTTTCCTAGAATTTATTAATTTTTTCCCCACTTATCTGAGTTATCAAACACAATCTGCAAAATTACAAGATACTAATTTGACCACATTTTGAATGCCCAATTTCATGAAATCAGTAAACACCAAAAATTTGCAAAACATTTCTCGGCGAATTTAAGTCCCAAGCATTAATTGGCCGGGAACCAGTCACATGCCATATAACAAGGCATGTCAACTAAACTGGTAATCCATTTTTGCTTAGTGGATATATTCCACGCTTAGCGCATTTTTGTGGTGAGCATATTTCTGTGTTAAGCAGCTGAAAATGGTCTTCGTTCCTTTTTGGATTTTTGATAAGGTCACGGAGGCCAACTCGCTGGCCACGGCTCGCCGCTTGCACGTCAGCGAGCGGCTCTGGTCCAAACTGGCCAATCACTTCGCGATCGTCCTGAGCGACCGCGACACTGAGGAGCTGTCGCAGCTCCAGGGCTACATCGCCAGCCACCGGCAGCTCACGATCAAGTTTGCGGAGGAATTGAAAGCGGGCGATGTGAAATCTCACAGCCGGCTGCAGACGATCGGCAAAGGAATCGAAAAATGGATGCAAGAGTTTGACCAGTTTGTGGTGTGAGTATTCACCATAAATTTGACATTTTTCGAAAAGTTGGCTTTGTCTCCAGCTATGACTACTTCAATAAAAGCCTTATTCTGACCAAACCACATTAAACATGATCTGTATTTCACATTAGGCTAACTTTGGACATTTTGAAACCGTGGTTTTGTCTGTGGCTTTGGCTCATATCTGGCTTCAATAAGTACCGGAGGACAAAATATGGATCTATACACAGTCGGTCCCATTTGCGAAAACATTGCCCACGTTTTGACGAACCTTAAGCATTGTGGAACACACCCCAGGTGCAAGGGAAGGGTACTAATATTTCCCTGGTCCCCCGCACTGATCAGCCGTTTACATCTGGAAATCAGTGAGAGCAGAAAAGGAAACAAAAAAAAATCTGGTTCCCGTCTCTCTATCATATTCTAAACCACAAGCGAAGAAAAAGGGCACTAGTTTTATGAGACAGCTCCCATGCTGAACTGTATTCATTCATTTATATGAAGAGTAAACTTCCAAAACATGATATGTACGCCATTTTGTTCTCCTTTAGAATTGTGTTTTCTGCTGGCTGCTGTAAAGTCAATTTTGACAGCCTTTAAATACTTAAGACATAGGCCCTAACTAAGAATACAACAAAGCAAAAAAAAATGAATTTTAGAAACAGCTTTAATACTGTTTTTATTCTTTAAAGTTTGATAACTGTGCAAATATTTCAATTTTTTTTAAAGGATATATCACGTTTTGGAACTTAACTCTTCATATACTCAATTACAAGATTTTTTCAGAGCCTTTTATGAATTAACAAATTAACAAGTGAAATCTGTCCTAAATTTGCAAGCTTGCAAAAGGAGGGGAGCGTGACATCGGCTGCTACTAGTATGAGGGAATCCAGGTGAAGTTGTATTCTAAACGTGTGCACTTTTTTTTGTCCAGTTGCAGTGACTTTCTCACACCAACTTTAAACATCAATGTTTCTCCATTGTCCATCTCTGCAACTCTTGTTTCAATTTCTCATCATCTACAGGGACATCTGAGAATTCAATTTTTTGTAAAATGACGGACGCCTTCGATATACCTTTTTGCGTTATCCAATTTCTCTGAAGCTGCTTAACAGACTATTTAGCGTTCTTTTTCAATGAGTTTTTGATACAAAAACCACTGCTGTTATACAAATAATGAATGGTTATGATTGCAATGGTAAGAATAATTTTGTGAGGTAACAGATGGAATGTTCCATTCAAGGGGCAAAGGCGAGGGGAATGGAACATCCCATCTGTCACTGAATGAAAGTATTCTTTCCAGACATTTGTTGTTTGGTTGATATAACACCTGAATAAATCCTCGTCATCTGATTGGTCAGAGCCACCAATCATGTGACCGTGCAATAGAACTTCTATTTACCGTGGAATAGAACGGTATGAATAATTCAATGACACGTGATCGACAACCAACCAATCAGATGACAGCAGGCTTGTATAAAGTAAAGTAATAGTAAATTGGATGAAAAAGCAGTTAAAGTTTTAAAAATTATGAATTCTAGTTAAGCAGCTTTTTGACATCGGTTATTCATTGTGTGGTCCTTCCACTTTTAATTTGTGTGAGTTTAAACATCTTGAATCTGAAATTTGTTTCAATGGTCATATCATTCAGAATCATTCGTTTGCCAAATTCAAGGTGGAATTTGTTTTTCTTTTTTCTTCACACATCCACATAAGATAACACAAAGCAATACAAAATAACAACAAAATTTCCCTTGATTTTTTTTCTTGAACTTTGTCACATTTAGTTCTTAGTTCCAGTAGCTTGTAGTGTTTAGCTTAGCATTCAAAATTCATTCACATTTTCTTTCAGTCCTTAATTCATTTGTCTTCAATGCCACTTTGTTTTAGATTTCTGAGACGAAAAGATACGTGGAAGTCTAACTTTAATGCACCCATAGAAACTGTTCAGTTGAGAATAGACTGAGTCGTTTGGCAACGCCCACTGCGCTTGTTGGCCACATCACATGAGCCTCTTCAATGTTAATTACGTTCCAGCTGCGCATGCCATACGCCAATGCATGCATGTGGGACGTTTGCGCAAACGTGTCGGACATGAAGAATGTCGTGGTCCATTGGTTACTGTGTTTGACTCATGTATGAAGGTGCGTGGGTTCGAACCCTACCAGGGACATGGTGTTTGTGCCCTTGGGCAAGACACTTAACTACAATTGCCTCTTTCCACCCAGGAGTATGAATGGGTACCTGTGAGGCTACAGGACAGAATTTGTGCTGATATCAGCTGCCGCGTGGCCTCATGCCCTAATGAACAGGGGAATAATTGTAAAGTTTGAGATTGTTGGTACGTCTTAAAGTGCTACAGTTTTTTTATATTCATTTTATTACTTTATACTTACTTTCTGTGTTGTCCTTCTTGTGAACAATTCAGGGCGAGTCACGATAACATCCAGACGGTCGTTCAGGCACCGCCGATGGAGATGATCCAGAAACTGTACGACGACATCCGATCCTGGGAGGAGGTCAGCTCAGCAAATGTTTCCTGAAAAAAAAATTAAAGCAGTTGTTTATTAGAAAACTAATGAAATTGTAGTTAAAAAGTCCTCTCAAGTCCATTTCATGTCACCTAGTCCATTAAAGCCAACTTATTAACTATTCAATGAATGATGACAAAGGCTTTTCTTTGTTATTGTTCATCCTTGTAAGTACTTATGATGAACGTGAAGACTTGTGATTGACTTGTGATGGACTTGTGATGGACTTGTGAGGACTTGTGACAGACTTGTGACAGACTTGTGATGGACTTGTGATGGACTTGTGATGGACTTGTGATGGACTTGTGATGGACTTGTGATGGACTTGTGATGGACTTGTGATGGACTTGTGATGGACTTGTGTTGGACTTGTGACGGACGTGTGACGGACTTCCTATGGACTTGTGGTGGACTTGTAGGATGTGTGATGGACTTGTGATTGACTTGTGTTGGACCTGTGATGGACTTGTGATTGACTTATGATGGACTTGCGAGGGCTTGTGATGGACTTATGATGGACTTGTGATGGACTTGTGATGGACTTGTGATGGACTTGTGCGGACTTGCATTGGGTTCAACAATAAAGCTGCATCTCTCTTTGCATACTAATATTCTTTTCCTCTGAGTGCTTAAACCACTTCATTCAAATGTTTCCTCTCATGCAGCAACTGAATAAAGAAGTTGAGAAATACGGCGGCGACATCTTGCTCGGCTTTGAGGAGAGCATGTACACCATCAAGAAGCAGGTGGAGATGTGGACCGAGGTGGCCTTACACATCTTCAACCGTCACCGGCCTGAGGACGGATCGGACTACCCAGAGCACGAACGGCTGATGAACATGAACAAGGTTTGTTGCTCACTTGGTGTTAAGCGCAGACGAATTCTGCTTGGTCGCAACAGGTAACCATCAGCTAAAATACCATGTCACATGTGCTTCAATATTCACTGGCTCTCCGCTGATTTTTGCTAAGTGCAGAATTACGCTTAGCAGAGAACATTTTTGCTAAGTGTAAAAAAAGGTTACCAGCTAAAATGCCATAGGATATATATATTTCTGTTGACTGGTTCTCCGCAGCTTTTTGCAGAATTGTGCTAAGAAGAGAAAATTTAATTAGGCCTAGCAAAAAAAAATGAGTTGACCAGCTAAAAATGCCAAATGATGTGTGCTTTTCTTCACTGGTTCTCCGCTAATGTTTTGCAAAAGTGCAGAATTGGGCCAAGCGCAGAAAATATTTGCTTAGCGAAGCAAAAAGACTTTATCGCAGAGTTCATAAATCTATGTAGAAAAAGTCTTAAGGTTGAAAAACAACAATTTTAAAACATACGTTATAAAGTTGCCCTGCAGCATCTACTTGCCATGTTTTTTCAACTTCTGTCAAAGCCAGTTCAATACTTGCACCAACCTCAAAAATTTGCATAAATTTGCATTAAACACTCACACACCTGCGTTTGATTTTGAATACATGTAGAAGAAATTTTGAAGTATCTTAGATTATTTTTAAGATAAGTCAATACCAGGGTCCAATTTTACGGCTCCGCTTACTGTTGGCGAAAAATCCTTGCTTACTGTAACAGAAAATTCTATGCTTAAGGTAAGCGCAATTCACAGGTTAGCAAGGAAATCTGGATTTAGTGTATGAGTACATCCTGTTTAAGGATTCTGTGCTTACAGGCTTAGCGCAGAATTGTTTAAGCTAGCACTGTGAGCGCAGAATGTCGATCGTAAGCTCGGAATTCTGTAATTAGCAGAGCCGTGAAATTGGGCCAGGTATTGATGTAGATTTTAGTTTGCACATTTCGCTCAATTTCACTATTTTCTTCTTTATTTTCCTGGGTGTTCTTAAAAAACTCTTGAAACCGCAGTTGACAAAGGTAAAGATATTTTGCAATGGTCTTGAGGTGTCTATTAACAGTTTTGGTGTGATTAACTTGTAGAAAATGACTAATACTTTTGAAGTTGAGTTCATTACTAACATCAATCGAGGGCTGTGCGGAGTATACCCAAGACAGTGAAATCTTGATACACCCAGCACCCGATTTCACGAAACTCATCGTAACTTGCAATGCATCGCAGCGCTGCGACGCATCGTATCCATACGACGCGTCGCAGCTGCGACGCGTCCTGCGATCCATTTCACAAAACACGTCGTAAGTGCGATGCGTCGTATGTGTATTTATAGCACAATTCGGAGACTGTTTTATGTATTAAGTCAGCATACAGTAAATTGTTGTCTGGTATTCAACAAAGAGTCGTCGGATCTCCGCTCGAAATTTGTTAAAATGTAGGACAAAATGGCGGCCGTGTGATGCAATTTTAAAGGAAACAAGCTCTCAGTGTACTGTGTAGCTACTTTGAAATTTCAACTGCAATATTCCAGGCTAATTCATAATTATTCAATGAATTTTCTGTTTACAACATTACACACATTGCCTCAGTATTATGATCTCGTTTCCGTGATGTTTATGGCACAAAACTGGCTAAAAACAGACTCTCTTTATTTTGACGACACGTTGTAGCTTGCGACGTGTTTTAAGCCGTTGTCAAGGAACTTACGAAGCGTTCAACACATCGCAACTTTTGTGAAATGGATTATACGACGCGTCGCGAGTTGCGATGTGTTACACGTCGTAACTCAGCGCTTCGTGAAATCGGGTGCTGGTAAGTCAAAACAACTGTTAAGCATGTTAAGTCAAACAGAGAATCCATTCCCTTTAGTAGTATAACAATAACAAAAAGTTGTCAGTTGATCGGCACATTTGAAATGATCTACTATGTGGTTGAATCCACGATATTCAACTACTAACTTATTTTTAAATGCACAGCCCTACTAATGTCCGTTTGATACCTCATGTCATATAGGTTCTTCTTTTTTAACGAAGAGATTTAGTTAGTCTCTGTACCATCTCGTGATAATTTACGGACTTGAAAAAGAAGCACAGATATGCATGTCAAACTAATCCATGTACATTTGAACTATAATTTCCATAAAAACATTTTTGATCTTTGTCTTTCCTTTTTTTTTTGGCAAAAAAAAAAGATTGATCACAATATGACATTTTCACACTACATCCCATCTAAACATACCGGTATTCAGATACAGAATTCAGTATCATATATTACTTCACAAAGACACTTTTGTTTTTAATATTTTGAAAAATATCCATTGGGCACTAGGTCCTGAAATTCCCCCCAAATTTTATGTTTTGGATTGTTTACTTAGCCTATTTCAAACATCTGGTTGAAAGGAAACCTTACTAATGTCTTACCGTTCCCGAGAAAAGACGAAAAAAAGCCGCTTGTTTACATCGGACATGACGAAGTACGAATACCTTTTTGGTGTCGTTTTCAGTGTACGCTATACACGTTGTGTGTCTCGGGAACAGCGCACGGTGACCAATCACCAATGCAAGAAATTGTGGTTTCTTCAATGTCCGCAAAAGGCGAATACTTCATACGCGTATGAATGAAATCACAACTAGCATCCAAACAGCTCAAATTTATTGGGTCGCGAAAGTGGACCCCGAAACTCATTCTCGCACGCATAATACAGGAATAACACAAAAATGCCCAGTTTTGAAAGGATAGTTGTGTGGATGTTTATATTTCCAAAAATCATCTCGTTCAAAGCGCGTTTTGTACTCCAATTGGGCTGTTCCAGGACCTAGTGTCCCTTTAACATTGTTTGCTGTGAAAATCATAGTTTAGTCTTTGACGTGATCAACTAAATTATCAATCTCAATCATAATTTTAAGAAGTTATGTTAAAAATAAGTTTGTGACTATACATTTTTGAAATTTGAACATTTCGTAATTTGAACATGTATATTTAAAACCATTTCGAGTTGAGAAAGTTGACTTTTTCAACAAAAAAGTCATACGCTCATGTACCAACCTCTCATTTGCATATCAACTCCATAATTTAAATTTGAGATTACAAAATATTACAGAACTCATTTTAATTCATAAAACAAAGTGTGATTCATGTTCAAGACGTTTTTGTTACTGGCCTTTTTCAAATCTTGACTTCAGTTGTGGCTCTGATTCCATCATACCGAAATTCCACCAACATTTTAGAAATTTGCATGGACACTAATGGGAGAAATTTGCCCCGACATCACGAAAAATTAACTGAATTCAAAGTTTGTAAATAATGGCCTATCATGAGGGATACATCAATGTCATTATCACTTAACTGAATTCTAACTTTGCAAAATGGCTTAACTTATAATTTCAATAGATTAATTTACATGTCTTGCACCCTTTTATTAATGCTGTATTGTTTTTAATTCGTTTTTTGCTTTAATTTTGCACTGCATGCTTGCTACTACAGGAGGTTAAACAGGTAAAATGTGTGCTCATAAAAAAACCCTAATTTTTAATCATGTTTTTCATTAGTTTTTGTTTCATATTTGCTTTAGGCCAAGCCCTTTAATGGCAAAAGCATTGTGCTGTCTATTATTTAGATAATGGGGGCGTTGCTTTTTCCAATGAACAATGCTTTTTCCATTGGGGGGTTTGCCATGAATGTTCAGTCAAATCATGCTTGGAATTGGGTGATTCACAATGCAGTGCGCCACCAAGAGTTTGCCACGGAGAGTCCATTTTTCAAGTTTACGGTCGACAAAACATGGCACAATTGAATGAGTGCCAGTAGACAACTTGAGCTAATTTGTTATAGATTGGGGCATAGCGTTCTGCCGCCTTTAAAACAACATATGGATGAAAAGCAAAGAAAAGGGCAAGATGATACTCAAATCATAAGCGTACAAAACTACTGACCAGAAAAACGAACAATGTCAAATGCCCCGCGATGCGAATTTGTCGACAACATGTATCTCCCACAACGCGGGGGAAAAAATGAACTCTCCGTGGCCAACTTTTGGTGGCGCATTGCATTGTTAATCGCCCTACGTTTTGTTCGTTTCCAATACTCCACTCAAAATCCAGAGAAAAATGTTCAAAAACCTAACCTGTTGAAGTTTCAGCTCAGTGGATATTACACTTTTCGAGGAAACAGTGAAAACCCATGCATGACCTTTCGATCACGAAATACAACTTATTAAAAAAATCAGTCAATTGACCAATCGTTGGAAATCACCCAAATTTCTTGATACATGTCTTAACTGCTTAATGAGAGTAAGCCAGACGGAATAATTTCAGGGGGTGTTTAGTACAAGTAGGACCTGTAACTAAAACATTTTAATAATAAATGAGAAGGTTACTTTTGGGATAAATGCTAATGATCATATTCCCTAACTCCCTAGGGGGTGTGCAAAATCGTATTAAAATTGGAGGATTCAGGACTGTTAGGGCTATTGTTTTCACCACATTTTATCCATATTCCTCCAATTGGCTAAGCATACTTCTAAGCTAAATGCAGAGTATAAGTTCTTAGTGAAAAAAATCATTGGAGGTTAAGACTCATTTTGTGTCTTTAAATGTCCTAGTTTTTCATTCCTCAAAACTTGCTTTTCATAAATATCCATTGATTCATCTTTTTGTCTTCATTTTGTCATTAGAATTCAAATAGTGTCATCTTTCATTTTGTCTTGTTATGAATTAATTCATTTTTACCATTGCTGATACATCTGAAACAACACATTGCCTTTCTTGAACCGTTAAAGTCATATTGCCAACTGCTCTGTACATTTTACAATTACATGTGGTTCAAATTTAACAAAGAATCTGTTTTCGTCATTCTAGCAATTTCCTACAACAGACTAGCGCCCCTTTAACAAAGAAATTGACAAATTGGGGAACCGCCAACATAGGGCTGGATAGCTCAGTTGGTAGAGCACTAGAACGGCAATCTGGAGGTTGCAGGTTCAAACCCCGCTCCAGTCAATTTCTTTGTGCAACTTCGAAATATACATCCTACAACTAACACAATACATACTCGAATTTCATGTAACATAGATTAATATGCGTCAGTTTTCTGTGCTTTCTTTCTTAAATTATTCAGATTGAAATGACTTTAAGAATGAGTTACGAATGCCTTCCATTAGTTTGAACTCCTATTAATTTATGCAGTATCATACTACAGTTATTTATGCCAATTCCCCGATTATGAAATTGATGTAACACTCTCGTTGATGTGGATTTATCAATACTTTCATTTGTTTATTTTGTTTCAATTGCCATGAGTGGTGAACTGCTATTAAATTAAAGCGTAGTAATTAAAATTATTTATTTTTGTCTGAAACAGGAATGCGACACGCTGCACAAACAGTATCAAATACGAGTCAACGGGGAGAATGGTATGTCAGTTTTAGTAATAAGAAAATTTCTTTAATTTTTTTGAAATAGCTTGACCTGACCAGTATATATTATGACCCTTCATTTTGGGGAGTGTGGCCTTGTGGTCAGGTTCGTGACTCGTGATCAGCTGGTCAGGGGTTCGAATCTAGCTGCTGGATATGTGTTGTGTTCTTAGGCAAGCTGCTTCACCCCCACTTGCCTTTCTCCACCCAGGAGTATAAATGAGTACCGGCATTAGCTGGGGAGTAACCTGCGGTGGACTGGCAACCCATCCAGAAATAGATCGTTCCATGCCAAGGAAACCAGAGATAAACGCCAGCCTGATGAGCTATATGGGCTTGTGACAGACTTTACTTAATAGTTATGACAATGTTGTTGCGTTAATCATGTCCATTGGCAAGCCACTTTACCCCATTCGCCTCACTCCACACAGGAGTATAAATGGGTACCGGCATTAGCTGGGGAGTAACCTGTGATGGACTGGCATCCCATCCAGGGGGAGTATAGTAGAAATATTCTCAGTCGTTTTTTTGCCTAGGAAACCGCAGATAAAGAAATGCACTGGTGTAATTTTTGAAATTTGTTCACACATACAGGCTCGGCAAAAGGTTTCATCCAAATCGCAAACGCCTTGGAGAGCTGGGACACGAAACTGAACTCCATCTTGAATGGGGGCGCTATGCCTATTGATAGCGAGTGGATGCGATTGTACGAGCTCTTCAGTGATTGGCTAGTCACAATCGACGAGACGGCCGAGTGCATCGGCAGCACGCAGAAGGAAGACGCGAAGGCAGAGGGAAAACCGCACCAACCGTAAGTTTGGAATGAACAGAAAGCCGCTTGAACTGCACGTTTTAAATGAATAGGGAAAACTTTGAGAACTTTTAATTTCAAATATAAGGGGCTGTGCACGAACTGTAAGTTTCAGATACATAGGAAAACCGCATGCACTGTAAGTTCCAAATTAAAGTGGATTATGAATGAATTGTAAGTTCCAAATAAGCAGGAAAACTACATGAACTGTAAGTTCAAGATAAAAAGGGAAAACCACACAATGTACTCGGCTTCAAATATACAGAAAAATTGCAACAACTCGCCAAAAAAGACATGGACTGCAAGTTGTTTCTAAGAAAGTGTATGAACCGCAAGTTTTATATAAAAAGAAGAAAAACTGCAAAAACTCGAAAGTCAAAATTAAAGGTAGAGTACTTTATGACGTACGAGTTCCCAAGGGAAAGTTCATGAAAAATGTATGAGTCATAAAGTTCCACTTCATTTTCTTTATAGGCTGTCCATGGATGATGTTTTCCGAAGCACGCAGAAATGGCTGGCCAGTACCACTAATGGAATAGACAGTGAAGACTCCAAACTAGTCGAACAGGTATGGCCATGGTTTCAAAGAAAGTTCCCAAGCAAAATTTAAGTTCTTGATTCTTGAAAGAGCAGATGAGCAAATGTAGCTCCACTTAAAGAACACATCAGCATGCAGGCTAACAGGATTAGTTGACAATTTCTGGGGAAAATAACTGGATTTATAGCGCGCCAAATTGCCAAAGGCTACAAGGCGCTAAACAAAGAATGAAACAGGGAAAGAAGACAAGAAAAGAGGACAGCCAGCTACGATTTGGGGAAAAGATGAGTCTTGAGATTTTTGAAGGACGAGACACTGCCAGAATTTTGATAGGGATGGGTAGGCTATTCCGTAATGGGGGGCTGCAATGAAGAAGACCCTGTCACCAGCCTGTTTACGTGACTTGTGGATGACAAGGGACTCTCCAGCAGAAGAACTAAGGGAGTAAGGACGGGTCTGGATTGTGAGAAGAGAGGAGAGATAATCTGGTGCAGAATGTTTCAGTGACCTGTAAGTGTGAACCAGTGTGCGAAACTGAATGCGTTGGGTGACTGTGAGCCAGTGTAATTGTTTGAGCAGAGGAGAGGTATTGGTGTGTTTGGGAGTCTGAAAGACAAGTATTGCACATCTGTTTTGAAGTCTCTGCAGACGAGATATGATGGGAACAAGGTGGTTGTGTTCTTAGGCAAGACACTTTACTGCGATTGCCTCTTTCCACCCATGAATATAAACGAGCCTATGTGAGGGTCGAGACCAGATTGTGTTAATCTCGAGCTGCTGCAGAAAAACTGGTCCCATGGCCTGATGAACAGGGAAATAATTGTGGAACACTTTGAAAGTTTGTTATTAGCATCACAACTACTTTTGGCCCTATTTTAAAAACAATCAACAGGTTGCAGTACTGCACGCCGAGATGGTCCATTGGATCATTCAGGTGCTGCTGCGTCTGGCACCCAACCAACCCAATAGCCCGCCAGAGGCGGTGGAGAGTAGTATGGCGACCACGGACACCATCCCTCAGATTCAGGAAAAAGCGGCCGTCATGTTTGACAAGCTGACCAGATTCTCCAATTACATCACTGGGTAGGGACTCATTTGCATAATAATGAAAAGTTACATATTCATGATTATTTTCATAATAATTTATTTGTGTAAGATTATTATCCCTTACCCTGCCAATTGGAGCCTTCACTGTTAAGACAAACTATCTGCCAATAAACTGCAGCTGGAGGGCATTGGCATAACCAACTGACATGCAGTAAACTACCCTCAGAGAGTAAGGGTTAGATTACAGATAGTGTTATAATCAATGAATATTTAGTAATTAATTTCTGTTGTGCATAATAATATTGCATTGCAAAGTGTACGTACATATATATGTATCAACCAAGTTTCACATTCTTACCTATTTTTTCCTATTTTTACTCGTTTGTGGTGACAAATAGTATTTTTGTTTCTATGATTGAAGTTTCTTATTTTTGCTGTGTAGATGCTGTGCCAATATCGTGGCAGAGGAAGTGCAGAAGAGGCAGGACGAGGGAGCCGAGGATGCAGATCACGAACTACGCGATCTTAAAAAACTTAAGGTTAGACATAGCTAAGACACAGTTATTATGATGTTATGAGAATTACTTTTTATGTGTTTAAGATGTAAATTTGGGCACCATGTTAACTTTTTTTTTTTATCCGACAGAGCGAGTGTGCCGAGTGGATCCACACAGCGACGATACTCATTGAGGATCTCAAGTGCCTCGATCCGAACTACGTTCCGGTGGTGTCCGCAACTCCGGGGACAGGAGACGACAAATCAGAAAGCGCGGCCACACCGGTGCCGCAAACACCACAAGCTATCGACGGGGCCGAGGTGAGAGTCGTAGTTGTGACCGTCCATGCTTTTCAACCAATTCAAGGTTTTTTTTATCCTTTGAACAAATTTGATAGAAAAAAAACCTTCTTGTAGTTTCTGTTGTGGGCGTCTGTAACCCTCTGTCTAAAGGCTTTGATTTCAGGTTGCTTTTGCACACAGACATAGCTACCGTGTTTACGTTACCTGTATCATCAGGATGCTGATGGGGCGGGAAGCAGTGTATCTGGGAACAACAGAATTATTGTAACGCCGCAAATGAATTTTGTGAAAGTATCGAGTTAAAGGTTCAAAAATGATTCTGGTGGCAGAGATGAGGTCCACATGTTTGGTATTTGTACGTCTCTCACAATGCTTGTGACCGGGTTTGACTGAGCTCCCTTGGCCAGCTGACCAAACCTCATGATCTGATTGGTCGATTTTGTTTGATGGACGGGCAAAAAGGTCCATGTCATATTATACCAAGACTATGCCTGCCTAATTTACTTAGTCAGTCGGTTAGTCAGTTTAGTCAGTCATCTGGTTTTTTTTTTTATCTTGCAGCTTGTTGGGTCAGACGGCACCCCTAGCCAGACACCAGCACCAACCATTTTGTCAGACACCCAGAAAGAAGGTAGCAGCGCATCGCTGAAGGGGACACCAGTTTCCACAGACAAAGTATGTAGAGTAAACTACGGGGCACATTGCGTACCCGTACTGGTGTACTGGCATGTTGCGCAAAGCAACCATGACCAATTTTATTCTGAAAGAATGTTTATATACAGCCTGTCTCAAAAAAAATGGTACAATCGAAAACAATTTTTTTTTCAATATTAAATCCCAACATAAGTAAGTTGTTTTGAGCATCACATTAAAGAAAAAAGACCAGGCTTTCCAATACTTTTTGTTTCATTTCATTTGCTTTTGTCAATCCAGAGATAACTCATGTTTACTGCGGAACACAAAAATCGAGTTTGTGCCACTTTCTGGTTGCAATTTTTTGTGAACTTCAAGACAGCATGGCACAGTACTCGAAACAACTCTGCCCATGCATAAAAGTGGCACAAAATCGATTTTGGTGTATCGCACTAAATTGATTATATTTCTGAATTGACAAAAGGAAATAAGATCAAACAAACACTATTGGAAAGCCCAGTCTTTGTTCTTTAATATTATGCCAAGTAAGAATGACTTATTTTGGAATTTCATATTTAACCAATTTTTTTTCTGATTGTACCATTTTTTTTGAGACAGGCTGTACTGACACCTTGCATGCAGTTGCAATATGCTTTCAAGAGTTCCATGTAACTCTTTGTTACCATTGAAGAGGTAAATTTGCATAGTTTAAAGTCTCTTTACATCTTGAAACTTGGGATGTGTATAGGAGCTCTCCCTGCCCGCAACCCCGGCAAGCAAAGACGAATCACCGGCAGGCAAAGACGGATCACCGGCAGGCAAAGACGGATCACAAGCAGGCAAGAATGGATCACCGGCAGGCAAGAGTGGATCACCGGCAGGCAAGGACGAGATCAATATGAGCGAGATGGAAGCAATAGGCGACGACGACAATGTACGGACGATGTCACTTGAGGAGCCCATACAACCGCCCAAAAAGGTACAGTTTAAACTTCAAGTCCCTGTACTTCCCCAAACCAAAACTAAACTGCCCTGCCTGTTACTCCCTGTACTGCCGAAATCCACTCTGCCTGTTACTCCCTGTACTGCTCCAAACTGCCCTGCCTGTTACTCCTGTACCACCCCAACCGCCCTGCTTGTTACCCCCTATACCACCCCCAACCGCCCTGCCTATTACTCCCTGTACTGCCCTAAACTACCCTGCCTGTTACTCCCTGTACCACCCCCAACCGCCTTGCCTGTTGCTCCCTGTGCAGTCCAAAACCGCCCTGCCTGTTATTTCCTATACCGCACTTAACTGCCCTGCCTGTTACTGCCCTGTACTGCCCCAGACCGCCCGACCTATTTAATACTCCATATACTGTCCTAAACTGCCCTGCCTGTTACTCCTTGTACAGCCCCAAGTATTGTTTTACTGTTTAACCAGGGAATACATTTAATGCCTAAAGTCTAGATCAATTCAAAAATGTCCTCACTGATCTACTGTTCAACACCAATGTCCTCCCATAGCTCCTCTAGACCGCGCCACACCAACTCTAGCAGGATGCCGCTGTAGCCGTTTTGCTGGAGGAGACTGATATACTATACAGATACAGACACAGAAATACAACGTAATAAATGTGCCAGTGGGATACATTGGGGAACGGTAGACTGTAGAAATGTCCTCATTGAATGAGATTGATGAGAGGTCATCATGGCAAAAAGCTGGCCTTTGGAACACCCTAGCCAGTTTCCGCTTCAGATCCCATTTGTGCTTCTTGAATCTATTCTTTCAATTCAGCCTGTTCCTCATCTGATACTGATCTCTTTTGTGCTTCATCAGGTACAGCCACGCGTCGCTGCATTGCAAGCGGAGGCCGGAACGCGAACGCCAACCCCGGATCCAGAGAAGGCCTACGAAGCACTGGTGGCTGTCAAGTCACTACAAGCAGAGTTGCTGTGAGTTGGCCTTCTTCTCTTGCGAGCCCTTGGTCCGGCTGGGCCTATTTCCTCTCATGATTTAATCCTTTTTCAGATGAACCACAAAGCATTGCATGGCGACTTGGGTGTGATCCCTGGCTAAGTAGCATATATGGATTTATGGCTTTCGACCATTAAACCCCTTGAACAAAGACACGGACAAAATGGGGAACTGCCAACACAGGAGTGGATACAATGAAAAAATTGCTTGAGTCAAGGGTCCAGTTTCAGACTCTATTGGAAATGTCTTTCAATGTTGTTGTTTTCTTTTCCGGCAGAACAACTGAGGAACGTGCTCAGAAGGCTGAAGACAAGGTGTCCGAGCTGGAGCTGGAACTCAAAGAGACGCAAGAGAAGCTCCGAGCGTTGGAGAGAAAGAGCGCCACCCCGCATCTCCCGGAGAAAGACCACGACGCGGCCAGCATTGCGAGTAAAGACAGAGGGGTTGCCGACACCCCAACCCAGCCAGGGAACTCCACCCCGGCTCCTGCCACGCCCAGCACCCCTCAGGCCACGCCCCCTGCTGCCGCCCAGGACACACCCCCGTCCACTCCCGGGCGAAGGGCGCCCTCACAGCCTTCGCAGCCGTCGCGGCCTCCTTCCCAGGGATCACTCAGGTCTGGATTGGGCTCACGAGGCTCGTCCAGGTCAAAGAAGAGCAAGTGATTTTTGGAGTCGATCCTTAGCAACCGAAATCACCTTTATGATCATTTGTATGACACATACAGATTGATATTAACCCTCTTTAATAATACATATTCATATTTATGCTTTAATTGGTATTTCATAGTGGAATCTGGAACCAGAATTAGAAGCCGTTAATCGCTGCGATGATACCACGCTCACATGCTTGCTGCATGCGTATTAAAGACGCATGCACATTTTGGTAACACTATCAAGGAGCTACCACCTGAGCGCGACTCAATCGAACCTGGTGCCATCTCAGAAAATGCCTGTCGCTGGATTAGTCTTTTAATCAGCTCACGTCACTGCATTTATTTTAAATTCCATTAATTTGTGTACTCGAGGAGTTCAATTTTGTCATCATTTCACATTGTCTCAGATCACAAGACTGGAAAGAAGACTACATTTAAACACAAACAACAATTTGATTTATACTTTTTATTGGTACATGATTATTCATTACATTGAATTGAAGACACTTGTTAAATCTTCAGATTTTGATTTCGTTTTGCTTCAAAATCACTACAGTTTATGTGCCTTAACAGTCCAACCAGAGGTGTTAATTTTTGGATCTTAGCAAACTGTAAATTCCATGTGTTTTTCCCACTCTAAGTTGTACATATTGGGAAATTATCTTTGAATGCTATTTAATGAGTAATTGTAAAGAAATTTGGAGTTAGTTTGAATTTTTTTTTGACAAGTGTACATAGCGTGATTTGGAAATTCACATTCCGTCCAATATTCCTAGCTTAAACGTCAAGTGAATTCTTTGTAAAGTTTGCCTTTTGATATTAAAATCTCTGTCCATTGTCGAAAGTTTACAAGTGAATATTTATAGCTTGTTGATTCCCGTATGTTTTTTTAACACTCCATAAAGACTGGAGGTGTATGAGGATATTATTTGTAAGACTTTTGACTTAATACAAAGGTTTGTCAATTGAAACTTTTTTCAGGAAATAAAACTGGAATTTAACAATATATTTTCCAAGTTATCACATTTACAGTGGCAATATACACTTCTCCCTCAAGATTTCAAACAACAAACTAAAAATAGGAAAATAAATAAAACTGCTGCAAAACTGCTTACTGATTGGATTTACCTGAATTATCGATTCATAGAGAATAAACACATTTAGCCTGATAGTTCAGCCTTAGCGAGGCCCTCTTTAGAGGCCCAACTAAACAACTAAAAGTTTGAATCACTGAAGAAATATGATCAACATGGTAAAGGTTTTCAAAGTCGAGGTTGTCAGTACTCCGCTTTTGTCGTTCTTGGAAGTGATTTTGTTCCTTAGATGCTGCCAGTTTCACAAGCGTAGCAGTGTGTGGTGAGGCACGGGTAGCTGAGCCAGCCGCCGCCGAAATGCACGCTGGCGCAGTCGTACTCGTTGGGAGTATTCTTCGGCTCGTTGGTCAGCCAGTTGTACAGACCGGTCGTTCCGTCCAGGGAGAAGTATTCGGTGTCGTCTCGGTCTTTCTCGGTGAATCTGAGAGAAAGAGAATGCAATTTCTCTGTTAAGTTTACAGAGCTATGTTAAAGTTACCACTTATACTACATTTTACGGCAGCCATTTTGACGGAGGACCATTCCGGTTGGTAAGGGACTGCGTCATACATGTACGCGCACGCACCACTGAATACTTGCGCCCATTGGCTGAACGCGCAACTTTGAATTGCTTCCGGTTCCAATGATTCCAGCGCTACTCCATGTGCAGTGGGCGTGGTTTAAGTTTCAATGACGACACACGAACCGGATTGGTCGGCTAGTAGTCGATTAGTGACGTAACATGCGCCTACGCATATACACAGAAAAAGGTGCGGGCGGGATCACGTTAGCCGGTGAAAACACTCATCCATTTGAGCACCAGTTTTTATCGGTTAATTAATACCTTTCAGCAGTCCAGACTAACAAACCATTGTGTTTCAGTAATATAAGTCTGGGAGATAGATAAACCAATGTTAAAAAAAGCAACATGCCAACCAAAATTCTGGTCAAAGGTTTCAAACAAGTAGGCTATTGTTGATATATCCTAACGTGGCGCGGCCAATGTGGCGCACTTTAATTTTTCGCCTCTAAGTGCCTTGTTGGAGAAAACTGTTACCCCAAATTTCACAAAAAGTGAGATTTCATCGAGCTCTAAACATTTCCGTTCATAAATCTTGAGTTAACGTAGGAGTTAACGTACCTGCTACAAAGTTCTAGAGTCAACCTATTTTGTCGTGATTTTCCAATTTTTTGGCCGAAGTGCACAATGAACCCTTTTAAAATTCGCCCAAAATTAAGAAAATAATTTGCTGACAAACTTGATGTTTTGTATGTGAGTGGAGATATATAATGATTTATCAGAATTTATCAACTTTAATAAAGACATTCTTAGACATTTTCCCATATTTGTTCAAGTGCACCACATTAATTAGGGAACACTGGGCCGAATTTGTGCCTAATTTCCGGACGCCACCGTTTTTGAATTTCGGACTTAATTTATTTCATGACACTCAGTAAAATTGTTCACAAAGGTTCCACAGCATGGATTATTAAAGTGATAGTACCAGTTTTTAACTGAATGTATTTGAAGTTTTTTGACGAAGAAGTTTGGCAACACTGCATGAGGAAATAAGTTGGGGGAAACATCGAAGTCCGCCACGTTAGGGAACACCACTATAAATAGAACTGCTTGCTCCGACCGAAACACTACTTGTATGCCCTAACTTTTCTTTCTTAACGGATAATTTTGTGGTCAGCAAATGAGGACGAAATGGAACCGGACAAATTGCTCTACGTGTATTTTGCAATGGAGTACATGTATATGTATGCATCATTTTTTTCAAAAACGGTCCGTGGACTTCAGGATTAGTTTTGGGCAGTGTGGTCATCTTTGGAGTTTAGGTTTTTTGACCCACAGACTAGACAAAGCTGCATCCGAATCTGAGATTTTACAACCTACCTAAAACTAGCCCAATTGTGGACACTTGGTGGCAGCCAACTGCTCAAATTTTGTGTTGTTCATTATAGCAATGCGCATGCTCGCGTCATGAAAGGTTTCACTACTTTTTTTTTTTTTAAAGACAAAAAGTTGCACCGACGTTGAAAATTATCTACGTTGCAAACCTTATTTTTGAAAGTTATTTGAGTTAATCGAAACATCGCTTTAACGAAAAGTTTATGAACGAAAATTGTGTAGAAGCAATGGTTTAGTTTGGTACCTCTAGTGATCGCTACTGTTGCGCATGGTTGGAAGTCAAGGAGGCAATCCTGGGGTAGCCTACTTCAGGTTTTGCCGGCTATTTTGAAACGTTTATCATTCGAATTCACCGTTTCTATTTTCAAATTCGTCCATCAACATCGAGTTAGTGCACTTCCAATGTTTAATTTCGTCTTTTGTCAGACAATTTCAAATTCAGTTCAAACAAAGTTCAAACAATGAGCACCCGTTTCTGTTCCAGAGTGTTCGATTTCGTCTCGTCTACGCCAAACCTCGTTATACAGAAATCTGATTCGTCTAATTTATTTATTTAAGACGAATTCGACCTCGGAAAGCTTAGACGAATTTGATTTGAAATGACGAAAATTTTCGACCTGGTGACTAAAGAGGGTGACCAAACTTTAAAATCGAATGGTAAAATGACTAAATTGGTTTTGGTAAAAGCGTTTGAAATTTTCCGTGGACGAAGTTGAATGTTAGAGTTGGTGAATTTGAATGACAAATCTTTTGAAATAGCTAGGAAAAACCCATACTTTCCTGGTACATGTATATCGACCGCTTAGGTTAATGTACGTGCATTGCGCATGCGGCATAGCCGCGATGAAAAATCAACCAATGAAAGAAAGTCATTTGGTTCATAAATATTCATATGAGATATATCAGTAAGCTTACCCAAGCCACAACACGCTGCTGCATGTGTTGAAGTCCATGTCGTTGGAGATGACATCGCGCAGGTCACTCTTCTGACCTTCCCCCAAGGTAGCTAGTTGACCGCCCATGGCCGTGCAATCGTTACTAGCGTCGTACCAGTTCTTCAGTCGGTTGACGGCCATGTAACATCTGCACCCCGTCTGGCGCCTATCGGAAAACAACACAGGGGCGCAATTACTCTAAACTGGGAACCCGACCAAAACGTTTGTGATATGTTTTTAATATGTTTTGGCTCACCTAATTATAGTAATTTAACAGATAAAATTCAGCAACACTTATGATAATACGTTTCTCTGTTAATGACATAAAAAACTGGGTTTTTTTTAAACCAGGCACAAAAGTCACGAGACAATTTATGTTGAATATCATATAACGACATTCTACAATACCTAACGGCATCTGCGAGTTGGAGTGCAGTATTGGTTGAGGTAGGTTTAAATTGGTTGAAGTGTATTAGTTAACCGCAATAAAGCATTTCTAGGCGCAGTAGTGGGGCAGATAGGGAAAATATTTTGGTGGATGATGCCTTTGATGATACAAGCATGTCATTTGGCACACAGTCAGAGTATGTATCAATAAAGATATTTGGCTAGGCATATAGGGCCATGGCAGATTTGTCCTTTGAAAAAAAAATGTAGATGGTTAACAATAATCATCAAATCTGCGATGGCCCTTTAGCCAAATATATTTCTCATGAAATGCGTGGACTGAGTGTCAAATGCCATGCTGGTTTCATCAAAGGCGCTATCCATCACTTATATGCGGTACTGCAAGTACCACACTGCCCGGAAGACGAGAAAAACCCAACGCCTTTGTTCTAATCTGGGCAAGGTAAAAAAAAACTACATTGTAATAGCTTTTGACAGCCATAATACAGCAAAAAATTGGCAGAATTTGGGTGAATAATTCAAGTAGTTCTTCGAATTGGTTTACGCTTCATATTTGTATCAACAGTCTAGCTAGCTGTCCGAAAACTTGTATCAAAAAAACATAAATGACCCTATCTAAACTAATCATAATTTACGAGACCTAGGCCTGTGCCTATGACAATTAAGCATTTTTAATTGTCATAGAAAGAAACAGCCCAAACTCAACAGAATGATTATACATGTAGTACTAACAGGTCTAATAGGGTATTGAATGGAAGTTCATTGATACGTACCATGGATTTTCGCCCGCCGGCGCCTCGGGGCACGCTCCGTGAACGAGTTGGCCGGTGGTCGCCACCAAAACGGTCGCCAGAATTACAGCGTTCATGGTGTATTATACCGTACGTGGCAGAGCTCTGTCGATGGGAAACTGTGGTCAGTTGTGGTTCCAGCTGAGTTGTGGCTCGGTAACGGGCCGAGCACGGCCTTAAGTAGCAATTTTTCGCCGGTAAGGTGTGAGATTCACCGCAGATGACGGTCAGAAAACAGTTAATCATTGAAACCGCGAATCCGAGCTGACCTATTAAAACATCTCATCAGGTTTGTGCTTGTCAAGTGTGGCGGTTTTTTTTCCATATGCATATCTGTGTAATCGTGACTGCTTCACATCTCACGGGTCATCCGTCGTTCTGTCATATCACAATTTGGGCGGATGGAGGGCGCAAGCTTTGCAGAACAAGCAAAACATAATTTCGTTGGCCTTTTTCTCTTGTCGAGTTTACACTGCTTAAATTAAAAGTTATAAACTTGCCTCGAAGTAGATGCGTAGTAGCTCACGCAGACAAATTCACTTTGAGTACACGCATGTTAACCATCATTTTTTTTCTTTTTTAAAAAGATTACTGCGTGTTGGCTGTCAACAAGGCTGATACATCACGCCCCTAGTAAAAAAAACCCCACAAAAACAATCAGACAGGAACACTCTGTCAAATCGCAGCACAGTCAATAATAAATCAATAACACGTAGTTCCTTTATCTTCGTTAATCAAATAACACAAAGTGATATCGCCAGATGGCCTCAATCCATTTTGTTATCGTGATTGCGCATGTCAATGGGCCTTTGATAGTTCAACAGATAAACCAAATTTTATCAGGCGAAAGCTGTAATACAAAATGTATTTTGGCATTTTTTATCAATGAAGAATCGCTTTGTTTATTAAAAGGAATGATTTCATAATCGAAATAAAATGCTGAAATTGCGTTAGGTGTCATCAATCTCACGTCTATCTTATCTTAACGGACATCACCACTTCTAGATCGCCACTGGGTTGTTCCATTTTTTCAAGAGGGGTGAATTCTACCGTCTGACGCGATCGAGTCTTCATTCAATTCGAAAATTCAGTCTGTAAACGACGTCTGTATTTGAGGAGATTTTTTTAGTTTATAGAGCGAGTAGGGCCGGATGGGTATTAAATAACTTAATTTCACACTGATACAAAGAATAACACTGAGGATAAAACTCCCCTCCCCTTTCTTACCAATCCTACAACTCTCTAGATAAAATAACGCCCTCCGTAGTCCGCAAAAAGAGTATTTTTAAGCTTGAATTAAACATTTGAGTCTCGTACGCAACACATTTTTGGGGGCGCCAAGCGACGCCGAGTGGGTCTAATCGCCCCGCCCAAAGTCAAAGACCAACAACAAAGTCAAAGAAGTGAATGGTTTTATTGACAATTTGTCGTGAATAACAGCCCCACCTCTGAGGTTTTGTTTCGCCCCAGTAAAGTTATCATTTCTCGATCGATATGTATACCGTTTTGTTTTGATTGACAGCTTTGAGTAATATTTGTTAAAATATAGATTGTGTTCACAAGCAGCACATAGTGAAACCAAATACATGTTAAAGGCTTACCTGGCTTGACCACAGACCACTCAACTGACCGCAGAACGACAGCAGACTAGCACGGCGAGACGACAGCAACGTGAACACTCTACTACTGGCGACCATTCTGGTGGCGACCACAGGCCAACTCGTTTTATTTGGCCGGCTTGTCCCAACACTCAGGGCCAGACCTGGTATGTGCGTGAAGGAATTAAGTTGACAGGGTTGTAACTAACAGACTGGGTATATGCCTACATTTCAACTAAACTTGGGACATTTCACACAAAAGCAAGACAGAGTAAGCTTTTGATGAGGCACATCCCAAAATGGATGACAGTAAATGTTATGGAAGCGTATCATTTTTTTTTTATCTCCATGTGGGGAGTCAGGTTGGTGCAGTGGTACTTTCCTTGTCTTCCACCTCTTAGGCTCGGGTTCGATACCCACCCAAACCCCATGTGGGTTACATTTCATGCCCTGCCTGATTCTGTCCTGTGGGTTCCCTGAAGTACCCTTCTCGGGAAGTTTTCTGTCGACCTCTTCAATCAGACAGGGCTCTGGAGTGCTCTGAAACGTGCAAAACTAAATCAGGCCCACTTTGCTCACAGTTTAGACAGCAAATTTCTCCAAAAATTCCACTGGGGCAAAGAAAATGTCCTCAGTATTTCACCAACCAAGTTTGCAGACTCAATTCAATTTTTAAAGGAGATTTTTCTGCAATATTTTGCACATGAGAGGGAAGTCAAGTGATTTCAAAATGGGGCTAAACTGGTACATGTCCAACCATGGTCCAACTATTTGAAAAGACTGACCTCTTCATTCAGTGTCAATAGTCTGATGGCTTGACTATGGAGAAATGTGTAGTACATTGAGACTAGTTCCCACTTCATGCCACATGTTTCTTAAATTCTTTTGGCATGGTTGATTGCTGCAGCACTGAAGCTGTGTTGGACTGGTTGTTTTAGGTGCCAGTCTATTTTCTTGTTTTGCATGTTTTCAATACCTTAAGTTTTGGGACTCTCATACACAGTATTGAGAGTCCTAAATTTTCAGACTACTCTTTAATCTACATGTCACGTTGCTTCGCAGTTTGGAATTCATATTTTTGTTGCTAATAAGCAGCCATAATTTGGATTGGGTGATTATCGAGTGAAAACATGTTCCAATCTTGATTTGATTTTCTGTTACCCTAGTACTAGTAGTAGCGGACCTTTCCACACATTTTGTATCATGGCGGTCCAGTAGTTAAGCCACATTTATGGGGCTAAATAATTAAGTAGCACCCACACCTCAAATTCCTTGATGCAATCATCAGTCTACGAAGTATAAATAACACTTCGAATCGCCGCACAAATCCTTTGTGTTATTAAACTCAGTGTTAGCAGGCAGATTCAGTCACACTTCACTGCGCCCTACAGTGCTGTTTCTTGTGCAGTGACTCTCTGTGTGACACAGTTACTTTCACTTGAAACTGACCTGCGGGGTTTTTAAGGGTTTTTCATTTCATTCTGAATAGTGACTTCCCACTAGGAGTGTTAATAAGACCTTACCTTATCTCGTTCCAGATACTCGGACATTGAGAAGGACGAGGGTTTCCAAGTTTGTTCAACTTGCAATAACCGGGACAAAACACTTCCTCGTGCGTACGACACACGACTTGAAAAGATGGCGGTAATACCTACAATGCTTTGGGAAGTTTGCGTAGTCACGAGAGGGCGGCTCTTAGATAAGGACAGTAGGAGTTACTAAGATCCAGTTCAGGTTTTTATAGCACAAACAATCGAAACTTTAGTACTTTTTTGAATTGTATGTCTGTGCTTGTCAGAGTCGGGAAAAAAATAAGAACGAGAAATATCTCTGGATCTGCAAATGGAAATGAACTAAATGACAAAAAACATGGGCTTTTTTCCGTTTGAACTTTGAAGCGTTTATAGGCCCAAATAGGCTTAGCAGTTTTTATTCAAATTAGCTAGTCAAATACACCCTTTATTTGAATGCATTTCTCTTGTATAAGGAACCAAATTATGCCTAGCCTATAGTAAAAGTTAAATGCATGCATATTATATTTCTCCATGTGCTTTAGTTTAGATTTAGATTGTATTTTCTTTGTTTTCATGGTTTTCATGGGCTCGCTTATATAATGGTCTTAAATTCCAGTTACCTTGTAAAGGCCCCCCCCCCCTCCACAAAATAATAATTATAACGACATTGAAATACCATGCAATATTATACTCATATAGACTGGCATTGAGGTCACTAGTGCACGTCTATGTGCTCCAAGGGACTGTGAGTGAACAGAAAAGGGTCCTAAGTTTCCTGAGCCTGAAGGCCGGGGGAAATAGGACCCTCTTCTGGTCACTCACAGGCCTGAGGGGGGCAAAGACGTCCACTAGTGACCGATTTATGCCGATCCATAATGAGTTTTATAACTCAACTGTGTCTAAAATATAAAATATGAAAAGAAACAATGAAATTTCATAATTTTATAATTAAACTGTTTTATTCAACAATTAAGTCATAACCAATTCAACTATAAGTAATTCAACTATTAAAGGAAAGTATGTAGTTTTCCTAGATTAAGTTTTGAGTTTCAGTTTTGGAGAGGGCGCTGTAACCAGTTAAACAATTTTCGAGTATAGTGCCCGATCGATCGGGCACCATACTCCGGAAATTACGAGCGCGTGATGTCTTGACGCGCGTCTAGTTCACGATGACGCAAGTGTCATGCACTAGCCTATAGTGAACCACACGTGACCGTGTTTCAGCCAACCAGGATAAAGAACCAGCAACAGGTGTGTTATAAAACAAAATGCGATTGAAACAAAATGATCACACCAGAAACAATAATTGTGAAATACAAACATGATGCATTTTACCAGAATGCACGCCCATACTCAATCAGCTTATTAGCTGCATAAGGGACATCTTTCCTGTCCTGTGAAAGAGTTTATCAGTGTGAAAAAAATGTGTGACCAGGACTCATGCCCATACATCTACTCCATCAGGTTATTACTAACATTAAAGGACCATTTTCTTGTCATGTGTAAGAGTCTTTTCCTTTTAATTTTTGAAACGGTCATTCCCGGGCAAAGTTATGCTATTTTAAAGTTCATTGTGTCGAAAAGTAGAAAACGGAGAAAATGGCCACGAACGTCATAAAACAGTTATTTCTTTAACTGATAAACATTATCAAATTAGGGTTTCAAACTATTATAACATATTTTAGACATATTCAGGTTTACAAATATGCAAAAATTTGAAAATCGATAAAAATCACCCCACAGCGGTTTTTTGGCCCTATCTCAATTTCAACCTCTGCCCAAAGCGTTCGCTTTTGACAGAACAGGTCACATATGTGGGTGCAAAACAGTTAAATATAACAAAATCCGTTATGAATTAATTTTATTGTCTTTTGTAAATTGTCTTCCAAAGAACTTCATGAATAAAGTCAAACTTTCCACATTGTTTCGTCTGCATTGCGTAGACTGTATCTGACATCATACTTGATTTACATCCACATTAATTTGGAAGTTTTTCATTTTCACTCAGAAAATATATAATCTTGAATAGAGTTGTCCCCACCTAAAACTCTGGGGACCAATAAGTAGCTTCCATTTAAAGCCATTGATGGGATGACCTCTCTGCGCGTGCGCAGCATGTTTGGTTTTTTAAAATCACTATGCATAATATTTAACACATGGTTGTCCAAAAACTGACTCTTCTTTTACCATAAAAAGTGCGCAAAATCGCCAGTGTCTTCATAAAGGCAATTTTTCAAAGCATTCCAACTGCATGGACTTTAAACACTAAACACTCATGTCCCTCTTTATTTATTGACATTTGCCAGAGGCACGTTCGAATTCAGCAAGAAATCGAATCGCGTCACCTCCAAAATTGCACATTCGTGGCCTATGGCCATTTTGCAATAGGCTGGTTGCGCGCAAATATTACCGTTGTGAATTTGAATTAAGGAGGCGGGATTCAGACCTATGCACGTCCTGCATATAATTTGCATGTATTAGGAGTAAAGCCTCCCTAATGTATTCATGATTCACTGCTAGCTACCTGTCCCCATATTGGAAGTCCAAAGGACAATGGGGACAGGGAACCAGACTAGGAACACCATCCCCTTTAACAGTTACTGCTTCACTTGCAGTTTATTTAAATAGTGCTCTTCACACAGATTTTAGCACCAACATTTATACAACATATAAACAAAATATAAATATATGTGTTCTTATCAGAGAGACAATTATTTTACAGTATTTACAGTAATATTACCAGTATTGTAGTTTACTGGTAGAAGTAATTCCAAAAGTACGAAATACTCAGTGTTTTCAAGGTTTTTACACAAATGCCATAACATAACTGTCAGGCCAATCAGTCTATAAAAATATAATTTTATTTACAAAAATGTACATGTATTTGCCATCACTTGGATGAATCTCAAAACTACTCAAAGGATACTCATTGTTAGTAACATTATACATAAACACAACTGGAGTCTGATTAATAACAAGTTTCAACGTTTGAAGGAAATGGACCAAACCACCCATACAGCCTCAGTGTTTGATAAGAAATCAACGAGTGCCATGCATCACCTGTGTATCGACTTAGTGGGGTTTAAATGCACACACGTACAGATTCGAAGCCTATTATAATTTTGTTTGCCAATTTAAAAGTTTGAAGATGCACAATCAGTAAATCATTTACACTCTAAAAAGCCCCGGGTCAGATTCGACCCGAATCCGGGTCAGATTTGACCAGACACTTTTCCAGGTCAAAATGACATTTCCCAGTTACGGCCACCCTCCCGGCCATTTGACCCTAATACTGATCGCCATTTTGAAATGAAGATTGTCGTTCTGATAACAGAAGTGCCAATTTTACAGGGGGAGGAATGTTATGTTGATCGCCATTTTGACATAAAGATTGTCGTTCTGATAAGAGAAGTGTCTATTTTACAGGGGGTTGGGAATGTCATTTTGACTCAGAAGTGTGTCAGGTCCTTTTTGACCCGGATTCCGGGTCGAACCTGACCCGGGACTTGTAAGAGTGTAAGGTTGACTTTGATGACAAACCATTGTGTCGTACGTAGAGGGTGAACCGCCTATTGTCCTACACGCTGCGTGACTCTGCTAACGATCTGAATCAAAAATGTGTTGCGATGTTTATGCTTAAGTTG